ATAGTTGTGTATTGCGATACAGGTAGGGTCCAACAGTAACAAGCATCTGAAACAATTCTTTCGGAAGGTCCAGAGAAGTCCTATTAGCTGTTGTAGTAGCAGTTGGTGTGATCTTTTCTGTGCCCCCAGAAGAAGAATTTTGAAAACGTGTCTGACGTGCAATGCGATAAGCATGAGTAATTGACTTCTCTATAAGCCTGAAAACATCATTGGTGTCATCATAGATTAGTAGCCAGAGCTGCAGTATCTCTTCGCTAATAAATATAGCCGAAGATACAAAGGGATGAAGCCGTTATACATATGAGTACAAAATAGTCTGAGCTAAAATTTTACTCACTAACCTAAACAAGCCACTACAAATCTGATTGTGAGCCACTGGATTAAGAGGGGCAAGACGCTCGAACAAGATATTGGCATGACACCTGAGAAGAAGTAAGAGTTAAAGTCTTAGAAGAAAAAACCAAGAGCTTTCAACTCAGTGGAGCAGAAAGGGGATATGTAACTACTCCTCAGCTTTGTGTATAATTAATTAGAGCGGACGCAAATTTCTACGATAGTGTTGATCTGAAACGTGAACTCGGTAGAAGACACTAGTAACAGTCAAGAAATAAAAGGTGATGCAATAATCACAAAATTAACAATTGCATACAATCCAAGAACAAATCTCACGCTCATGAAGAATATAACTTAAAATTTTACAAGCACTGGTTCGTGTTCCTTAAACCAAATGGACTGCTTTTATGACAATGGATTTGTTAAGTAAAACAAAATTAACAGTATACATACCAGTCATCCACAGAGAGGAAACCATTAAGTAGGCCCAGAGTCTGATTATTTTCAAGCTCTGGTAGTCGCTCAGTAACAGCTTCAGTTTCCATGTCTAAAGCAGCAAAGAGATCTACTGTGACATCTCCTTGCTTTTCATCCTCCATAAGATCCTTCCCAGTAGCAGCAAGATTAATCTTTCCAATTTTATTGGCCTGTAGAAGAGGAGGGACTTGTAAAAATCATAACTCATAAATAAACATATGAACGTAAGGCCTCAAAAACAACAAATAATTGGATGGCTTCCAGGAAGATGGAAAATAGTTTAGTATGTAAGTAATTATTAAAGATTGCAAAGGCAAGATGAGCAGATTATCCAAGAGTAGAGGAAACAAGTTTGTTCATTTGTCCTAAGGGAAATAAAGGTTTGAACTCAGAAGAGACATGTAGACAACTTAAGCTAGGTCAGAACAAAACTATCTTAAAACATCTACAAGCATGCACCTATATGCATATTATGGACGAGCTCATATTTTGAATTGTACCTCTTCCACTCGCTTTGCAGATGAAGCATTATAATCCTCAAAAATTTCCTCGTCCTTAGGTAACAGATGTGCATATCTGGTCACAACAGTCGGATAAAACAGCATTAGAACATATGGTCCATATATATAGTATAGCTTCAGTTATCAGAGGCACATAGAAAATGCAGCAATCTGATAAGCATGGAATCAGTGCACTGCTAAAAAGTTAAATGATTCAAACCAGTTGAAGGAAAAGTACTCACATGCTGTCAAGATTGATAAAGTCTTCCTTTACTAGCAAGGCTGTAAGCTTATAAAGCCCAACTGGAACAGGGGTATTCACCTCTAATCTCTGATAGTATTGAAATTTAAATCCAAGAATTTGTGAAGCATGAGACTGCATATAAAAGAGAATTTTTTTAGCATCAAAAATAGTCTCTCAGGCTAAGCATTAGAATATGAGCATACGAGGAAAACATTCCAAACCTTGGGAAAGATAGGAATTAGATTGAGAAATGTGTCGTAATCTTGTTCAATTTCAAAGCAATCCAAAACCTATTCATCAATAACAAAGGGTACATTACTAACAGCGAAGGACATATCAATTCAATATGTGATATCAAACAAAAATGTGACAGAATGAACAATGAAAACTTACAATGTCGAAAACACGGTTTGGATCCAGGTCAAAATGCCCAATTAGTGACTGCAATGAATTATAAAGTTGAGAACAAGTAAATGGAATACATATACGATATATAATGTATTGGCCAAATCAAAACCTTAATAATTCCCATTGTTGCTGCTGATGTATTGTGCGAAGAACTTGCAGATCCCCGGCATAAAAGAGTGACCTGCACTCCACAGCAGAAACTATTGTATTAAGTTGGGGTATGAACAATCTGATTCAATCAAACTTCATAAATCAAAGGAAACTCTGCTGTGATAATATGTTTACTACTCTCCCTAGCTATAATATAATTAAACTAGAAGATATGCCTTCCAACTGGATAAGAGTGAAAAAAAAAATGGCCAAATCAGCCCTGTCGAAAAGACATCCTTTTCATTATTTCAGGAGCATTCCATAAAATGTTGTTCAGAGTGTCTAATAAGTAAAGAGCATGGAAACGAAATTGACAGAAAGAAAGACAAGAGATTAAAAAAAAGCTGGAGATCATCTATAACGAACCAATTTGGCATATCCCTCGCTTTCTTCACGGAGTAAGTTGAACTTTGTCTGCTGGTACAGAAGACGAGTGTTTAATCGCACCTGAGTAGCACCAACCAGAATTGTTATTTCTGAACAATGAATAGCAGTTACACTGGTAAAAAAGAAATTCTTTTATGTATTAATCTTCCGCAATAGCAACTCGCGCATAGTAACTATTACGTATATCAGACCACAGTGCAGCTACAATGATGACTAAACAAGATAATATCATCATATATTTCTACAGCAAACTGTATGTCACATTAACGCAAGTGTGAAGTACTCACCTCTTTCCCCTTCAAATCTTGGGCCTTTATCTTAACCATATCTGCTTCCCAGAGAAACTCTTCCTAAAAGGAAATAACCAAATCAATCAGCGCCTTCAGAAAAGTTAATTTCTTACTGATTAAGAAAGTAGAGAGGTTAGCTGGGGAATAAACTACTTAGAATGGGAATAACGTGATACATTTTAGGACCTGCACCCTCCTATCCTTACATCATAAAAACAAGGAAAAGAGGGCTATTCAGTGAGACCAGCTGGCTTCAGGAATAGGCTTCAGCCTTGAAGTTAAGTTCTATAACTAGCTTAGCAGCTACAATAACTAGACTTGTTCTTGCTACCGTTTCTATGATAGGGAGTAAGATTGCATAACGCAAATGCTATATATATGAGGGGTGCCAGTGAGGGAATTATAGAGAACTAAGTAAAAGTTAAGGGGGGATAAGAGGGTACTCTATTCAGAAACCTCTCAGTGCTGTATTTCTCGACTAAGTACTATCAATATAGGGATTCTCTTAGTATTACCCTGTTTATTGGGCATTTTCCTGATTATTCATTGACTGAACATAACATAATGCTTACCTCGCAGCGCTCCTGGAAAAGCCTTTGAGGGACTGTCTGTGATTCCACAAGCCATTTCGCCTACAAATGAAAAACAACTGATCAGCTGTGAGCATAGAAACCTTGAGGAGATGGTAAATGAGAACATAAGGTATCTTTTAAGGAAGCAGACTAAAGTATGCAATCTTCAAATACGAAATATGCAAAAAACTCAGACAATAATCACGTAAGTAGCTCTCTGAGTATGGATCAAGCATACAAGGAAGTTCAATAACAAACTGCACTAATAGAGAATCTAAGGCCATACGGGTAAAGCTTCAGCTCCTTAAGCTGAGGAACCTTTAACAATGAGGGACCTTTTGCAATCCGCCCAGAATGAATGGTTGAACCTTACAACACAGCTGATAGCTAAACACCACATGATCTAATTTATTCAACATACAATGCTATTGCATGATTGTTGTGGTCTCTAATCTCACGATTCACTTTCAAAGAGCTAGAAGCATTCAAAACTAACAAGTGGAAACAACAATTTAATTTTTAAAACGTAAAATAAATTGTAGTACTGACCAATTTGGTTAGGCGAGAGCGTTGATCTCCGGACATGGTAAGCTGCAAAACAAAACATAGCAAACAATCCAACCCTCAGTATCAATACCCTTGCACAATGAACTGTAAGCTAAAACAATGTCAAAACTGTTATTGGAAAAAACCTACGTCTTGAGCAATCTGAGTCACAACATCAGCAAAACAAGAAGCTAATTCTTCTCTGGATGGCTTATCCAAAAACTCCACACCGTCCAACACAGATTTACAGCTCTGAATTGGCAATTCGCCACGAACCTGATAATCCATCACGATGCACCCTTCAGGAACTCGAACAACATATAGGGGCAGTGATTGGATAGTACGAAGAGAAGTGTTGTATGTGTGTGTACCAAAATCCAACAGAGCTCGTAGAGGAAACGAAGCATCGGCACAGAGCTGGGCAGCTTGGTTCCATAGTTGCCATTCTTACCTTCACGAACAAACTCCTCCGTCACGTACTTACACTCCAGTAGCGGAAGAGACATCTTACACCCCCCTACTTTCTTGTGTGTGTATATCTTTCACTCTCCCCCTTTTTCGAAACCCTATATAAGATGAAGCAAATAGGGTTTAGACTGTTGGAAAATCCGATTGTAGAACAGAAAACAAGCATTTCGATAGCAAGAAGATGAGATGGGAAGGGAGAGGAACGAACAATTTTATCAGAGAAGAACAAAAGAGAAATTAGGGTTTTGGATCATTTGATTTGTTGACGACGATGACGGTGTTGTGTGATTTTGTTTGTAGAGGAAGAGGAGGAGGAGGGACTATTCTTTTCCGATTTTGTTTCCTGTCGTCTTTGTTTCAGCAAAAAGAAAATTAATGTTTTTTACAGTTTCAATACAAACCGGATCCGGTTTTGTCATAGGATGAAATTATCCTGGATGATGTTGTTTAATTGGGCTTGAAACTGTAACCGGCCTATGGGCTCATATGATTTCTGAGTCCACCACGATTTTTTCATGAATTTTAATTTTTTTTATATATGGATTTTTTTCTGCTGTGCGAATCACCGGATATAATTCTGGAAGTTGCAACCTTTAAACCAAAGAAAAAAAAATCATTTGTTGGATCCATGAAAATCATATAAATTGAATTATATTATATGTCAAATGATACATCAGTCAAATTAAAAAAAAATGACATCCTAACTTGAAAAACAAGGTAACCAGCAAGAAATATTCACAATCCGTAAACACTAAAAGCGAGAACTCAATCCAACAACCAAACATTTATCCTTCCAGCTAATTCTCTAATACACCTACCTCCCTTGTCCTGATCTGAATGTGCAGTCAAGCTCGGAAGGTCGTGATGGTATGCTCGTCAATGTATTAACTCCAAAAAATGACGAATCAAGGGAAATCTGAGGAAAAGGAGTGTCGTAATCGATTCCATAGACATCTTCTGAGTCTCTGCTTCGTTCTGCGGGTTTCCATTGCAAAACAAGTGAAACCAACACGTTGACCACGTGACTCATGTCAGGTCTCTGTTGCGGTTCCCTAGCGCTACATTGGTTGGCAAGCTCAGCTACTTTGTTGATGCTTCCAAGTGTTTCTTCGTTGACCTCAATTGTTTCGTCGATAGCCTTTGAGAATGAGTCTTTATTGATAAGCATTCTCCTGAACCAAGTAGCAAGATGTACTTCTTCCTCAGATCGCTTGTCATCAAGAGCTTTTCGACCCGTTAGTAGCTCCATGAGGATGACTCCAAAGCTATAGACATCAACCTTTGTGGTAACTCTTCCGGTCACTGCAATGTACATAGAGATTTCAATATTTATCTTTTATGAGTTTATAATAATAAACGTTCATAATAAGCATAATAAGCATAAAATGTATACCTGCATATTCTGGTGCAAGATAACCAAATGTTCCAGCAATCTTTGTCTCAATTGATTGGGCCCCTTCTGGTGCAAGCCGAACTAAACCAAAATCTGCAACTTTGGCATGCATATCGTCCCCAAGAAGAATATTAGATGGTTTGAGATCTCTGTGTATGAAACTTTGATGCGCTAAAGTATGCAAATACTCAACTCCTCTAGCCACATCCAAAGCAATAATCAACCGTCTAGCCCACTCGAGTGGCTTCAACCCTTCTTCTTGCCAATGAAAAATATGCCTACTCAATGTCCCTTGAGGCATGTACTGATAAACAAGAAGCCTCTCGTTTCCTTCTAAGCAATATCCATGAAGAACCACTAGATTGCGGTGTCGAACTCTAGTTAGAACAGCAATCTCTGATTTAAATTCATCTAAACCCTTTCCACTTATAATCGAAGACTCCATTCTCTTAACCGCAATCTTTGTTCCATCATGCAATTCTCCCTTGTAAACAATTCCGAAACCTCCTCTCCCAAGTATATTATTCTCGTTGAAATTATTTGTAGCATCCCTCAAAACATGTATTGAGATCACAATATTCCCACTTTCCCCCACATGAGCGTCACTACCACTGAATCCACTTTCACTTCCACCAACATACATATTCCCAATTGTAATCTTGAATGCATCTTGGTCACTAGATTGTTGTTGAGGATGCATCTTATGATATTGCTTCTTTTTCTTGACCAAAAAGAAAATAGCAAATCCGATAAGAAGTAAACCCAATACAATACCAATAACAGAACCAATAATTTTCCCTGCATTGCTAGATGCTTTCTTGCCGCCATCCCCGGAAGAAAAACCAGAAGGGCAGCCCTTTCCTATGTCAGGATTCCCACCCGTGTTTACATTAATAGTTGTGTTAACACCCGAAACTTTATCACCACACAACTGATTATTGGAAACATCTAGAGTTTTCAAGTTACTCAACTTAGTGAGCTCTTCTGGAATAGTACCGGTTAGGTTATTCTGAGAGAGATTGATCACCTGAAGAGATGTAAGATTTTGAAAACTTAAAGAGATATTCCCGGTGAGTCCCATGTTTTTGAAGTTGATAACAATGATGCTACCTCCCGCACATGTTATCCCTAACCATGGACTTTTACTACAAGGATCATTTCCTTTCCAGCTATTGGCAAATCTCACCGGGTAACCAAACGCTTCAGCGATTGAAAGCAACGTGTTAACACGGAGATCACAAAGAGTACCTGGAGTATCTAAGCAGAAACTATTGAGCCCAGAAATATCAATCTTAATGTTATCCTTGAAGCTTGGTGTTGGTCCTTGCAGCAAATTATTGCCTAATCCCACCTCAGAAAGAGATGCCAACCCAGTAAGTGAGGACGGTACAATACCGGTAAGCTGGTTGTCCCTAATATTAAGAACTTTCAAGGAGACATGACCAGAGAAGTCCGGAATGGGACCAGAGAATTCGTTTCTATTCAATCGTACCTCGGTTAAATCAGTCATATTTTGCAGAACTGAAATGGACCCATTTAGCTTCTGGCCGTTGAGTATCAGAGTCTGAACCCGTGATTCGGAGAAACTCCTTGGAAGTTCACCTACAAGAGAGTTAGTAGATAGTTTCAGAGTGGTCAAACTAGGAAACGTTTGTCCCCAAAGCAAATCCGGAATCCTCCCAGAGAGGCTGCAGTTGACGGCGGAGAAATCTGCAAGTGCAGTCGCATACTTTAAACTCAGAGGGATCTGCCATGGACCAAAGGGATTATTGTCCAGAGACACATGCTGAAGAGAAGGCAAGCCAGTGAAGAAATCAGCGTCGATTGAAGTGAATCCATTGTCATGAAAATTAACAGTTTCCAAAGATTTCAAGCCAGCAAGACTAGGAATCTTCCCTATGATATTGTTGTTCATGACCTCGAAAACTGTCAAAGACGAGAGGCTTTTGAGATCAGTAGGTAACATTCCTGAGATTCCTTTATTCCCGATTTGAATCTTGGTGACCTGGTTGCTTCCATCGCAATCTACATCCGTCCAGTTACAAGGATTCGATCCTGACCAGCCTGGTGGAGAATTCAAGGAGTTTTTTAGAACATTCATGGCCGCCTCGTCAGGGCTAGATGATTGTCCGTACACATAGGCGATGAAACAGAGCAAAGAAAGCAAGATTCTCCAAAGTATCATCATCTTCATCAAATTACTTAACATAAAGCGTTGATACACAACGTGATTTGATTAAGGTTTAAGCTTTCAAAAGAAGGCATACACTCAAGAAAAAAAAAAAAAAAAAGAGAAGCTTTTTTGGGCGGAGATTTTTTTCTCCTTCCTCAATTGAATGGGAAAGAGAAAAACGAAACGGCAAATATTATTACTCTTTTTTGGAAATATAAAATTGACTTGTCAAGCGAGGGAAAGAAATGTTAAATCTACCTTTTTATTTCTGTATTATATTTCCCATTTTTCTGTTTTTGTTTATTTTTTACTTAATGAGATTTATTGTTTCCTTTTAAAATATATGCTAAATACGAAAAACAAATAAATCAAGAAAAGTGTATGTATTGTTCGTTGCAATCTGATTAGTCTATTTTATCAAAATTATGACTAGAAGATACAGTTTTGTACTTTGCAAAAAAGTATATATATTTCCATTGTAGCAAATATTTTGTCTATATATAATCAATGTAGCTATGCAGCCATATCTCCTACCAAAAATACAACCTATTAGCAGAGATTATAATTGTGATCGCCGACGGTTCCTAATTTTGAGCCCATGGAAAACAACCAAATCAAAAGGCCTATACACGTTACAACAACATGTATATAAAAAGCCCACCAGAACTGATCAATGGCCTGAGGAAAGTTACGTTAATGGCCTGACTTATATCAGGATCCAGTATGTGGCAAATGACAAATTCGCCAGTCGTGAACATGGATCTACTTCTAATAACCAAACAAAGGTCTTGTTGATTTAAAATAATCGGATGATTCATTAATATCCGTTTCGTTTGCTCTGGTTTTTTATAACTCTCATCTTAATTGCTCTGTTTTTTTCATTAGGTGGAGTTTGAAGTTGAGTACCCACAAGAATACATCATACGGTCACCATTCATACGTGACGGGGATTGAGTTCGTGACTTCATACGGTAGATATGAGAGGTTCGGTAAGTCGACCCAAAGCTACACGTACGTTGGAGCCGACGAGGGGACGTGGATCAACGCTTGTAGGCTTCCTTGGAAGATCCGATGCTATTGGATGATGAGCTCGTTTCTACTCTTCCGCTTCCAAAGATGAATCTTTCTATTAGTTTCCTCATTTGTTGAAGTATATACTATAATTTTTTATAAAAATGCATTTGCTTTTTTAACAGACTATTAGATTTATTACAATTGTTCTCCTCATGCTTTAGAAAGCAACACGAATTTGTAATGAACAAAAGTAACAAGATTAAAGGCATGTATGTGTTTCGCCCAATTATTTTTCTTTAGAGAACCCGACTACTTTGAAATTCGTCATCCATTACAATGTCGAAGACGTCAGTAAAGGCCTGTGCCAATCCTTACATTGAAAAATAGTGGGCGATTTTGTCATGTTGTTTATTTTAGGAAACAGATGGTTGTTATCACATTAGTATTGTCCATTGTTCAGATTTTATGTAGAGGCATGAAGTGCATTTGAAAAAAAAAAAAAAAAAAAAAGGAGCTGTGAGTTTAAAGGTTTGCTGATTTCATCATTGAATTTTTTTTTTTTTTGGCAGAATTTGTCTAAATTGTCCTAAATATAATGGACCGCGTAGAACTATGAATCAACAAATCTAATATTTAACTGATACTCACTAATTACTACTACGTTACGAAAGTGATTACAAACAAAATTTTAGCTCTAAGTTTTTTTGTAGTGGCACCCCACTGATATATTTCTTTCTTTCTTCAAGTTTATTCGACTGTTCAGCTTCTTATTGTATAAATATGTTCCCAAATTCTATTTGGTATGAAAAAAAAAAAAAAAAAAAAATCTTCAAAATATCAACGAGCAACATAGAAACGATGGAACAATCATTTAGTGAAATGTGATTCGAAAAGCAAATGAATCGAAGTAGGACCAAAGTCCCATAGACAAGTTGGCATGGAAAAGGAACAAAAGTGGGCACAGGTCATAAGCACTCAATGGATCAAGACAAATGAAAAAAATAAAATATGTGAAGACACCATTATCTCTTTGTCTTTTTTTGCCACGATCCCAAGATTGATTTTCCCTGAATTGAATTGTTTGTTCCCTCACACACACAATTACACAAACCCCCTCTTTGTATATAGAGAGATTCATAAGTTTCATACGATGGATAAAGATCCGTTGGTCACGTACGTACGTTATTTAGTTACTAGCAACAATCACAACATATATATCTGTTTGGTTTTGTAGTTTGTTAGCGATCAATGGCTATGACTAAATTTGGCTATTTTACAGTCGTTGGTTCAACTGTTGTTTTCGGTAACAAGATTTAGCGACTAACAAAACAAATGTACTTTTGGTGGATTGATTACGAACAACGTTATCACATCCATAAAACAAAAACTATAAAACCTTTGTTTTATTTTTTTTTACCGCACGAGTGATTAATTGGTAACAACAAATTAAACCACACAGTGCATCAGAAAAATGTTTTTAAAACTTTGCAAAAAAAAAAAAAAAAAAAAAAGTTTTGATAGAAATGAGACAAAGAAAGCAGAGACTTTAAAAAATCACATGTGATACTGATCAGAGGGAAAAAAACACAGCAAGAAATGTGTCCACATCCCTAAAGGAAAAAGGTAAAGCCGGGGGAATGAATGTTATGGGCTCCATGCAACATTTTATCAACCTTCAATTCGTTTTATATCTTAACGTTAAGTGTTCGAGTTAAATTATTGTTTAGTTCATGAAAATCTCCAAATTAAATGAAGAACTCTGTCGAGTGAGCTCAATTATTGAACAATATCATGTTTTTTTTTTCTAAACAATATAAATAGATTGAACTTTTAGAAAAAAAATCATAACTCTTCAACTACTAATAAAGTACCAAGATAAGATGTTGTAAAAGTTGATATCTAAATGTGCGTAAGATCATATTATTTTTCGACCACGACTCATCCCGGCTTAAGAGATCTTCTTGAATACTCCACTTTATTATGTTATAAGTTTATGAAATATATATATTATTATTCCATCTTTCCAAATGGGTTATGTTCTAAGAGCGTGGAGACGTTCGTTATCAATCAACTAAACCAAATATACTTAAACCCATTTCAATCTCGAAGAACAAAAAAACTTGGGGGTATGGTCTTGTATATCACCTGCACAACTGCCTGCACACACAAGTTGACAGGGCCGTAAATTAATTATTCGTTACGGGCTCTCTTTAAAATATTACTTTTGGAGAAAACCATATACAGATGCTAAAGACTATACAGTAGTCTTTCCCATTATTGATGGTTCAACTACGGTCCAAAGTGACTTGTTGATCCATTCTTTGTAACAATTACGAAATTTTTTAATTTTTAAAAGTTTTGAAAACTTCAAAGGTTTTGTTTAACTTTTAAAAGTGATTACGACAAAATTTTCCTAAAGCTACTCCTTTAACAAATGAATTAAAAGTTTTGCCTAGCCTATAGCAGCACATCACAATGAACGCATAATACTAGAACACTACTTTCTAAGACGTGCATACCAACGCTTTACAAAATACGAACACTGTTGTAAAATAATAGTACAAAATATATACACGTACTTCAGTTAAATTGATTAAAAAGATATAGAATTATTATTATTCTGTTGTTTACATGATTAACTTAGGAGAAAAAAGTACTACCTGGCTAAGTGCCCCTAGAGAAAAATCGTTGAAGAATTGGAAAGAAAAAAACAGAGGTCTACGTCTAACTGGCAGACACTTTTATTCCCCCCATGTGTTTCCACCAGACACCATCTCCCATCTCTCCAACATTTGCGTTTCCACATTTGTTTAAACATAACTCTCTCTCTCTCTCTCTATCTATCTCATTCCTTGAGTACCTCTTATTCTTATGCTCTTCTTCACCAATCCTATCTCTTCTCTGTCTTTATATTTTTCCTTACATCTGAATTGACCCATTTTTGGTATACACAAGAAGTACCATTTGTTAGATTCTTCTTCTTCCTCACTCATAGTTTTTCAAGTCAACTACTTCAGTTTCTGTCGGCTGTCTCTTCCTAGATCTCAACTAATCTCCTACTCTCGTAAGCACAGTACTTCCAAACCTCTCTGTCTCTCTGATCTTTGATTTTTGTTTTAGTATCCTTAATTGCTGTCTTGGATCCTGTCTCTCTCTCTCTTCTAATTAATCTCAAAAGCTTTATTTTGATTGGTCTTCTTTAAGCTTCGAACTTAACTGATTCTTGTCCGAATACAAGAACTTTGTTTTTGAGGCTTTGAACTAAGTGGTTACTCTGTTTTAAGACTTTACCTACCGTCTCTTCTTTGTACAATTCTTAGATTCATAGATTGTTGTCTTTTACAATCTGCTTTTGACTTTAAAATAATTTCAGGTTAATAACAGAAGTTTCAATTAAATGACTGAATCTGATGATGCCTCGCGAGAACAAGCCAGAGGAGGAGAAACCTCGTCAAATCAAGAATCGAACCCTGTCTCTCTCGATCTCAAGCTCAACGACAGTTTCACGGACGACATAAAGGGCGCAAAGTCGGAAGCAAACCCGAGAGTCTTCTCTTGCAACTACTGCAGACGCAAGTTCTATAGCTCTCAGGCTCTTGGAGGTCACCAGAACGCTCACAAGCGTGAACGAACCATGGCCAAACGAGCAATGCACATGGGAAGAATGTTTGGTCACCATCACAGGCCTTACACATACACTTCTTCTTCACTCGGGATGCAAGCTCACTCAGGTCTACTTCACCACACTTTATCCCAGCCTCAGCCTCTTGTTTCTAGGTTTCATCACCAAGGGTATTTTGGAAACAGCGTGCCATTGTTCTTTGACTATGACGATGGCGGTAGCGACTTCTTCTGGCCAGGGAGCTTCCGTCAGGTCGTTGAGGAAGCTGAGGCTCCGGTGATGGTGGCTGTTACAGAGTCAGGCTTTGATCTGAACTCGGTTGCGGCAAATGGAGGTGTAGATAATAATAATAATAATAATAGCTCAAAGCCAGATCTTACCTTAAGACTCTAATTAAGGATTAAGGCAGTTTATGACCTATCTTGTTCTTTTTCTATCGTTAGGCATATAGCAGAAGATAAGTTGGAGACAGTTGATAGAAGATTGATGAAAAACTATGTTGTTATATTAAATGAGGTTGTTCATTACATTATTGTTTCATTCATACGAGCTTTTCCACACCAGTCAAATCATCTAGGAGTTAGTGAAAAGAAACTAATTAAGAGGATGTTCAGTTGAAAAAAATTAGGTATGATATGGTAGTTGATGTACTTATTATGAGATTATGAAGAGTCTCTTTAAACTAATTTTAAAGTCGTCTCCGAATTGAGACAACTCTACATGAAGATCAGACTGATTATAAACGGTTGCATGAGCTAGCTATTAGTTTGTGTTTTATGTATCACCGTACTCTATTTGCATTCTTGCAGATGAACCGTTGAAAAAAGAGAACACGTATTATGAACAACTTATCCTATGCTACGGAACTACATTTCATGATATATCACGAATCTAGATATTTTTTGAAAAACATCAAACCGTAAACTTTACAAGATTTCTAAAGATAGCGATGTCGAAAAGAAGGTTTGATCCTTAAGACGGTAATTGTGCCGAGATTTATGGAGAGATTAGGGACGAAGTTGATTGGTATTACAAAACAGTACTTATTTGTGTTTAATAAATACAAGTGATCAACATATAGTGTCTATATTATTATTTTTGTCATTACATACCCAATTGCTTATTTAAATATATAAATTGATTATTTTGACTTTGGAATGATAATAATTCTAAAGTTGTGATTATGATGTTATAACAATTCAAATGACAGAAATTCAATGATCATACAAAATGTGTTTATCCATTATCCACTTGTTATTTTTATTTATACACATCAAAGAGAGAAGCGGTCGATATTGGGAGAGCAGTACTTACGCATGACACAAAAATATATCAAATATTAATTAAATTGCTATCCAATTTATAATTATGGATTTACATAAAACTGAGATCATTTTTAGGAAAATTTCCAGATTTAGTTGATCAAGAATCCAAAATTAGCTAGCGATTAAGAGAATCATCCGCTTCCTATAGAGAATCATCACACAAATACGGATATCTCTCGCAATTCGATTCTCTTTTCTTTTTTTCTCATTTTTGTTTGATTTTGGGGAAAAACAAACAAACAAAACACACAATGTTCAACAAAGGAGCTGGTTCATCATCAACCAATGGCGGCATCGGAGCAGACTCACCATACCTCCAAAAAGCACGTTCGGGCAAAACAGAGATCAGAGAACTCGAAGCGGTCTTCAAAAAATTCGACGTGAACGGAGACGGAAAGATCTCTTCAAAGGAGCTAGGTGCAATAATGAAGAGCCTAGGTCACGAGGTACCTGAAGAAGAGTTGGAGAAAGCCATTACCGAGATAGACCGTAAAGGTGACGGCTACATAAACTTCGAGGAGTTCGTTGAGCTGAACACAAAAGGTATGGATCAGAACGATGTCTTGGAGAATCTTAAAGATGCCTTCTCCGTTTACGATATCGACGGGAATGGTTCCATCTCCGCTGAGGAGCTGCATGAGGTTTTGAGGAGTCTTGGTGATGAGTGCTCTATCGCTGAGTGTAAGAAGATGATTGGTGGTGTTGATAAGGATGGTGATGGTACGATTGATTTTGAGGAGTTTAAGATTATGATGACTATGGGATCTAGACGTGATAACGTCATGGGTGGTGGTGCTCAGAGGTAGAGTTTTTAATTAACGTCTCTCACGCTGCCGAGCTCGTTTCTTTGTTCCTTTTCTTCGTCTCCTTCATTGTTTATTTCCACCATTGTTTTCAATCTCTGTTGTTTTTGTTTGTTTCTTTTCTTCTTTGGGATTTGTGATTCCCTTTTTAATCTAACGTTATTTTTTTCTTTCTAACCCATTTTTTCGTGTGTTATATATATTCAGTTCTGATTTAGAACTGAATAATTTGAATGCATATACAGTAAGATTTATGTGAATAAATAATAATGAGAAGTCTCAATTCTTCTCTATATGAAAGGATGTTTTTTCTTTTTCTTTCACATATGTCTATTGCATTTGTTCAAATGCTGGGTTGTGGGTTTTGCATTTACATTTGAAAACTGAAAATTACTGATTTTGATTTTTGAACTTGCAACATTTGTATAGAAACCCTTTCATTTTCTTGTTTGAAGTTTATACAAATGTTTTGAGTATTTGGAGCAAAAAAAAGCCATTTTATTTGCAGCTCATAAAATTTGTGTTGTAATAATGCAGACCAATCCAACAAAAACAAAATGAATGCAGAACAACTGAAAACTGTATTTATGGAAAAATATGCATGGTTGGTAACAGATTGTTTTCCGTTGAATTACTAAAACGACTCCGTACGTCTTTTAACGAATTATTTAGTTTCATCCCTCACAACTATTTTAGATGTAAAATTTTAAAATCAACGTTAATTTTTTATAGCCATATAGGCATATAGAATTTTTTTGAACATAGCGAAAAAAACAAAAAATGCAAACACACACCTTAATCTTTAATTTTAATTTTTGTTAACTATATCTATTTTGTAGAAAATAAAAATCCTATTGGTGCCGGATAACAAAGTAACATGCCCATTAGTTAGTCGTAAAAAAAAAAGTAACAAGCCCATTAGCGTTAAAACGAATTTGAAAATACCCAGCCATCTAACCCGACCCGAAACTAATCCCGGTCCGGATCTTCATCCTGGAGAGTGGAGAGCAACACTGAACCGGGTCTGCTTTGTTCGAAGCATGGCCGCCAATTCGAAAATGGCGATAGCTTCTCTGGCAGCTCAAATTCGCCCCTTCACATGTTTGGCCGCGTCTCAGCCGTCACGTTTGGCTCCTCATCCACCGGACCTCGTCCGTTGGATCAAGAGAGAAGGCGGCTTCGTCCACCACGCCGTTAAGCTCTCTCAGGAGACTCAATTTGGTATCGGCCTCATTTCCACCGAGCAAATCCCTCAAGGCACCAACCTAATCTCTCTTCCTCCTCACATTCCCTTACGCTTCGAATCAGATGATGCGTCATCGTCGTCGTCCTCTCTCCTCACTGCTTTGGCTCGTCGAGTTCCCGGTAAGTGCTCCTCCCTTCTTATATGATCTCCCTGTTGTTCAATGCGATTACTGGAAATTGCATCTCGAGAACTTTGATTTTAGATTAGAGATTTGTCTGAAGCTTACATTTTGGTGCTACTTCGTCTTGAATCTCAAGCTTAGCTTTATAGGATTCTTCTGTAGAACTAAGTTTCCAAAATTTGGTTGATTTCGTAAGAGTTACTGATTTCCAGAAATGTTGGGGAAATTTGGCAGAAGAACTGTGGGCAATGAAACTTGGATTGAGATTGCTGCAAGAAAGAGCCAATGGTGATTCTTTCTGGTGGCCATACATCAGCAATCTCCCGGAAACTTATACTGTTCCCATATTCTTTCCCGGAGAAGATATCAAGAACTTGCAATACGCCCCTCTTCTCTACCAGGTTAGATAGAGACCGTTGGACCTAGTCTAGGTGACTTCCATTCTTTAGCCTTCTATCAGATGATGCAGATTTGTTGTCTTCTTTGGAACCAGGTCAATAAAAGATGCCGGTTTCTTCTTGAGTTTGAGCAAGAGATTAGACGTACTCTTGAAGATGTTGAGGTTAGTGATCATCCTTTCAGCGGTCAAGATGTAAATGCATCCGCCCTCGGATGGACCATGTCAGCTGTTTCAACTAGAGCGTTTCGGTTACATGGTAATAAAAAGCTTCAAGGTGGATCTTCTGATGATGTCCCAATGATGCTTCCTCTGATAGATATGTGCAACCACAGCTTTAAACCAAATGTCCGAATCATTCAAGAACAGAACGGAGCTGACTCAAATGCCTTAGTTAAGGTTTGCGTTTTAGATCTCTGGTTATATAGTGGCTTTTGTTTAACTGAATGTAAATGATGTTTTTCTTCTGTTGTGCATCAGGTTGTTGCAGAGACTGAAATCAAAGAAAACGATCCATTGCTACTCAATTATGGTTGCCTTAGTAACGATTTTTTCCTTTTGGACTACGGATTTGTGATTGAAGCAAATCCATATGACACCATTGAGCTCAAATACGACGAACAGCTTATGGACGCTGCAAGCATGGCGGCTGGTGTTTCTTCCCCAAAGTTTTCTTCACCTGCTCCATGGCAACGTCAGCTGCTTTCCAAGTTAAATTTGGCCGGAGAAATTCCAAATCTGAAGGTCTTCAAACCGTCATTCTAACTAACTTGATGTATATTAAGTAGCCGTTACTTCCTAAAAGAAGAATCAAAGGATGGAGCTTAACCATCCTCTAATATTTTTCTTCTTATACTAGGTAACCATAGGAGGCCCAGAGCCAGTAGAGGGACGACTATTGGCAGCCATAAGGATACTGCTTTGTGGTGAATTGGTGGAAGTTGAGAAGCATGACTTAGACACTCTCAAATCTTTGTCCTTCACTGCCCCTCTTGGAATTGCAAACGAGATTGCTGTCTTTCGCACCGTTATTGCCCTCTGTGTGATTGCATTGAGCCACTTTCCGACAAAGATAATGGAAGATGAGGCTATAATCAAACAAGGTGTTTCAGCCACAGCAGAATTGAGTATCAAGTACCGAATCCAGAAGAAGTCAGTGATCATAGATGTCATGAAAGACCTCACGAGAAGGGTTAAGCTGCTATCGTCTATGGAGACACCAACTGCTGCATAAGAACCATCCTGTAAGTTCTTTAAGCTTGGCTTGTTTCAAAAGTCAACTTCAAAGATGAATCTGTTTAAGGTTATTCATTCTAAAAAACATATAGCAATTGAGATTTCTCTAAGAACTAGCTGGTTTACCCCTCAAGATTAGATTACATGAATCTATGAACTAGATAAGGTAGTTTGGATGAGAGGCAAAATATATGTCGTTTCAGGATATTAAACAGGAGACTCATCATATTCACCAAAGATATTTACATTGAAAGATAAAGAGAAAATCTAATCACAAAGGATCACCTATCTCTATCTCTCGCTCGCTCTCTATCTCTCTTTGTTATCAATTCCCAACGGGGATGGGTCTTTCTCTCTCTCCTAATCCCAGGGGAGAACGGGAACGCTGTGGACTCACGATCTCACGACGCACCCTTGGCATCTCAGGCTGCCTCAGAGACGGGTGTTGTATCTTCTCAAACTCTCTTTTGATCTTCACGACTTGGCTATGGATAGGAGGAACACTCTCATGCCTATCATCTCCATGATTGGCCTTATTGTCCATCACAAAGCGGTAGTGAAGCCGGAAGAGTTCGTCTTATGATGTTCTTATGATGTTTGCGTTTTCTATTCACGCGGGAGGCGTGTTTATAATTATATAATCTTGAACCAAAGTTTGTGTGAGAAAAGTGGACACGAGTTGTTGATGAAGTAGAAAGGGAAGTTAGGTTGGTGGGCAACGCCAAATTAGTCTCTTACACATATCTCTCTCTTTGTGTGTTACTAGTAAAAATGATAATTAAGAATTTGTAATGGGGAGGTATCTAAAAAGCAAAAGAAGAGTCGTATCATTCTTCCTTGTAAACAGCATGAAAAAGAGGGTCGGTGTTAGGTGAATTTGTGGTTACGTGTCGGCAACAAAGCTTAGACACTTGTGATGATTTACTGGTACGCAATTCTTTCTTTATCCCCAAGACCATGACTCTTCAAAGATTTATCTGACCTTCTTATCTCTGAGGTGCCAAAGTTTAGAAGCTAAACAAATTGAATTGAGGGATAGAGCCGTTTGTAAAAGTTGAAAGAGACTAGAAACTACTTTCTCCGCATGAGTTTGCTTTGGTTTGACGGGAGAAGACTAATGTGGGACTTATTGAACTCGTTGGTCAACTTTAGATGATTCTAATTGGGATTTACTCTTAGGACAATCCTATCTGTTTTTGTATACCATCGAAATCATTTTCAAATTGATATCTAGAAAAGCAAAAACAATGACCGTAGGAGATTATAACAGCATCCAAGGTTGGGAGTGTCAAATTTGGACAGAACTTCAAATCAAAGTAAGAAAGAAAAAAACTCTGATAACTTCAGAACTCAGATCAAATCCCACGCTCAATAGGGGACCCCATAGAGAAGAGTCCATCAAACTCAGATGTGATAGACATAGACACACACACACACAAACTCCACGTGGATCTTTGTTTTGTTCTTTCCCATGTAGAAAATCGCAGCCGTTCAATTTACGGTCAAACATACGATTTTTGATACGGCGGCGGGTCTTATCAGTTTCCTTCTTTGCTTCGAGGATTTGCCTTAGACCGGAAAATAAACCATTCCATGTTTTGTGTTTTCCATTTCCATTGTTACACTCAAATGATCAAAATAAACAAAGATCTTCAAATTTCTTTCACTATACATAAAATTGATGCACTACTTCATTATATTATGTACGAAAAAGAAGAGTAGAAAGCAAGACTTGCTCAATTGTCTTGCTCTAGAATTCTTAAAATTATTTGTTCTTGCTCTGCCAAAAAATAATGTTGAGTATTATTAGATTTTCCCAAATGACGACAAAAAATAAATTCCAAATGTGTGTATCTATCTATATAGATATAGAGCTATCAATAAGGTAGCTTTATAACATAGGGGACAAGTTGTTCAGAAGAGGTCTGAAGTAACTCTCAGTTCAACAGTTTACTGTTTTTTTGTGTTTTTTTTTTAATGGCTTCCACAGTTTATTTGTAGTACAACCGGCAACGGTCTCCAATATAAATCAAATGATGGTAATTAATCAACGGTGGAGAAAAGAAAAATTATGAGCCTTCTTTTTGAAACATGCATGTTTGGCCCTTAACTATATATGAAGTTAAAGGAGGCTAAAGATCATGTGAAAGCAATTATGAATGTACGTACATACGTGCGTGAATTGGTATAGATTTAGGTTATATAATTTAGATATTGTGTACGAATAAGAGGGGACCAAAATCTAACCAAATCTGTGCTTTCGATATTCACATCTTTCTAGCAAACTAAAAGTCTAAAACCCTTATTGTAAGATTATGATCGAGAACCAAACCTAAAGAAGAGATCGATAAGTCATCCTGCTTCTTCTTTGAGCCTCGTTTGATAAAAGCTGACAGAAAGTTTGCAATTTCACCATGTATATTTCACCTATTCAGAGATGTTAGCTATACATATCTAAACTTGTACGTATTTTACTATTTTTATTTGAGATGTTAATTATAAGCTACTATCATTTACATGTGCCCATGATTTGCGTTGCTACAAACATTAATGTTCCATATATAATGTCTACAGTAGTTTCGGGTCTAATTATTAGCGATCAATATCACATGATATGTATAACATGATCGCGTTCGTGTGAAAAAGAAAAGTCAAACACATAAAATATAGTGTTAGATGTATATATAAAGTCATAAAAGAGAGTGAGGCATTGTGCAGAGATAAAACCCACGCGTTTAGAAGAGAGGCGACAATTCTGGTATCAACTTTAATGTCGTACCCATTGCATGTAACCTATATCTCCGTAGCTTTGCCCCTTCGTTTTTATTTGCCTTCCATTTTCTTCTTTTTACTTCTAGACATTTCTTCAACTCAGACCTTAGTTATCATATTTCATTTCATCTATAAATGTTAACGAACTAATGATATCGAGAACTATGGACCGCTATGTTTCCCGTCAAGCTCACATTTACATTTTCTCAAGAGATGTGTTTCTGTGACACAAAATATCAAATCATTTATTATTATAAAAATAAATAATAAGATCTAAAATGTCGTATTACATTAGTAATTTTTTTTTAAGCTACAGTATGATAATTCTATCGAAAAAAAAGAAACTACAGTATGATAATTAATACTTATCATTTTTTATTTTTAAAATTTGAAACAGACGGGAAGCATGCATGTTGATCAAAAATAGAAATATACGGTTCCTTTTTAACAGCTTCTCAATCTGACAAATTGACCGTCCATGTTCGTATAAACCGCCGAGAGTATATATATATATATATATATCAGTTAGTCTCATTTCGACGAACTACAAAACTAAAACAGATGATTTAGTCTACCTTCTTGAATCACCAAACTATAAGGCTGAAAATTATCGTTTTCTAAGCATTCCCACACAAAAAAAATGTGCTCTCGATGCCTGTAGTGAGACCTATGCATATGGACATATGGTATATATTTCCACAAAGAATTCACAAATCTCTCTATGTCCACCCTCTTAATTTCTAAACATAATTAATTTTACCAGCGTTTTGTTGAGATAACATAGTTTTTTTTTTTTGGGTCAAAAGATAACAGAGTTTATATGTGCTTAATTAAGTGTTAGTAACCCTTTATCAGAAAAGAACAATGCTTTTTTTTTCGAGCTTCATAATTTTTCATGAAACAGCCTAAATGGCAACAAAAAAATAAAACATTTACATGCAATTAGAAATTATTGTCGTTATAAAAATACAGGAAAATATTGAGACATGCCTATGATAGATGGCGAGAATTACGTGATAGTAGTACAAAAAAAAATTACGTACGTGACAATTGCATGCAAGCCTTATTATGTTTAGGGTTTGAATTACTGAAGAGGTGATATGCCATTACGTTAATCGGTTTAAGAAAATCTACCGATATTAATTGATAAAGATTGTGGAAGAGATTTATGCTGACTTATTAGATGTAAAAACGTAATTAAATTAAATGACAAAAAAAAAGAAGAAAAAGAAATGAAATTGGTGGTTCAGATTAATTTCCGTAAACACAAAGGGTCATTAGTCACAATCGAGCAACAGTAGGGAAACCCTAAAGAGGCTACACCATGAAGAAAGAGCCCTAGTTGAGACAAATCCACGTGACTTTGGTTTTACACATAAATATAGAAAAGCAAAACCCTAAATAAGCAAATCGACCATAATCTCGTAAAAAGAACAGACAAAACACAACCTCATGTAGAAGGAACAATTTCTGAGCGCCGCCAGTGTTATTAATTCAGAATCATAATAATTTCACGATTCTCAATTCTCTCCTTTCAACTCCCAACATCATAATTTTTCTTTCCCATCCACAAACTACTGTGTACATCATTTTTTTAAACTATTTGTATTTTATTATTCTGACTAGCTAGAACTAATACTTGTTGTTCCCAAAAATACTGATAATTTTTTTGAAAAATACATACAAATTGTATATTGAAATTACTAAGAGCGGATACGGAGAATGTTTTTAAAATTAAAGTGCTGGTTTAGTGTCCCAATAGGATTAGTTTCAAGCATTAACACTTATTGCTAAAGAAAAAAAAAGTTGAGAAAACTCATGTCTTTCACTAGAAACAAAAGAATAAATCGAAAGGGTATAAATTCACATTATCGAGAGAGCTTCAAACTCTGACAGTAAGAAAGAAAGGTTCAAGGGTTATAATAATAAAAATGGTAAACAATAATTATGACTTTATGGTATTGTTACTCATCAAAAAGACATGCAACTTATTTTTACTCTGCTTTTATGTAAGTTCGAACGTGGAACATGAACTTCGTTAAAGGTACTTTTGCTTTCTGCATCTCTGATTGAGTCACATAAGTCAATAGAGATGTACGTCTCATTTGTATTTTATTTATTTTTGGTCAGGTAATTCTCTTTTAATAAAAAACAAATAAATGTGATTTTTTGTTCTATAAATACATAATCTGCTACCATCACATTCAGGTGCCTCAAAACCCTAAAAGAATCACTGAATAATAATAATAAGGATAAATACTTCATAGCTAAAAGAGATAACTCAGTCAGGTCAACAATGGAAGAAGCAATCATGAGACTCGAAGGTGCCGAACACAGAGAAGCCAACAACAATTCTCTAAAGAGAAAGCCATCAAGATCACCGTCCTCCACCGCTCCTAGCTCTCCCGGAGGAGTAACCACCTCAAAACCTGCCGCTGGAACCGGCGCATCCGGTGGCTCCACCATAAGGTACCGAGGCGTGAGGCGTAGGCCATGGGGTCGTTACGCTGCTGAAATACGCGATCCATTGTCTAAGGAGAGACGATGGCTCGGAACATTTGACACGGCGGAGGAAGCAGCGTGTGCATACGACTGCGCCGCTCGAGCCATGCGTGGTCTCAAAGCTCGAACCAACTTCGTCTACCCAATGCCTTCTCTTGACTCATACCACCACCGTATTTTCTCGCCTCCTCCGATGAATATGTTCCTTCTACGCGACGTTTTAAACGCTCAGTCTCTTTCTCCGTTCAACACCTTTGCTTACCCGCCTTGTAATCTCTCTAACGCAAACGACGCCGTTCACGAGTCCTTCACTAACGTTAACGATGTCTCCGAGGATCTCTCGCCTAAAGCTAAGAGGTCAAGTACCGCTGACAACGAGAGCCTGATCTCTATCTTCGAACCAGAACCAGCGGGGTCTGGCCTTCTTCAAGAAGTTGTTGAAAGCTTCTTACCAAAACCTAGCTCTCATCATGCTTCTACATTTCCAAAGTGCAACCAACCTTCCGTTGGTGTTTTCCCGACTATGCCGGAGACAGGTTTTCAGACAGATCTTGGTTTACCCAACGTCCATGTCGAAGGAAACGGATTTGGTGAGGTGAAATATCACGGAGAGTTGGGTTGGGCTGATCATGAGAGTGGCTTTGATTCAGCTACGATGCAGTACAATGGAAATGTTGGAATGCTTTATCAGTATTGCTTTCATGATTATTAGGACATTATTGTCGTTGTTGTGTTCTTACGTGCTTAATTAGTACCAATTCACTGTTTTTTTAGGGTTATGAGAAATTAGGTTATGGTATCTAAAGTCAAACCCTTGGTCTTTTGTTTTTTCGTCTAGTTGTATGATCAGTTTATCTCTCAAGAAAGAATGTTTTAGCAAAGGACAATAACTTTTATCTGAATATGAGCGACGTTAATTAATGGTGTATAGTAAAAATAACGAAAATAAATAGTCTAGGGGATGAAGACAATTCCAAAAGGACAAAAAGAGATCTTCAAGAAAAAATAGCTTTTTTCTAATAAGTTGACTTCAGAATGCATAAAGACAGCCTTTGTCCTCTTTGCTTTTTCTCCTTTGCCTTTTCCTTTCATATCACTGGAAGCACATAACTATAATTTAAGACACGCTTGGTTGTCGGTAAACTATCGCAAGTCCTAGAGGTTCGATCAAGATTCAAAAGTTGGAGTGTTTTAATAATACCATAAAAAAACTCAATAACCTATATTTGTGCACTTAATCTTGCATCGTTATTGCCTGTTTTGGTGATATATCGAATGCATGTGATTTTCTTAATTTTGCATCATTATTGCCTGTTTTAGTGATATATCGGATGCATGTGATTTTCTATTTTTCTAGGGGTACTCTTCACAAATATCCATGGATCTTCTACATATTGTAATGTTAGTTGATTTGATATGGAGGAGCGATGTTACGACTGTCTTTGGTTTAAGATAATCACATCAATCGTTACATGATGAAGAAGAATCTGAATAAATAAATAAATAAATTGAATTTTCTTCTAATATATATTTTCAATTTCATGTAAAGTACTAAGTATGTATCTTAAAATTAATAAGTTATCAATATTCAATCAAAATAAAATCACAAAATTCATTTGAATAAAATTTTTTGTTGCTAATATAATTATACACATACATATTTTTTTATTTACCAAATATAAATTGAAAAGATAATATGCAATTATCTTTGAAAATATTTTTGAAAGTTGCATGGCACATATAAAAGAGGTCAGTATATAGAAATGATATCTCTAAACAACATTTATATAAGAGTATAATAATAGTGAATCACTATTACTTAAGGACCGATGTCGCTTTTGGGGTTAGGAGTAGTTGAAAGTTACGTTGAAACATTATGAAAAGTTGGAGGATATACAGTTGGTTATTGATGGACTCCATCATCATTCCCGTGATGATCATACAAAGAGAAAAATATTTGTTCAAAGCCTTGAAGCTTCTTCATATATTAAATTGATCATATACACATGCAGAAAGGTATAACCTCTTCACATATTCATCTTTGATTCCTCTTCTTCTCTTTCCTATTCAAATTATGAACGACAAAGGAATCATGGAGACTGAGGCTTCCATTGGGGGGATGGTCACTGGCGGGCTGTCCCGGCAGACCAGCATCACCAAGACTAACTGCATTTGCTCACCAACCACTCACCCGGGGTCATTCAGGTGCAAGCTTCACCGGAGTCCTTCGCTGCAGCGTACCAAAAGTGTTGAGACTAACATACTTCAAAACCTTATGGCCAAGCCAGATGATCCTAGCACCGGAAATGAAGCAGCTAAGTAGTCAGTAGGAAGCTTAGGATTTGTTTTTAAGCTTTAACGCATTATGCTAGTGACCAAACAAAGTAGTATAACCCTATAATTAAACTCTCTTTGTGTCTATAGTCTTGCAGTTTATAGTTTTTTTTTTTTTTTATTATTATGTGGAAGAGTTTCTATCATTTGAAGTGTATGTCAAACATTTACATTTACTTTTTCAATAAATTTATTTATAAATTCTCCCGACTTATCGATTTTGGTTTAATATTTCAAATGTTAAGTGTTGTTGGGAAATGATTTTCTTATACTTGTTGCCTCAAGATCTTGGCCTTTAAGGTGTTTCAAAGGGCGTCAATGATCAGATTAACTTTTAGGTAGTACGTCACAAGTAGAGATCTAAAATAGACAAATAGTGCTACAATCAATATTGTCATCTTTCAAAAGATTGATTACTGAAAAGAACAACAGTGGAAACGATTGCAACTTTGTAAGTCGTTCCCAAATTATTTGAAGGTTTCTACTTTCTAGGTTCTAGGCTCCCCATTCACAGATTCTCTCCCCTATTATATGGGCCGGGCCGGGACGGGCCATGCCAAAGCTAGTTGACACAACTTTCATTACCTTTTGACAAAGCAACAAAGACAAATCTATAAGAGAACCGACGAATAGAAAACCACGTTTTTCCTACGTTCTCCATTAAAGTTGCACATTCAATGATAACATTATTATTAAAGGCATCTAATTCGATCATAATAGTGTGACGAATAACCAACAGTAACTACCATATACTGTTTCGTTGGCATATACGACCTTAGAAAATTTATAAACCGTTGCCCCCACTTCAAGGATTCCCAAGTTGTTGAAGTTTTCGACCAATCAATCTTTGTTATCTATTGTGTTAAAGCTAATCTCTCACACGCTATGTTTCGTATTAGATCCTTACATATATATCATTAGCCCAAATCTTTAGACATGTGCATATAGAATATATTAAAATCAGCCAAACATCGAGGGGTGCATTTCTATATTTGCTCGGATAAGACATAAAGGAAAAATAAGGGAATCGGATTCACGGCCATCGTTTATGTTGACTTCAGCTTCATCACATCTCTTATATAAAAGATATCTTACGATAGTTTTCTAAAGATATAGCTAACAAAACAACAACACTCGAAACACAAATAGAGCTAAAAGGTTCTAGTTTTTAAGGATGGTACTAGGAAACTCCTCCAATCACAAATCTCATCATCATCATCATAATCATCATCACCGGGACTCGATGAAGGAGTTTCGAGCTGTCATTGCAGCCGAAGAACCGATTCAGGGCTTCGAGTATGCTGATATGAGGAGGTCGAAGAGCGAGAAGATGGGCACAAGAGAGGTTGCAAAAGCAGAGGATGTTGACAAAGAAGCAGAGGAGTTCATCAAGTTTGAGCATACGAAGTTCAGTAAGTGGATGACTAAGAGTGCCTAGTTTATATGCAGGTAAAGAAATAAGAAATAATAAGTGACAAACCGTATTCTATAAAGATTGTATTAAATGATATTTGTGTGTTCTTCTTCTTTTTGTTTTTATTTTTGTTTTGCAACAAAATGGGTGCTGTTGTTACCTTTGTCTACAAAGGTGCATTGAAATAAAGACTTTTATGTACTTATAAATGTTTAGTCCCAACACAAAAGTTCTCTTCCAATAACATGCAAAAATCTAGTTTGAGCTTCGAATGGTAACTACACAAACCATAATATACTACAAGATATAGTCTAGGTATCACATTTAAATGCAAGATTGTCACACTAATCATGAATACATGAAATAAAGTGCAAGAATATATAAAATATAATTCTTTCTACAAGAGCTTAAGAGTTTGAACATTATATCTCATTAATATTAGACAAATGAAGAAACCCCTTTTATAAACCAAGAAAAGGGGAAAACACACAACACACACACACACACACACAAATGGCACATACAACAATTAAAGTCTTGTTTATTATGAAAAAACCCCTTTTTCAAACCAAGAAAAAAAGGGGAAAAAACATAAACACCAAAAAGGGAAAAACAGAGGATAGAGTTTTGTATTTTGTTTTCCTATAAAATGTAACCAAACCATAAAAAAGAGTAAAACAAAGACTCGCACCACTAGAGAATAGACCTGCAAAGAGGACATGTGGTGTGGTTATTACCAAACCATTTGTCAAGACAAGCTCTGTGGAAGAAATGCTTGCAAGAAACCAACTCACTCACTTCCTCTTCCTCTTCAAACCCACAAAGACACACACAACACTCTACTACTTTCTCTTCACCTTCTTCTTCCTCTTCTTCTACCTCTCCTTCTCCTCTGTTCTCACACAGAGACTTGAACTGTGTTATTGAGATTCTTCTACTCAAGAAATCCTCTTCGGGCACATCTTCATCTAATTCCATGGAGGCTTCGCTCTCGGATACCACAATCTGAAAAACAGACCTCACCATGTTCTTCAAGAGAGTGACTGAAACAACCGTGTTCATCACAAGAAGTGGTAGCACTCCTTCTGACGCTGTCGGAAACTGCGAAAGACCCATTCTTGTAAGTGATGTCTTCTTATGTAGATTATATCCTACAGAGATGAGAACTCTTTTGAAAGTTTTTGAGACTTTTTGAAAAAGAAAAAGAAATCTTTAGAAGAAGAGAAATAGAGAGGAAGTATAGCCGCCACTCATGTTTCCGATGGGCGATTGGGTTTTTGTATTTTAACCAGCGGTGGTCTAAACACGTGTCAACACGATAGAGGCTATGCTTAGAGACTCAATCCCTCTCAAGTCTCCACAACTTGATCGTGGTGGACTCTTCGTATTTTCAATAAGGTAGCTTCTTCCTTTTATAACGGAGAAAAAAAGAACATAAAATAAATGAAAAAAACTCTGTTTTTGTATGTTTCTGTGGTCTGTTTGTTTGTTGATCTTCTGACACGTATTGTGATAAGCCAACCAGATAGTGCGTTGTGGAGAGCTCCTTGTTCTCCCGAGGTCGACTCCTAATCGACACGTGGAGACTTCATCTCTCACGATCGCAAGCATGTAATTCGTACGGACGTGCTGACACGGCAGTCATCTTAACATAAAAAGTTGACAAATCCTTGCAGAGTCCACACATGTTCTGTTTCAGAACCTCACGATCTCTTCGTGTGATTGAGACCATGGATTGTTATTGACAACTCTCTTTTCTATATTATTCAGTTTAAGGAGATGGGGTAATTATCTATATATAACCTGTAGAGAGATGTATGTATATGTAAATGTTGAGATACAAATAGTACTAATTAGTATGTATGGCAACCTCAGAAGTATCTCATGGCTACAACAACTACTAATATGGTAAGGTCCTATGGAGAGGTGGTTGAATTGGATGGGCTTTCAACTTGTTATAACGATTTGAAGTAATCCTTCTCTGCGTTTTCAACTCTTTTCTCGAACAATTTCCATTCCAGTTGACATCTATCCCTCACCTGCAAACACAGAAATTTTAAAAAGATTGCTCCATTGGTTGCTTTCTCGTCAAGGTATCTAGAAACCTAAGACATCCCTAGGTATTTGTTATAGAGTGCAAGCTCTTCTTTTTCAGACAAGGCAAATACAAAACCAAGATTTCTTACCCCTTGCCATGGGGCTTTCCCGTTATCTGCTTTTCCCTGGATTCATATTGGCAAGAAAAAGAGAAAGAATGAGATTTTAATTGTTTTTTTTCTTAGAGAGGAGAAAGTAAAGAAGTTGGTTTAACCTCATTGCCAAGGGAAGGTATAAATTGATGAACGATCCACTGAGAGTCTACTATTCCTATCTTCTCATATGCAGGCTCCTTCATTTCCAAATATAAAAGTGAGAGCATCATCATCAATCGATCAAACATGCAGGTACGTTTATATGAAACATTTGAATATTTTGTGTACCTACCTCAACACATCTTCTGAGTGCAAAATCAAGACCCCAACCATGAACCAAATCATTCTGTTTTCAGTTCACAATAAGGTTTAAGTTAGAATTTGATTGGGAAAGGGATAAAGAAATTCTGCATATAGTGGAATAAGACAAGAGATAATAAAGTTTAATTGTGACCTGGATCATATGCCACACGCAGCGCCACGCAGCTCTTGAGAAGACAGGAGCCATGATCTCCACGAATCTGTGGTTTTATGAAAGACACAAAAGTTGAGCTAAATATGTGGACATCTAAAACTTGAGTTTGATAGAGAGATTATTATAACATACGCAGCACATGGAGGCCGGGGAGGATTAGAGCACCAATCTAGTTTTTCATCTGTTTCTTCCCTGATAAAGATTCAAGTCATATACATAACAGTATTGTAAGATAATTAAAGCCATCTAGAGAGGAAGTTATGAGTTTGATATATACTTATGGACTTCACTATGTTCTCTTCTTTTGGTGATCTGCCAATTAAACCCTGTCTCTGGGTCCAAACCAGGCTGTGAAATCTCAAGGCCATGCTTCTTCACCATTTTTATGTATCTGCAACAACAAACATATTTTTTTATTGGCTCAGTAAAATGGAAGTGAGAAAGTAAAAGAAACTCACTCTTCTGCGTTGAAGTGATCGACTCCAAGATCTTCATCCCATATGAATATATAATCGTATCGTGCTACAATGTCCGGGTGCAAGAATCTCTTTGCATACCACCTTAAAGTTTATAATATGGGAGTCAAGAAAGTCACATAGCAAGAGAAAGAAGAGAGGCTTAAGCAAAGATATTGATACCATTTCGTCTGCTTTTTGACACTTATGTGTATTGCAGTCTTAGACCACTCAAACTCATCATTCCACTCACTTGTTCTCCCATCGTAATGAAACAGAACAATTGTAAAGTTGTCTGAAAACTGGTTTTTGAGTAGACAATACATAATGAGTTTTACTATCAACCAAGCAAAAAAGAGAAAAAAAAGAAAGGGCATCACACAAACCTTGTTAACACATGCATCTATATTGTGTCTCTGATTATAACCCACTGTAAATGTTGCTAGATATCTCGGTTCTTTCTTCAAATCCTGAGAAAGCAGAGAAAAGAAACTTGAAGCTAGTGTCACTGATCACACATGAAAGATATGGTAATATCCAAGAATGAGGACAAACCTCATCAGGGCTCCCCCACAATCTGCGCAAGTACAAGTCTGACTCGGATGCAACAATACCGGGTGGTAATCTTTCAGCGCCTCGAGGATTTGAAGGCACCCATATCTGAACCAAAAACATTGTTTATAAGCTTTGGTTTTATTCTTGAAACATTAAAAGAAAAACATGTGTAAGTTCCAACATAAAAACATGCCTTTGAGTTATCATTGACTGTGGGAGGAGTTGCAATATCTGAATTCCTATGTGAGATATCAATGGAATGCAGAAGGTTTCTGGGGAGACTCGTCTACAAACACAATAAAAAGTGTTATGCAACAAATGGATTATAAATCTAAGAAAGAGAAGAAGTTGTTTGAAGAGAAAACAAGAAGAACCTCAGTGATCCATAAAGATGGAAAAGATAGTCCAAGAATAATGCCAAAAGCTATAGCAAACAAAGCAGTTGTAAGAAGCTTCACGCTATCGTCTGATCTCCTACTACTACTACTACAAGTTGGGCTGTGATAACAAACAACAATCACATTACCATCGATCTGATGTAGAAGAGAGAGCACAGTAAGATAAAAGGGGCTTTTCTTACCTGCGTGACAAGATTCCCATACTTAGGTTTTGATTACAACTTACAAGCAACAAATGTCATCAACACCATCTTCAATCACTCCTGTGTTATATTGATAAAACAAACTGCATATCACTTGAGCTATACAGGTTAAAAAAAACAAAACACGAATGATCTAATCAAAAGACTTTAGATGCTTTATCATCACCTAGATTAACAATACAATACTACATTCACGTGTCATCAGCAATGTTGATTAGTATACACGACAAAGCACGAAGGTGGTGATAGCAAAAACAGAACAATTAAAAAAAAGACATGACATTACAACGCAAAATTTGAGACGACGAGCAACGCGTTTTGATCAAATAAGTGATATTGTTTTACTTGAAGATCCTAATTCCTCCGGCGATCTCCAGTATTCCAGAGCAGACGACGTGTGGAACTGAAAGCTGTTCTGGTGATTAAAAAAAAAAAAAACTTAGATTTTTTTAATGATATGATTAGAGGAGTGATTACTGATTAGCCACATGGAAATTGGAAGCCAAAACGGAGAGTTTTATAGCCTTCACATATATAGAATTTTTATCAATTATTTTTTTGGGTTACTTATTACTCATATGGAAAAATATATTATTTAGTCATGATGACTCCTCACCCACCCAAGAAGATGAAGATCAACAAAGTTACGTATAACTCCTTTGATGGGTTTAATTTACAATTAACGTGGTTGAACGTTTCAAAAGTTTTAATACACTGTAGAAATAATATCATCCTATTTTTGGAAACTGTATATATCACATTTAACCTTTTTTGAAACGAAATCACTATTTTTGTGCATATGTATTTATTACAATATTTGTTACATTTTACAAATGTATATAGCAACTTATCTACCATTCTGCAATTTTTTAATGCTTTCCTGTTATACATGGTCATTTGGAGAAAATAAAAGGTGCAGAAATGGGCGACAAAAAAAAAAAAAAAAGGTGCAGAAATGAGTAAATAAAAATTGATATCTATTAATGTATTGTTTACTAATAGTATATTATTATTATTATTATCAATTCTTTATGGTATAAGATTTCTATAAGATTAGCACTCTTGAATTTATGATAAATAACTTTTTTCAAAATTGAATTGTTGGTTCGGACAAAAGTAAATACGATTTCAAGTTATGAAGTAACGTATAGCCAGGAAATTGAGAAGCATAAGTTGTGGCCTTGTATTAGATTGGATAATTATATTTTATGTTTTAACCTTTGGTGGCTCATCTTTAAAATAGGTGTATTTGCAATATATGATGTACATTTTAGCTTTACTGAATACGTCTTTGAGGTTCAAGAAGGCTACAACTACAAGTACTTGGATGCGAACTTGCAAAAACGTCCAAACCTTATAACTTTGAGCCAAGAGATTCATCATCTGATCCATAGCACTTCTAAGTTTTTTGAGCCAAAAGGGATGGTAAGTTTCATATTTTATTGATCATATTGGGTGTGGAGAACACCCAACTCTTCGCCAAGCCCCCAAAGTAAGCTCTTTTTCAAACATTACAACATGAAAACATGTTAAAAGCTTTTTGAAAAACATTTTTCAGATGGTATATACATAAAAAACAAAAAGAAATACAGAGAGTATATGGTATTTGAATAGGGTACCGGTTTTCTCATAGTAGAGGTTCAGCGAGTTCCATCTCATTCGCGCTCTCTTGTCCTGACTCAATTCTTCGTCCTCCCACAAAATCAATCCCGAGAAGTTGCCATGGCCAACACGCATATCTAGCTCTGTTTGATGTATTCATATCTCGATGGGTTTCTAATTCTTCAACTTTACGGTTTAGCTCTTGGATTCTTTCCCTCAACTTAGTCGCCCTATTGTCTGCGAGTCTCAGAGATCTCTCTGCTGCATCCCTTGCACCCATGGCTGCTGCAGCTGTCTCTTCCTTAAACTTTAGTTTCTTCTCTGATTCTATGATAGCTTGCTTTGCCTCTTCAAGTTCTTCTTTTAGCACAGACAGCTGAGCAAACAAAGCCAATAAGAGTTAAGACTGTCATTCCTTAGGCATACCTATAAATAGAACAGAGTACTTTGATAGGATCCAAAGAACTTCTTTACGCACTCTACCAAGAACAACACATCATAAAGAGACTTAATTAGTAGGAGAATCTCTACTCAGCCCTATTCCTAATACCCAGAGCAAATCCTGAATACACCAACTATCTCCTAGATTTCCTTTTAGCTCTCAAGCTAACTGACTCAAGTATAGTTACTGAGCTTGTCAACATAGCTATTATCCACACTACAAACCTCCTAGGGTACTAACAATGCTCCTGCACTAGACCACACCAGGACTAACCACACACCTGTGATGTGAAGTCTTGTTCAACAGCTCCACCAGCAGCAGCCTCCTGCTCGGCTGCTACTTTCCATCTTGCTATTTCTTCTTCAGCAGCAGCAATGTCAGTCATAAGCCCTTCAACCTATTATCCAAGGAACCAAAAGTTAAACAAACTCTTGAGACATATTGTATATACTTCGTAGCAAAAGCCAAATGATCCACAAAACAATCAGCTTTCACAGCAATAGCAAGCAAAAATTCACTCACATTTTCATTCGCTATCCTCTCTTTTTCTTTAAGTTCTTCAATTTGGCGCATTCTCTGGTTAAGCTCCTTCGTTTGAGTGTCCAATTGTTTCCTCAGAGCGTTAGTCTCTTCCCTGGTTGATACACACAAATAGAAGTGGTCCACGTAAGAGACACCAAGAAAAGCAAACAAAAGGATCGCTGTGAAAAGCAAACTACATTGGACAACAAGGAGTATCACATTTTAAAAAATGCATTAAAACAGTCACTTCCATGGAGATTTATTGAACATCAAGTACGATGCCTCAAGAACATTAGGTTCCCAATAAAAAGCTGCTCGAATACATAATGATTCTGCCACATCTTTCCTAGGTCACACGAATCAATGAGGTAAAACTAAGCATTTACTTTCTAGCGAATCCAAGTAAACTCCACTATCAAAGTTATTAGATATAAAGGAAGGATTATGCTTTAAAGAGCTTACCTTGCCTCCTCCAACAAGTGCTGCAGTTCAACGATCTCAAGTTGAGATGCCTTGACAATATTTTCCAATGTGCTGGCCTGCATTCCAATATAGAGACATCATAAGGTGCCCGCACAAATGAAATTCATCAAAACATAATCGGCATAAAGGAACACACACCAGGGAAAATATTTCATTCTCCTCCGTACTATGATCATCGGTACTACCACTACGAGAGTCCTGAACCTTTCCATCCTTTAAGAGTTTACTGAATTTGGAATCAATACCAACATTCCTCAAACCATTCTCTGCAGCCTGGAACAATTCTCTTTTTTGGGATGGCTGCTCCACGGTCATCCTTTTGGACAAAGCGCTCCTCAGTAAAGTACCAATATGTTCCTTCTCCTTAACTAATAGACCCACGGTTTCATTCAAATTCTTTAGTTCATGGCTATTCTCTTCCACCAAACTCTGTGCTTTCCCAGAAACCACTTTGGTCAGTTCGAAGATGGATTCCATACCTGCTAAAGAAGCTCGAATGTTCTCCTCCATCTCTGTCTCTTGAGGCATAAAGAAAGACTCAGACAAATCTGACTGTTCGGAACTATTTCCATCAACTATCCTTACAGCCTCGTAAAGCTGGTCATGGATCCTTGATACAAGATTCAGCTGATCCATCAACAAAGGACGCTGAGCTACCATCTTCAGTTCCATAGTCTTCAACTTCCCATCATACTCATCAACCAACTGTTTCAGTTCCAGAACTTCCCCTTCCAGCACACTTACCTTCTCTAAACTACCTTTCTCAAGTTCAGTAATCCTCTTGTCTTTCTCACTCACACCCCTCTCTAAATCATCAATAATTGAAGCCTTCTCTGCAACCTCTAATCGTAAATTACTGATAGCAGACTCCAACTGAGAAACTTCAATGGCTATCTCATAATTCCGCTGGTCCATCTGCTCCCTAGCTTCATTTCTCGACTTTGCAGTAGTATCAATCTGCCTAACGAGCTCCTCCACGATTTCATTAGTACGCTTAATAACTCCATACGCCACAGAAGCAAGACCAGTGTATTTCTGAGACTTGGGAAGACCCCCATTTGAAAAATTCTTAAAGCTGTTTACTTTACCAGATATCTTCTCAATCCCAGAAACCAACATATGCGACGAATTCTCAATCTCTGCTTTTAAACCATCTCTAGATCTCACAGCCTCATCAAGTTTCTTCGACATCTCATCCTGCTGCTTAATCAATTCATCCTTACCTTTATTCACATTCTCCAGCTCCTTTGTTAAACTCTCCTTCTCCTTCAAGACTTCATCTCGTTCTCGCTTAGACTCGTCACGCTTCTTAATTGCCTCGTGGGCAAGAGCCTTTAACCGATTGAATGACACCTGAAGCTCCGATTTCGAGCTCTCAGCAGCTTCTCGAGCTTTCTTCTCACGATCAAGCTCCGCGATTAGCTCCGTTATCCTCTCTTCCGATGAATCTTCCCGCGGCGGATCCTTTAAAACAACAGGCGCTGGTTCATCGGACTCAACATCGCTGAGGACAGCATCGGTGTCCTCATCGGTTCCGTTAGCCATCTCACCACCGTCGATCAGTGAAGACGATTTTGGCTTCTCTCCGATCTAGTTTTTGCTAATTGCAACAGTGGCGTGCAAGGAATTGGCGCAATTGCTTCACCAAAGAGGCAAACTTGGGAAAATGGAAGATCGAAATAAGCGTTTGCTACCAAACAGCCGTCTCCGATCGCAGGATAAAGATTTCCGGTAAGGGTATTAACTATTTAAAAGTAGGTGAAACAAAGAGCCGATCTTCTACGGCGGAGGAACTTCAAATACCACGACGGAGAAGACAGAAGAAAAAAGCAATTCTCGGCGTAGAGTTGGGTTGGTTTACTTATTTTTCAATTTCTTTTTGCTTTTTATTAAAAGATTTGGTAGGCTAGTTTTGTAAGGCCCAACTATGTCTTAAGCCCGTTTCATTCTATACTTTTTATCAATTTCTATAAAAATATTACAATTTACATATCACAGAAAAGATAGCAAGTATTATAGATGACATCAAATCTAAAATCTTATCTACATAGTTAAGGTTTAAGTTAATTAAGATCTTTATTAGTTAAAAGATTTGTTTAGGCCAGTAAACGGATAAATCATACCCGATAATATAGCTAACCGAACCTATTTCTCCAATCAAATTCCAATTTCAAAATGGAATAATAAAAAGAAACTAAAATATCCTGACTTGTAATTCTCTTATATACATTCACAAAGAAATCAATCATTCATTCAGCAGATTCAGCGTACGCAGACAGAACCGATTCATTAAGAAGGTAAACATAAATTGCACATTAAGATTTACTGATCAGTCTTCTCTCCAAGTTCACTTTTTCTACGATCTGAATTGATTACAAAGTTGGAACCTTTCACTACAGTTCCGACCGACGCTTCAGTTTCCTAGAAAAAATCGATTCTTTGATGAATTTTATATGTTTTCTAGCTTGTTAATGTAATCAAAAACAAGGAATAGAAGAAGATACTTGATCAGATCGATAATGCTCCAGCAAAAATTAATATAATTTTGGTTTTGCAGGGAAGTTTAAGTCAATCTGTGATGGGAAGTAGCAGTTCAAAACGCTCGAGCAAGAGAAGCAGTGGTAGATATCCTCAAAGTGCTTCTATATCTTCTTACGGGCACAATCCTCACCAAAACATCCCTCACTACACTCCTCAAGCTCCTGTTTCTTCATCTCTCAAAAAGTTTCCGCAGAAGAAGTATTCTCAGATCGGTGATTACTACCGTTCCATTGATGAGGTCCAGTTTCCATCATTGAATGTTTTTGGCTTTACGAGATTTTTGAGAGTTTTTGTGTTTGTTGATTCTGTTTATTGAATGTTCGTGGTTTATTATAGGTTACGGCTGCTCTTTCTCATGCTGGTTTGGAGTCATCGAATCTGATTGTTGGTATAGATGTCACTAAGAGCAATGAGTGGACAGGTGAAAGTTTGATTTTTTTTCTCTTCTTGATGTATGTTAAGCAATTGTTTGAAAATTTGAAGGGTTTTTGTGTAATGCTTTTTTGGTGGGTTTGATTTTGAATTCAGGAGCGAGATCTTTCAATAGGCAAAGCTTGCATTACATTGGAACAAGTCCAAACCCGTACCAGCAAGCGATTTCCATCATTGGAAAGACTTTATCTGTTTTTGATGAGGATAATTTGATCCCTTGTTATGGATTTGGAGATGGTAATAATTTTCTGCAAAGAAAAAAGACTTGTTAGTCTTGTATATCTTAAAGATAAATGTTTATTTAATTGTTTTTTTTTTGTGTTTGTATGTTTGATTCTTGCAGCTACAACACATGATCAGCATGTCTTCAGCTTCTTTCCGGATGATACATTCTGTAACGGCTTTGAAGAAGTCCTTTCACGTTATAGAGAGATTGTTCCTCAGCTGCGTCTTGCAGGTCGAGATTTAGAAACTCTATTTCCTGCTCGTGTGTGTTTAGTGTTCTTTTACATGATCTTTGGTTGCTCATGTCACAGGGCCAACTTCTTTTGCACCCATTATCGAAAGGGCCATGACAATTGTGGAAGAAAGTGGAGGGCAGTACCATGTTCTTCTCATAATTGCTGATGGACAGGTGAATAAATATTTTGGTTTTGCTACATTCATTATCCGACATTAATCGCATGATTAACTAGGTTTTGATGTTTATGAATGTCAGGTAACCAGAAGTGTTGATACAAATCAAGGCGGCCTCAGCTCCCAAGAACAAAAGACCATTGATGCGATTGTTAGAGCTAGGTACATATCTGATATCTCTCCTTACGTTTAGTCAAAATCAGATATATAATAACCTCTGTGCTCTAACTTATGGTGCAAATCGCAGTGCATATCCTTTATCGATAGTTCTGGTTGGTGTTGGAGATGGTCCTTGGGATACAATGAGACAGTTTGATGACAACATCCCCGCTCGTGCCTTTGATAATTTTCAGTTTGTGAACTTCACGGAGATTATGGCAAAGAACCTTGATCCTGGAAGAAAAGAAGCAGAATTTGCACTTTCCGCCTTGATGGAGATCCCGTCTCAGTATAAGGCCACCCTCGAGCTCGGCTTACTCGGGTTAATATCTTGATATTTTATTGACAGTATTACTGTAACTACTGCAACTACAAAACTCTTTATATAACCAGCAAATGCCCTTGTTTCCAAATTTGCAGACGAAGAACTGGAAAGTCTCCAAACAAGATTGCTCTTCCACCACCAATCAGTGCTAGTACTACTAATCCATTTCTAAACACCAGCTCGAAAACTTCCTGGTCAAACACTGTTGCCACTGCACCGCCTATTTCAGCTGATAGTAACGTGAGAGAGGTTTGTGTATAGGCCTTTAATCATAAAGAAACTGTGCAATAATCACTCATTTAACCAAATTTTTCAAATGAATTTCAGAATTGCCCTATCTGTCTGGTTAATGCAAAGAACATGGCATTCAACTGTGGCCATCAGACTTGCCATGAATGTGGACAAGACATTGATAAGTGTCCCATATGCCGCAGCACGATTGCAGTTCGCATCAAGCTCTATTGATGAATGGTACTTTTTTCATTAGATCATCGACCACAAGGTGAACGAAACCCATTATTTTTTCTCTAGGCTTCGCCATTGTTTCTAATCTCTATAGGAATAAACGATTTTTGTGGTTCTCCATTTATTCTTTCTGTATATAGTTTATTCTCAGTGCACTCGATTGAACACAAAGTGCAGTGATTAGCTTTCAGTATTATAAGCTTCAGAGCTTTTTTAATAATAGATTGTTTCCATGATAGCGTGAAAATATTTCATTTACATACAATTCGTGTTACTCATCTGTCCATTGGACCATTGAAGTAACTAGGGGTGGTTGTGAACATAAAATCCAAACTAAACAGTGAACAGAAACATATCTTTTTATACTGAAGCCAAGCCAACCACATTAGTTAACGTAATGTTTTAAGTTAAGCATATCCCACAAGCCACATCAGATTAAAGTACTATAGTAAACCGCAAAACATTGCATAACATCAAGTACTTACTACTACTATGTTATCTGTAACCGAAACGATGATTTTTCAAAGCAAATACCTTACCAGTTCCGGGGCTGGAGCGCGACAAGCATACCGTTCTTCATGTATAATGTAGTCGTGAGCTTGGGAACAATCTCCTGTCCTTGAACCACTTTGACTGAATATCTCATCAAAACTGTTGCAGCCACCATTTTCATCTGTGTATAGGCAAACTTCTTCCCAACACATAGCCTTGGACCTGCGTTGAACACAACGAACTTGAACTGATCGCCGCTCACGATTCGTCCTTCTTTAATCCATCTCTCTGGTTTGAAATCTTCCCAGTCTTTCCCCCAAATTGATTCTAATCTCCCCATCGAGTAAACAGAGTAGTGAATCCTAGCGCCTTTCTTCACCATTGTCCCATCGGGTAACACATCGTCTTCTAAAGCTTGTTTCATCTCCATTGGTACTGAAGGGTAAAGCCTCAGTGACTCTGTTAAAGCGGCTTGGAGATACACCATTTCCCTAAGCTCTTCAACCTCGAATTGATCTTTTGTTTCTTGTGTTGTACGTTTCCCTTGAATCTCCCTGATTTCGCTTAGGATTCTCTTCTCGACTTGGGGATGTTTTTGAACTAGCCAGAAAAACCACACGAGGGCTACTGATGTAGTGTCTCGACCCGCAATGATGAGACTTGTGCAGAACTCTCTGAAGTACTTGTCTGAAAAGTAGTTTCCTCTTGTGGTACCTTCTTCTTTCTCGTACTCTCTCTGCATAATGCGTGACAAGAGATCAGAGGAATCGTGTAAGTTTCTCAGTTTCCTCATCTTGTTCCTCCTCTCTCTGACTGTCTTGTTGGCAAATGCGTGGACGATTCTAACCGCTTTCTTTAGCTTTTTCTCATACCCAATTCCTAGAAACCTCATTGGCTTCCACACAAAAGGAGGTAACAGAAACCTTGCAAGTGTATACTCTGTGGCTTCTTCAAAAGCCTTAGCAAAGGGAATCTCCGGTAAATCAATCTCTAAAGATCCGGGATAAACCCCAAAGGCAGAGATACAGATGTTGTCGAAGGTGAAACGCAGGAGCACATCTTGTAGATCAAAGACTCTCTTAGAAGTAGACAACATCTCCAACAGCGGCACAAGCTTATGGTCCACCAGATCTCTCATCGTTGTAAACGTGTGTTCCAAGAAACGAGAAGAGTGCATCTCGGTTTTAGCCACGCGTCTCTCTTCCATCCAAAGCTCATTATCAGCATTGAAGATCCCATCTTCAAGAAGATCACGAAACCTCTCTCTATAAAACTCACCCTTTGGATAGTTCTTGAAATTGGTTTTGAGAATGTGCTCGATGTTTGCAGGATTTGCGGTCATGATTCCGTAAGCCCCACCGAACCAAATTCCCCTGTAATGAAACGTCCCACCAGCTCTAACCACGCCTCTGGTGCACCAACTTAACAGATCGTCTTTGTTTAAGGCTAACAGCGGTATGATTCCCAACACTGGCCACATTACTGGGCCACCTTTGCTCACTAACTTCTCACGCAAGTAACTAAGAAGAAAAAGCCCTACTAGAGCTAAAGCCACGTCCGATAACTTCAAGTGGGCGTATACCCATTCCACCGCAGAAATCAACATTATAATCTCCACTACGTTAGAGACTTTCGGTATTTAGTTAAGAAACACACAAAAGGTTAAGGCTTTTTTGCTGAGTTGCAAATGCAGAACTAAGATGGCAAGAGTTATAAATAACGAGAGTAATGAGATAGCAGAGTTCTTAAATGATCATACCAACTTCATTAGACCCTTAAAACTGTATTAACTATTCTCGGCTATATAGCTGAATGAGGAGGAATGATAGTTATAATAGTGGGGTTAGCTGTATAGTAGTTTACTGATTATGTAGCATATACAAAAATGTTAATGAAGTAATGAGTTTCAGAGCAATGTACACTTTGGCTGATTATATAAACTATCCTAATTTTAATCACTGAATTTTTAAATATATATTTGTTGCTGCGATTAACTCTACGGCCTTATAATTAGATATTTCTTCAAACATATATGGTTTCACATATGAATGGGATATTTTTCATTTTTGTTCAAAAACACTTATCTTAGAAATATAATCTATCTGGCAGGCTCTCTAACTCCCAACGACTTTAATCGTAGGTGGTGAACTAAGGATCGTCATCTCCAAACTTCATGGTTTAATCATTAATTATGGTCATTACTAAGTTTATAAAACATTAATCATGGTCCCCCTTCTTTACCTAGCTCTTACACATAGAGATAGCCTTTTTCTATGGAGTTTACTATGTATTGTTCTTGTAAGAAACATATATACTAATCTCTTCTTTCTTGTGTAGATGATTTTTTAGGTTTTTATTTTTTTCTAAAATAGATGATTTTCTCAAAAATCTATCCAAAATTAAATATTGTTTTATGGATTTTATCAGTTTATATTCTGCAGATTGTTTTTTTTATTGGTTGAATTGTGTTTAAGTAATATTAAATGATTTGTTTTAGAAATAAACAAAACTTAAATGTGTTCTTAATCTATGTGCATTTGATCAAAAGATCATTATATTCTAGAACGGAGAGAGTACTGTTTTATCGGGGAAAATGGAGTTTAATCAAATAAACATTGAACTTATTCGGGTAAACTATTTTTTTTAGAAGATTACATATATATATATATATATATATATCTATTAGAATATTGAAAATTCTTTGCAAGTAGAAATAAAGGATTAATGTGATAATGTCATATTGTCCATCAATCGTTTTCGTCTTTGATGCTGAGAAATTAACTTCTTACCAAACTCTCTTTCTTATAACTAACTTTAATTTAGGGTTCCTGTGGACTATATTATAGTATCTGTCTTCTTTTTCTATCCAATCGTTTGGATTAGTACTATTTTTAAAAGCATCTAATTATCCAAGTTTTGTAACCAAATCCAAAATGGTATTATGAGCTATGCCAAGTGGGCTTCCTCTGCCTATAGGTTGGACCAACCTATTTGTCACCATAATTTTGGCCATCGCTTTATTCCCACACAAGTAAAAGTAATGAACATCCAAATTTCATTTTGCAACTATATATATATTTTTAATAATGTGAAATTATTGTTAACCAATGAGTGGTTGAAATTTCAGATAATTTGGGACAGTCCCGAAAATATATATATATATATATATTTTTTTTTTGGTAGTAAAAAGGGAGTTAAACTCCCATTAGAAAGAAAAAAGAAAGAATTCAAATACAAACTCGACGCGGTATCGCAACTCCCCGGACATCATCAGACACCAGGACATCTACACAACTAGGGCTGGAGTCAAGCAAGTGATACCCCAGCTGGGTAGTAAACGCATAGTTAGCCAACCCATCAGCTAGACGATTAGACTCTCTATGCACGTGAACAATTCGGACTATCCAGTCCCTTGAAATCAAATCATGGCACATCCGTACAAGGAAAGACAGGGAATGAGTAGGACTGATCCCTGTCTTCAGAAAACCGACTACTATTTCAGAATGCACCTCCACCTCTATACGCTGAGCTCGCCTCTCCCATGCGATATATAAGACATAGTAAACTGCCCACAACTCCACCAAAGACGCCGAGCAAATCCCAATATGTAATGCAAACCCGACTAGCCAATCTCCCCATTCATTCCGAAAATATTTTATTAGTTACACTTTCCGCGGTTCTATAAACATTTATTGATTTAATGTACCATAATATTGTCAAAACGTATTTTTAATTGATTATTCTAATTATTATTATTATGATTATTTTTGATTATTCTAATTTGCCGACAGTCAATGCTCAAATTAAAACCTAAAAGGACGTATGCAAATATTTATACACTCAAATTGTGCATAAATGTAGTGTGAAAACGTAGGAAAAAAAAAACCTTGAACCTTATTATTGATTCTTTTGTTTTGTTAAACACTGTTACGTTGTAGAGCACTACTTATTAAACTTTGAGTTATGTGGTCGTGAATCGTGAGACAGTACAGACCATAAACCATAAATGAGGCCAGAATGATATCGTATTTCACTAATATTGTTTTGTATGTATGCACGTAACGTATTTGTAATCCATAGTTTAGACTTTACAAACAAAAAAATAAAATATCTATAGTTGTTTGGATATACGCTTTCTATATTTGTCATCTTCTATTTAAATTTATCTGCGACAATCGAGATGCACACACATAAATCCATATTTCAACAGTTATATTCGAACTTAGCCAATTTCTAAAGAATTTTTCGGTCTGATGAGGTCGTAATCGGAAACCCATCTTCTCCACTAAAACATATATAAGAAGCCAAAGTTTGGGCCACTCGATCTTGGATTGGAAGAGAATAAAATTTATAGATCGATGTAAAAGATTAATATTTGTGATTTATTTTTTTCTTTAAAGGAGTTTATCATCATGAGAAACGACTTTGTTTTTGTAATAAGACGAGCTCAAGTTGACAACTTGCATGTCTACTTTTAATTCTCACGGTCACGTACACGTACCAAGGTATGTGCCAACTTTGTCCACTTCACGCAAGATATGTCTACTCATTCCATTTCTTTGTAAAATTGTGTGATGGACAGTCTATTGTATGGATTTGTCTTGTCTGGAACATCACGAATCGTAAAAGGAATAATCAACAAAACAAGAAAAAGAAAAGAGAAAAAAAAACAGTAAAAGCAATAAAACACTATGATCGATTCGTTATCATGCAAATGGTCTAGTGAACTTGTATGTGGTGAAGCTAACTGAATTGGTGGCTGGCGCTGAAGCGTTACGGTTTGTTAATCAAACTTGGTCTAATAAACTTGTTTCATGGGAGAAGGTGATGGTGTAACGGGTTTCGGGCATGTGATCTATCATCTATCACATGAATGACGAAACCAAATATATTGTTCTTCACACTGTCCGATGTCTTAACAGTCCCTCTCTGTTTTAGCCTTTTCTTTTTCTTCTCTATAACTATTAAAGAAAAAGGTCCTTGCGTCAAACAGTCCTATATGTATAAACATTGTTTGCTGCAGACTATGATTATCTAAATATCATTAAGAAGCCCTGTAAAAAGATAGTTACACTAAGTTAATAAAATCACGGTATTGCATACCCAAATTAGTTATAATGGCGACGTCTCCTATTACTCAAACTCAAAAGAGTATTATTGATGGAGTTGGCAACGAGTTATTTTCGTTGTAATAAAAGTCAGCAACATGCATGTTAAACGAATCAATACTGTACTTGTTTGACCCGAACGATAATATTAATAAAGAAAAATTGTATGGTATCATGCAAATTTCTGTAAAACTATTTACAAGTTGCATTTAATGATCCGTCTTAATTTGTCCTTTTTCATTACTAATAATAAGTTGCCATTTTTTATTTGTTTGGTTGGCTTTTCCAAGTATTTAATTTTCTTCCTTTGAAAATTTTAAAGTTTGTACGTACTTTCTTATTTTAATCCCAATTTTGTAGTCAACCTATGAAAGAGATGTATGTTTCACTGTTCCAAAATAATAGTTTTGCTTTGTGTCCCAAATAATAGTTTTCCTTTGTGTATTTTCAACGAATTTGGATAAAACAGTCTGTAAGTAACGGTGCATTCAATAAGTTAGGATAAATCGTATGTTATTGTATATCATATGTTATCTGCTAAGCAATAAGAGTATACGAACGATGACATATATTGTATTAATACACTAATGAAACCGAGACATACATGCAGATTCAAAACGTTAGATTTTTCAATCATATATTGCTAACAATATATGTTAAAACGTTATTAAAGTAGAATGATCTCTAAAACTAGAGATAAAAAAAATACAACTAATAAAGTCTTGATAAATCTCACTCTGTTTTAACAAATACATCAAATGATATTTCTATAATTATATAAAGTTAAAAATAAAGGAAGTTTACGCTATCTGATCAAACCCTCACGGGCCATTTGACTTCTCGGTTTGGCGTATATCCCAAATCAATATATTTATCTCGACAAATCTCACTTTGGTTCATTGGACTTTTTGCATGCAGAATATTATAATGAGTCCAAACATAATTTAATCATACAGTACTTCGTCTGACAACCAATCACAACCCTATAAAGAATCTAACACAAATATAGAAGAAAAAATATAGTCGCAAATTTAAGAAACAACAACCCCATTAGATTTCCCCAGGTTTCATGGTGGCATAGACACATATCTTCATTTTCTACCCCCTGAAGTGAAGAACATGTGCACTTGTGTCAACTTGTCCATTTCTAATCCGTTGTATCTAATCTAACGATTAATTATCATGTTCTTTTATATTAACATTATTGATCACAACCTTGCAATTTATAAACACTCTTCTGGTACATATTTCAATAATTTCTAACAAATTTTTTTCTTTCAAATGACTGTTAAAAAACGCCAAATTGTTGTTTATAAACCAATAATTAAAAAAAACAAAATAATTAATTTATTGAACAAGATTCGTGTAAAATGAATTATCCGGTTTGGTGACGGAGACCTTCCAACATTTAATCTCTCCGTCAAGACTTCCACTGACTATCGAAACGACACCGTCCGACTCCGTTTCTTTAACCGCCGCTAACGACTTAACCGGTTTGGTATGACCAGAAAGAACCTCCAAACAACTATAACTAGAATCCGATCCGCGTCGCCAAATCCTAACCGTCCGATCAGCAGATCCACTCAGCAGCAAATCAGAGACATTGAACAAGCTCAGTATTGCTTTATCATGTCCCCTCAACGCACCTCTCACCGCCATGTAATCGCAAGTGTCCTCCCTCTCCCAAACCAAAATAGACCGGTCACACGAACCGGAAAACAAAACCGATCCGTCGTCGTTTAATGCCAAAGCGTTAACCGCCGATTTGTGCTTCTCCAAAGTCGCGACTAACGTGTGACGTTTCGAACCGGTCGGTTTGGTCCAAACCCGGATACGTCTATCCGCGGATCCGGTGTATACTGTGCCATTCGCAGAGACGGCGACAGCATTGACGGCGTCATCGTGAGCTTTGATGGACTCTTTGCAACGAAGATCAGAAGCTCTCCAAATCTTCAAAGTCTTATCCCAAGAGACGGAGTAAATGAACCCGTTGTTAACGGCGAGAGCTGTGACGGCGTCGGCATGTTCGATCCAGAGACGTTTTTTGTGACGGCGCACTTGAACGTAGTTTTTAGGGAGAGCAAAACGTCGTAAACGGTCGTTCAAAGTCGGAAGCGTCGTTAACTGCTTATAACCGCTTTTCGCCGTTAACTTCCAAACTCCGATCTTACCGTCTTGGTGCGCCGTGAAGATTTTCTCACCGGAGAAGCCGACGGACTTGACTGTTCCCGAGAAAGGATCCTGGCCGTTGAATGTGTCGAGATGAGCACACATGTCGCGATCGTAGATGCTGACTTCGTGTCCAGAGACGGCGAAGAGATAACCTCCGTTGACGGCGAGACAAGTTACGGGAAGACTCCGTTCACGGAGTTTAAAGGAGGAGGTGATAAAGTGAGAGACGGTGAGGGGGAGAGTGTCATCGGAGGAGATTTTCTGGAGAGAAGGAACGGAAGGAAGCGTCTGGAGAGAGAGACTGCTGTGGAGGCTGCTAGAGCCGGTGGTGGTGACGTCGCTGAGTGAAGAAGATGACGTGGCGCTTTCGCCGGAATCCAAACGCTTGGGCGACTTCGTTGTTCGTCTTCTGTCTGAATCGAACAGCTTTGAGAGAACTCTCATGTTTCGGTTTCGATGTTTGGTAATAATAGTAAGAAAGGTTTGGTTTGTGTGAAGTGAAGAGATAGATTTGTATATAGAGAGAGAAGCGCGTCGTGCAGAGAGATGAAGCCACGTGGCAGGTAAGTACAGAGCGGCGCTTACTAAATTTCTGGGTGTTTTCTAAACTTCAAACTATAAAGACTGATTGTATAAATATGTTTTTGTACTTATAGACGACTGAGGGGGTATAATTGTAAATATGAGAGCCGATAGTCAAATAGCCAATGGTGGTGGTGTGTTTGTGGTTGTGAGGGTAAAGAAAGAAAGAAACAAGAAGTTTGAAATCAATCAACAAAAGAAGAGAAGGGAGGAGATTTGGGTTTATTTTGCGTTACAGCATTGATGAGGTTGGATGGTAGTGAATTGGCAGTATGGGTTAAAGAAAAGAGTAGGACCTAAATAATTATGTTATCGAATTATAGCTAAAACGTTTTATTGTGAAGATATTGTTTTAGTAAGTTTTTTGGGATGATGAATAGTTGTGTGAGTTGTAATAAATGGGTGTGTGAGTGCATAAGTGGGAAACTTGGACGGGAAAATAAATTATGAGATTGGTCACATCGTTGCTGGAAAGTGGAAAAAAGTGTGGCTGATTATAAGGTGAGAGACACAATGAGATGAAATGGGGTCAATGTCAAACCCGGGAGCTATATTAACCGATGACCAAAACGATATAAGATAAATTAGTTTTGAAAAGAAAAGAAAAAAAAGTAGGACATGTCGGAGTCGGTCGTTATCAGGAGTAGACAGTGAAGCAGCAGCGATGAGACCGAAGTTGCCAGCCCAAAATAGTGGAAAGGTTAACTTACATAGTAGGAAGGAAGGCTCGTTGCGTCTTTCTTGTTTGTTTCTATGAACCTATACTACACGAGCTATCGTTTTCGTGGTTTTGATAGAGAAACCATCACGCCGTACGCTACTTATCAACATTTCTTCTTCTTTTTTTGAAAATTCATGAGTCAAATGTGCTTATGTTGATTTTAGTGCGATTTAATAAATTTGGGGTTTCTTTTTTAAGAGGGGTCTGTCGGTCAGATAATAAACTTGTGTTTTTTTTGTTATGTTTTTTTTTATGTATTCTTTAGTTTTTGTACTATTCAGATTATGACTATTATCATCATTTTATACATCAATTCATAATTATCTATATGATAATAATGGCTTTTGCAATTACTATCTGTGTTATTATTAGCATCTTTTGTTAATACATGTGCTATTAGGATATTTTGTATGATTCTTTTTTTTTTTGTGTGGCATGATCTTGTTCTTTAAAGTTCTTTTTACTCTAATGTGTGATTAGTTTATATCCTTGAGCTAGCGAAATGGGAACAGAAGTTGGTTATTTCTTTGATTATTATTCAAAGTACACAAGATTCGTAGTACACTGGAATAGAACACGAGAAAAGTTGTGTGGAAGTTGTGAAACTGTTGTTTGACTGAGGTCTCCTTAAAAGTTGTTGCCACTGGAAAATATCAAATCAAGGATTTACACTCGACGACTATATTGTGGTCTCTCTTTTTAAAAGAGCTGACTGATTCTTGTCAATAAATGTTGCCAACTTGGTCAAAACATTACATTTTAAAAAATCCCTTATTTAAGTTGAATAGTATGCTTAGTTATTTAGATATTTCATCATTTTAAAACTTGAGGAATTTAGAGTTTAAACTTAAATTATTTCGAGACTAGATCAATGGAACCTCCAGAGAAGCAACTATGTGATGTGGCATTCTTAGGACAGAACAAACAACATTTACGTGGAAACAAAGATACATTTCATCATTAAGCTCCACTGACGATCATATATATGCGTTGTAATATTGTTTTGTAATGATATGGAACGGAAAAATTCAAGTGGTCGATTTTTGGAGTTTTCTGAAATTGCTTACTATTCTAAATATAAATGGAAAATATCTTAAAAGAACAAAACATTCTGTAAAGTTAAAATAGTATCTTGCAATATATAGGTTGTCAAACTCGAGGAGCACTCCTATGTTTTGTTTCTAACTCTATTTATTTTAAAATCATATAATATACACATCATTACCTAGATAATAACTAGCTATCACTTTTTAAAAAAAAAAATGGTTGAAAAATTAAATAAAAAAAGAACGGTTAGTGATCGTGGAACTTTCTCTATCAAGTAGTATGATATAAGAGATGAAAATGAAGCTTTCGATGGTTAATACTTACTTGATAAGAATAGCCCACATTTACGAAGTGGTGATTTCATAGATAAGACTAAAGAGATCACAAAAGAGATGGAAAAAAAGGAAAAAGAAAAAGGAAAAGAGAAAAGAGAGGTATTTTAATAAATTAGTTTAGGGACCAAAAGACACAAACCAATACGAACATCCGTATGCACTACGCGTACGGCTCTTTCTTCACTCGTTTATGGGGTCCCTCAGCTATAGTGGAAGATCCCCAAACCCAACCCAAGTAACTGGCGCCTCATCAGTCATCACACATGCATGCACCCTTTTTAATTTCCATGCGCTAAATATATATACTTCACGCCTCACTGATGAGCACAAATATAATAACAGTTTTCTGACCTCGTAAACCAAAATAGGTACGTCGCTGTTAGGTAAAACTTTACGACAAATGGAGCCGGAAGGAATTGGAGATTAAGTTTATACCCGAAACTTATAAAACGATCCTTTGGGAGTTGGGATGTAACATATTATATGCCCTTTTTACCATCTTATATTGTATGAAACATTGATGTTTATACATATGTGCATTTTGGTTAGAAGTTTCTAATTTTTTCCAGACGATATGATTAGAATTGTATTTTCAATGTTCTAGGAATTAACGCAACTTCTATGTCTTTAGCGACTCGAAAACGTGAAAAATGTTATACTATTCAATTCAGTATATTATCTAATCATTTCTTATATAAACCTTTTGTTTTTTCCCCGGTATTATTATTACAAACACAACGTTTCTCATAACAATGGAGAAATAACGAAATACAACAAGATCATCACAATCATCCATACATATAGATAATAATATTTCAAAATAATCTTCTTATCATAACAAATCCCACCTTAGAGAAACAAGAAAGAACCGGCGATGGATGTAACACCAACGACGACCGCAGAGACGCCAAGAGCGGCGCCTTCAGCAGTATCGTCAGAGCCTGAGGGTCCGTTTGCGTAGGAGGAGTCACTTCCTACAGGACCAGCCACTGCAACATCATCATCACCGGGAGCTGGAGCTGCATTGTCGTCGGTTGTTCCGATTTGGTCATCGGTGACTGGTGCTTCGACATCATGATCAGTTTTGGAGGCAACCGGAGCTTTGGAGGGAGATGCTGAAGGAGATGGAGATGGAGAGGAGGCAGCTGCGGCTAGGCCAAGGATGGCCATGAAGACGAGGACGACCACTACGATAACGTTTTGGCGACCCATTCTTCTCTCTTCTCCTTCTCACGTGTGTAGGTCTTTGTTAGTTTATTTTTAGGGTTTGAGGTTTAGAGATTGTGATGATTTGGGATGAGATGAGTTTTATGTATATATAGTTGTCTTTATGTGATTAAGACAAAATCATAAATAGAAAACGTTTGAACTACGATTGAGGATTACCGTACAAATCTAATGTAGCTCGACTGGACTACCTAAATAAGGTATTTGCGCAGATATAGATTGTGAATGGTGACATGCCAATGTACATGAATCTATTCATCAGATATTTACTACAGTATATGTATTAATATATAAGTAAGTGTTACGAGCTTCTTAAAGACGATCAATTCAAATATAAATTTAGAAGATGGTTTCATGGAAAACCTATAGCACTTAATCATCGTATCCACATCTTAAAAAGCATGTATTAAAAGAGTTCTATCCTTGGATTTTGGATATAAAAGCATGTGCTATGTTTTCCCTTTGCAAATTCGTGATTTTATGAATTAAACATTGTATGAAGTTGTTCAAAAGAAAAAAAAAATAATGCCACCTTATATCAGATGGGCTTTTTAGCCATATAGCCCAAAAAAATTTCAAGGCCCTTGAATCAGTTTCGATTTACGATTCTGCCATCAACAGCGAGTTAGGGTTTTACACTCTTAACCATTTTCGCTCTCAAATCTTCCAGAGACATTCTTCTTCTTCGTGTTCTTTTTTCTTCCCATTTTAACTTTCTCTGGAGTAAGGAAAGAAAAACCAAGATCTGTAGTTCGATCGGATCGAGGGAAGCTCGAAAATGGCGCTGGCGTTCGATGAGTTCGGGCGTCCGTTTATTATACTGAGGGAGCAAGATCAGAAGACGCGTCTTAGAGGCATCGATGCTCAGAAAGCTAATATTGCCGCCGGTAAAGCCGTGGCTCGGATCCTTCGTTCCTCTCTTGGACCCAAAGGAATGGACAAGATGCTTCAGGGACCTGATGGAGACATCACTATCAGTTCGTTTCTCCCTTTGATTTCTTCATTTCTGCTTTTGGATTTTTGTTAGTTTCATTCTTGTATGCTTGAAATAAGTTACTACTATGTCTAGTCTGATGAATGGATCCATCTAGTTTTTGAAAATCGATTTGCTATGTCTGTGAGCTTAGCGTGCTCAGCTCCACTAGTTTCTGTCTGTGGCTTAAATTAAATGCTAATGAATTTTCAGCTCTTAGCATTTTGATTATGTATGCTGAGTTGAAAACTGGATCTCTTTCGTCATGTTTTTCTCGTGCTGAAATTATCCTGTGGTGTGAACTTTGTGTCGTATGATCCCTATTGAAATCGAGCTCTTGTTTCATGAAATGATTTTCAAGTATTCATCAAACTCCTAAACAATATCTGCTTGGGATATGCAAAACATTGTTTGTGTTAACAGCCTATGCAATTTTGTGTAAACCTTTCTCATTTTTGCCTTAACAATGTCTGTTAAAATGAGAGTTTATTTTGACTTAGTATTTTTATAAAGATGTGGATACTGTTACAGTAGTTGCCACTCTACAGAGGATTGCATCTTTTATGTGAAGTGTAGAATTTTTTTTTCTTTTTGAACAACCAATGCTGTCTTGATTATAACCTCGCATTTTTTTTTCCAGCAAACGATGGTGCAACCATCTTGGAGCAAATGGATGTTGACAACCAGATTGCAAAACTTATGGTGGAACTGTCGCGAAGTCAGGATTATGAAATTGGTGATGGCACAACAGGTGTTGTTGTCATGGCTGGTGCACTGCTGGAGCAAGCTGAACGTCAATTAGATAGAGGAATTCATCCTATCCGTATTGCTGAAGGATATGAAATGGCTTCTAGAGTGGCAGTTGAGCATTTGGAGCGTATATCTCAGAAGTTTGAATTCGACATTAATAATTTTGAGCCACTGGTTCAAACATGCATGACAACTCTGTCCTCGAAGATGTAATTATCCTTTTTGATTTTTGAGCTACCTTTCAATAATTTTTGCATATCTGGTTTTATGGTTTGTAGAATATTGTCCTAACTTCATTTTGTTTCTCATTGCTACAGTGTGAATCGATGCAAGCGTAGCTTAGCTGAGATTGCTGTTAAAGCGGTTCTTGCGGTTGCTGATTTAGAGAGGAGGGATGTTAATTTAGATCTGATCAAAGTAGAAGGGAAAGTTGGGGGAAAGTTGGAGGACACCGAGCTTATATATGGAATATTGATTGACAAAGACATGAGTCATCCGCAAATGCCAAAGCAAATTGAAGATGCTCACATTGCCATTTTGACTTGCCCATTTGAGCCACCGAAGCCGAAGACTAAACATAAGGTGGACATTGACACAGTGGAGAAGTTTCAGACTTTAAGGAAGCAAGAGCAGCAATATTTCGATGAGATGGTTCAAAAGTGCAAGGTATGTTAAAATTTGAATATATGTTTATTGTCATTTGAATGTTTAGTGAGCTTCTGGGAAAGTGCTTTTGAAAATGATGATTGGTACCGCAGTGCATTTTATGATATGATATATGTATAATCCTTATGATTTAAAACTTGCAGGATGTTGGCGCTACACTGGTTATTTGCCAATGGGGATTCGATGATGAGGCAAACCATCTATTGATGCACAGGAATTTGCCTGCTGTCAGATGGGTTGGGGGTGTTGAATTAGAACTTATCGCAATAGCAACAGGTAAGTAAATATACTTGAAGCATCTACTGCTAGTGTTATCGGTTATGCAGAGCTGAGAAGATACTTGTCTTTATGTAGGTGGTAGAATCGTTCCAAGATTCCAAGAGTTGACACCAGAGAAGTTAGGGAAGGTATTATTTACTTTCAGTTGGTGTTGCCAGTAAAATGAGTGGAATTTGCAATATGCTTTAAATAGATCATTGAACCTCCACATTTCCTGATATGTTTAGGCCGGTGTGGTTCGTGAAAAATCATTTGGTACAACAAAAGAGCGAATGCTGTATATTGAGCACTGTGCAAACTCGAAAGCCGTCACTATTTTCATCCGTGGAGGTACTCTAGGCTTTTTCTTATATGATTACTAACGAATCTTTGACTTTTGAATAGCTGATGAGAGATGGCCATCTATATATGGAATCTAATGTACTTCATAGTATATGGTAGATGCTGTTATATACTTGATTTTTCTAACACTTTGTGACGGGATATGGTTTAGGTAACAAAATGATGATAGAAGAAACGAAGCGTAGTATCCACGATGCTCTGTGTGTGGCTAGGAATCTCATCCGCAACAAATCAATTGTATATGGAGGTGGTGCAGCTGAAATCGCGTGCTCACTTGCGGTTGATGCAGCTGCTGATAAATACCCTGGTGTTGAGCAGGTAAAAGATGATTTTTCCTCTTTGTCTTTGATTCTGAAGTGAAATCATTTATTCACAAAATCTTAACGCTGATGTATAAATGCTCTACCTATTTGCAGTATGCAATTAGGGCATTTGCAGAAGCTTTGGACTCTGTCCCTATGGCTCTTGCAGAGAACAGTGGACTACAGCCCATTGAGACACTCTCTGCGGTTAAATCTCAGCAAATTAAGGTAAGTGACTGATAAGCTTATTATCCATTGCCACTGACTTGTTTGAGGTGACTCAACAAAGAATTGAAATTTTGGTGAACAGGAGAATATTCCCTTCTATGGGATAGATTGCAATGACGTGGGAACAAACGATATGAGGGAGCAAGATGTGTTTGAAACATTGATCGGGAAACAACAGCAGATTTTGCTTGCAACACAAGTCGTCAAGATGATTCTGAAGATCGATGATGTCATCTCCAATTCTGAATACTGATGTGTTGTTACCATTGTAGTACCCTTTGGCTTCTTGGGTGTTTTTGTTTGCTTTCTATTAGTGTTTTGACACTCTTGAACATCATTATCCTTTATTTTCCCTTATGTTTTGGAAGCTTTTAATTAAGAACATCTTCAGATTTTTGTTATTGTGACTTGTCTACAGACCGAAACTCTCCTTGCTCGCATTTCTTGTCAATTTTGATCACATATGCGCACGAGTCTTACAATGTAGTTATTTAAGTTATTGTATATTCGTATTAAAGCAATACTAGTGAATGAGGATAAACGTAGTTCTACTTGTACATATGAATGTAAGGCACATGAACCAACGCTTCTATGACTTACAAAAACCCATTCCCTACTGTCATTGTACACATTCTAAACCTTTAGACCAATGTTCCCACTCTTGAGATATATAAACTCCGACCTCTTTCTTGCAATAATTGAGTTCCTCTTGTCTTATTCAATCTCAATTCCTCTTTGTTTATATGGCTTAGCTTTTCGACGCAAAAACAAAGAGTCTTGATGAGGAGTGTTTATCTCTTCTATGTTTCATGAGAATGGTGTTGTTCTACGCCGGATTTCCCATTTGTAGTCTCTTCCTTCTGAATAAATGGCTTCCCATTCACAGCGACTGTGCCATCAGTTGTTTCTTGCACTGCAGAAAGTTTGCTTTTTTCCTTATCTCCTTCAGCGACAACGGCTGTATCAGATTTTCCATCTTGTTCTTGTGCTTTGTTTGTATTCTGATTTGATAGAGCTGCTTCAGCTTTCAGTCTCGCCTCTTCTTTTTCTCGTCGTCTCTTTGCTTCTTGCTCTTTGAGCAACCTAAACCTAGGAATCACATAGATGTGTTAGTTAAAAAAAAGGACCATCTAATAACGAATGATGATACATTTCAGAAAATTTATTACTTTTCACCAGGCTTGGGCCCTTCTGGGGTCACTTTTTCTTCACCCTTCTCTCTTGGCATTTTCAGTTCTGAAACAGACTTTTGCACTAGTGGTTCTGAAATAGATTTCTCAACTTTTTGCGTTTTATCTTCCTTCATGACTAAATTAGTGAGTTTCTCCACCGGATTCTTAGCACCACCATATTTTTGAAGCCATACTTGCTGCGCCGTGCTCAAAATGTTGTTGGTCAGCCTGCAAACGCATTCTCTTTAAGCTGAAAAGAAAAACAAGCGGAAAGCTAAACTGCAGGAGAACAAGCAAAACCAATTGCTGCTCACCAATAAAGACTTAAACCAGAAGGAACTGATAGTGCAAAATAGCCAATCATCAGGGGAAGAAGCTTCGTCACGGCTTGTGAGCTCTTCATGGCTGGATCATTACTCTGCGAAGACATGATGATGATAAATTGTAAGTTGCATTCATTATCAGATGAATTTAGTTATAACTGAATGATCATTGGAGAGATATACCAATTTACATATTTTCATAACCAGCCTATTCTTCAAGCAGGAGGTACTACTATCTAGACTATCACAGATGCCAGAAGATGCTATACCTGTGAGGATTGCATAATCTGAATGGAGAGGTACTGAGAGAAGACGAGCAACAAAGGTAAGACAAGATAAGCTAACGTGTCTGGCCATCCAAGAGGTGGGTGTCCCTCCTGAGAAATAAAACATAAATTTGTAAACATCAGCAAAGGTCCGACGCTTTTCCACTATATTATTCTTCAATCAGTTAATTTTAATCAATTCACATCCATAAATAATTAAAGTGAAAAAGAGTTAACAAGAACTGGGATTCTAGTCTGGATTCCAATTTCAAAATATCGACACCAATTAATATCGAGGTTCAAGATGGATACTTACAATGAAAGGGAAGAGCCATGAGATTCCACTGCCACTCTGTCTTGCAGCAACGGTAGTTGGACCAGCAAGAGAAGGAATCCAGAAAAAGCCTTCCGTTAAGAGCCCCTTAAATTTATAAAAACAAGCATCCAATAACATGTCAAAAAAGAATCTCAAGACAAATACAGAAACAATTGGATATATTTCTTCCCAAGTACCTCATCCGCAACATTTGAGAGGGCTCTATATAACCCAATCCAGACTGGTATCGTGGCTAGTGTGGGGAGGCAGCCTAACAGATTAGACAAAATATAGCTTAACCAAAAATGTTGTCTCAAATGGAAAATCAAATGAAAATCTGAAGCAATAAACACGTACCTGCAAGAGGATTTATTCCAGCAAGTTTATACAATCTGGCAGTTTCAAGCTGAATTCTCTCCTGCAAAGAAAAAAAAAAATTGAATGCTCATTATTATCATAAATAAAGTAGAATTCATCAACAGTAAAGTTATATGAGATATAACCAATAGCAACACACTTGCTCCTACATTTTCCTTATATTTTATCAACTCATAATTGATGTAACAATGACTTAGTTAGTATGACATCAGGAAAAAAAAGAAAATCTATGTTGCAGTGTCGAATGGTTTTCACCTGATCACCAGCATACCGTTCCTGAATAGCCTTAATTTGAGGCGTCAAAGATTTCATAGCCATGGCAGATTCAACCTATAGAAAACAAAACCACCATTTCAGTAACATGGACTAAACAATTGTATCTTGGCTTAGCAGGTTACATAGAAACGAAGTGAAAAACCTGTTTTTTGGTCAATGGGAACGTAGCAGCCTTAACAAGCACAGTGAGTAGAATGATAGCGAAACCATATGAATAAGGAACATTTACAGTTGATAACCCATCTTTCAAAACCTGCAATTCAATTCAAAATCCGACCAAAATCAATTTTTTTATATACAGCACATAAAAGTTCATTCTTTCTATACAGGAAGACAAAACTTTTATAATACCTTGAGGATAGTTTCCATGTAATTGGCAATACCAGTGAACCAATCATTGTTCTTGGTGGTAGTAGTGCCAGCGACAGATTCAAAGGTTTCAGAGGACGAAACGGCGGCATCAGCGATCGTGTAGAGAAGATTCTCCGCATGGTCCTTGATGAAATCGAGAGAGTCACCTGGGTCAGGAAACGAACCTGGTCTGAACCCGAATTGAGCTACGAGAGTCCTATAACGATACGACGAAGAGGGTGAGTGGCTGAAACGGGAGCGGCGGAAATGGAGGACTTTGCCTGTGGAGAAAGAGGATAGGAGGATAAGGTTCGTCGCCGGCTTAAGGGATATGGGAGAAGCCATCTCCTAGAGAATTACAAGGTAGGAGAGTTTTAGGGTTTTTGGTTTAGAAGAAGAAAAAATGGGGAAGATTTTGGATTTTTGTTGGTTGTGTGATATATAGTGTTCTTGCTTCGCGGCTCAGTGCGTGAGACCGACTGGGAGAAGTGGAACAAACCAAATTTTTGTTTTTCTGATTTTCTTAATATTATACCCACAAACTTTTTTTTTTTTTTATACAAAATATTTCTTTTAACACAAAATATTTTTAATTAAGGTAATATGTTTTTTTTTAAATTTAATTAATCTCTATTTTCGTTTTTAATCCCAAAAAAAAATCTCAAACAGTAGACAAATAAATTATTTAATTAACTCCTATTAACGAACATTCATTCTCCTCCATCAGTTTGCAAAATATTGAATATCATATTTCAGGGAGATTTATAATTTAAGCAGATATCTGAATTTCTCAGGAAGTCATTGTACAAGCCTAAGGCTGATCGTAGCAGAGACTAAGGTTCTCTCTTTATAAGAGTATAGAGTTCTCTCTTTAGCAGGATATTGAATCTTAACTTGCTGCCCCAGCTCCAGCAAAAAATATATTTATCTTACAACTGAGCTTTTCCTTCTTCAAAAGCAATTAAACAAGCCTTATTAAAGGACTTTTACTCTCCATCAATTTGCAGAATATTGGAATTGTTTTGGTTTAAGCAGAGAATTGAATTTTCTAAGGACCTCATTGTCCAAGCCTCAAAAAAGGCAGCAAATATTGAAGTTTCTGTCAAGTTGTCCCAGCACAACAAGACAATAGAGATTGATGCCACCAATAGTAGGACTTTTATTCTCTTATCAGTTTCTTAAGACATGCCTTAATAAAGACTAATCTTAGCAGATATTAACAAGCTGTCCCAACTCCAGCAAAATATGTTTTCTTTGGACAGTAGAGCTTTCCATTCTTAGAAAGCCATTATACAACCCTTATTCAAAGGACTTTTTGTTCTCCAACCATTTGAATTCTCAGGACCTCATTGTCCAAATTTTAATGAAGGTTTATCTTAGCAGAGATTGAAGTTCTCTTTAAAGCAGAGTATTAATGATAACACACTGTCCCAGCTCCAGCAAAATATCTTTTAATCGGATAGACATCATTGTTCAAGCCTTAAAAGGCTAATCTTAGCAGAGATTGAAGGTCTCTTTATACCAGAACGTTGAATGTTAACTTGCCATCCTATCTCCAACATGATATCTTTTAGTCAGACAATTTCCCCATCAAACAAGCCTTATTCAAGGACCTTAATTTTCCATCAAATTTGCAGAATATTGAACCATATTTGTTCCAGCAGATAACTGAACTTTCTCAGAACACACAGTTCAAGCCCTGATAAAGGCAACAGAGAGATTAAACTTTCTCAGGACACATAGTCCAAGAGCAACTAAAGTTTGTGTCAAGCTGTCCCAGCACAGCAAGAAAATATAGATTGATTATCCCCAATATTATTCGGACATGACAAGCCTTTTTTTTCTTACGGACGTAATATCGGACAATTTCCCCAACTTAGAAACCGGACATACACAACAATCATGTAATGTGTTACTCCTTTTCCTTTGGGGTTTAAAATAAAACTAAAACCAAAGACAACATAAATACGAAGTCTTTGGAAGAAAAAAAAACCCCCGACGAGGATGAATCCAAATAGGGTTTTTTTTTTTTTTTGAAAACTCTAAATCTCCTTAAAACAGAGAAGAAAAAGAGGGGTTTTGATATGCCGAAACAAAACAATCAAAAACCCTAATATGAAGAAGAAGCAGAAGAAAAGGGCTCTGGATTTGTCTGGGAAAAAAAATCAAATCTTGCAGAGAAGGAAAGAAACAAGAGTCATAAAGAGAATTGAAATTGTGGAAACTGAGAATTACCAAACATCGAAACCTCTGTTTATATAGAGCTCTTAGTTTAGTAACCCCTGTGATGGGCTTTAAGAGCTTAAGCCCATATCATTGTTTTAGGTTTTCCTTTTTTCATAACTATTTCCCTTTTTCTATAAGTATTTCCAATTATTTTTTGACAGCTTTTACCTTTTCCATTTTTATTGGCATCTTTTATTATTTTTGGGGAAATACATTATATTTCTTTTTTGTTTTTTCCTTTTTTGCGAGTTTCCCTTTCTTGTGTAAAAACAAAATCAAAATATTATTACCCCAAAAAAAAAAAAAACTCAAAATATAATGACGTGAAAAAGGATAACTAGTTAGTAAATAACGTTTTTATTTTTATTTTTATGTTTGCAAAAAGGAAAATACTTCTAACAACCAATAAATTAAGGAAAAAAAAGAATGAACATATGGGAGGATAATGATTGATGATGATGGATCCAATTGTTGTAGAAGTCTCGTTCGTCATTGCCCAGTATTCACTGTTGCATTTCCCATATTGTTTCCCACATTCACTTGTACATTTATATTTTGTTTCAACGGTACTGCAACCACAAATAATTATCTTATATACATCAATTATAGCAGAAATGGTAATAATAAGAGATAATAATAAAATTCTATTGATTAGAGTAATACGTTTATTAAATTTAAAAAGAGAAAAAGAAAAGGTAAGAAACGAACACTCTGATTCGGGGTGGCGCTTGGGTTTGATGAAATAAGTCCAGGCGCCCCAACCAGTAGCTCCAAGTACCAACAACGACGGAAATGAAATACCAAGTGGCAATGCTAAGCTGCTGCTGCTTTTTTCCCCTTCGGACTTCCCTGAAGTATCTTCTTCATACACACAAACACTATCACATTTTAGCGTACTTGAACCTATATATAAAGGTCTAAAAATGGTTTTCTATTTACGTAAAGAGAATACACATTTTCTGATCTTTTGACTATCTTATCATAATTTGAAAAGTAAAAAGAATATTATAAAGAATAAACGTACCATCTTATTATAGCATGCATAGGTAAGAATATGACATTATGACAAAATAGTAATTACCGGATTTGCCTCCTCCACCGCCGCCGCCAGTGCTAGGGCTGCCACCACCACCGCTAGTGTTTGGACTGCTACTACCACCACCGCCAGTGCTAGGGCTGCCACCACCACCGCCAGTGCTAGGGCTGCCACCACCACCCCCAGTGCTAGAGCTGCTTCCACCGCTCGTGCTTGTTGAATTAGTCCCGTTTCCACCACTATTGCTAATGACATATAGCTCGAGAGCGTTGATGAGTGGGTTCAAATTTGAGTCTGGTGTAGCTTTAAATGTCAGATAGGGAAGCCTACTCGTAACCACACCTCTCAGAGAAGCTTGCATCACTGCCCCGTAAGGTGGCACGATTATATTTGGACCCACTTGCTTGTTCTCATAGTAAACGTAGAAAGATCGCTTTTGGTCGGAACCAAGGCTTAGTGGTTCCGAGAAATAAATGACAATGTAAAATGTTAGTCCGGCAAAAGGTAGGCTTATGTCATAGAAAGCCATGTCCTTCTGCGACCAAGAAGTCCGAAGGACTATCTCTGGTGGTCGATTGTCTGCCCCTGTTGTGTTTATAGAAATGGCCGAACTCTTTAGATGTGTCACCGCCACCGTTGCAGGCTGCCACATTCTATCATATGGATCAAACGGGGACCTGTATAAATAATGTAAAGCTTATGAATTAGTTAAACCATATACTCTATCATCAGAAAAAATATATATTAACCATATGCTTCACCCAAATGTTTAATATATCTTCATTTTTATTAAATTTGTTTCTCATCAAGAAGGTCAAAAAATTTGTATTAGTCTTTAGCTATATAAAAAAAACATGGTAATGGCTATATTAAAATCCTATGATCATTTTCATTCATGTATTGTTTACCTTACTAATTCCTGCGCACCGTAGGCGGTCCTTTGCTGGAGGATGAAACCTTCCTTGGGGCCAAGATCGGTGTACATAGAGTCGTCCAACCTCCGTACTTCAATGGTAGAGACAAAAGGGTGCTCGTTCAAAAGCGTACGAACAAAGCAAACACTTGTGTTCCCGTTCTCAGGAATAAATATCGCTTCAGATCGAGTACCGCTGACGAAGGTCGTTGTGATGACCGAGTCTCTATGTTTTCCATCATACACGACATCGAACTTGGGAGCCTTGGATTCTCCATCGTAGTCTCCGTAGTTGAATCTCGTCCTAACTAACACTTTCCCACCTTTATCCACCGGAATGTTGGAGTAACAGTTGTTGTCTCCCGTAGGAAAATACCGGAGTGTGGTTAGAGAATCAGCCGTTTCGACTATTGGTGCATATTTAGACGTCAAACCGGTGTTTACGAAGTCTGTGTCTCCCACCCACGTTCCGTTGTCAGCGTCAATATGCGAACTTGATGATCCACAGTCTATGCTTATGTCTGAGACCAATCCACATCAAACTCAAGTCAGACTAATCTACTTAATTAGATACGTTTTCTCAAATTTGTAACACTAGAAAACACCAAACCTTAGGTTTATTTAGTAAATATATATAACGTAAGTTGAATAACTAACCGGCTGCATTAGAAAGAGATATGATGGAATAACAGAGGAGAAGACAAAGAAAAGAAGCTTGAGCCATGTTTGATTCTTCTATCACCAACACCAAGAGACAAAACTGTGTTTTCATGCGTTTATTTTTACGTACATGGTCTATATTAGTGGAAGATATTATCCATTTGACCCCTAGATTCTATAGAAAACATAAGAATACCCCATATATCTTTTAATTTCTCTAAAACATTCATGCTTAGAAAGAAACATGAATTCTAAACCGCGAGTATTATACAGTATTTAACTATTTATCATATTAATGACAACTTTATTTGCGTTAGGATTTCATATGTACCTTTTCTTCGGGTTTAATTTAAGAAGCAAACACTATGCATTTTTTTATATACTTCATCTATATTTAATATGATCAAAACGTGGATCGAAGTAATGACACAAAATGGCACATTATAAAAGACGAAATAATTCGATGACAACAAAACAAAGTAAGACTAATACAAGAATGTGCGAACTGTTAGTTGTAAAGGAATGTTCAGAGTAATTATAGGATAATTGACTTAATTAGTTCGTAGATCATAGAAGTTCGATGAGTTGTCCGTCGTCGAATATGTTGGTCAATCATACGTGATGTGGTACCGACTAAACCAACAAGGCAACAACGTTGGGAATTAGTTACATTAATTTGTTCGGCAGCTTTCCGGCTAGTATAAAAACAAACAGTTGCTAGTATAATAACATTTTCTAGTCATCTTTGAGTGTAGTTTTTGAAAAGTATTGGCACTAATTGGCAATATTTAGCAAATCCGTACATAAATTAAAATTTATTCAACCTTAAATATATATGACTTCAATTTAAAACTTGGTTATTCGTTTGGCTAATTTTATAATATCCACATGGCTGGTAATAATTTTTTGTGTTAGATAATCAATATATTAACATCCTCTCCCCTCACATTTTGTTTTCTTCTCATTTGTTACCTCTTTTCCCCGTCAATCTTTCTTATTTTATCACCTTCACACGTCGCAATTTACACCAAATTGGTTAAATGAGCTGCATGCTACTATATCAAATCGACGATTAAGAATTAAAGCTGCCATTATTTTTATTTTTTTTGGTATATTAAAAGCTGCCATTATTACATGCACTATATTAATCTTCACATAACCAATCATTCCTATATGACAAGTGTTGCGTATACATTAGCTGAGATAATCTCAATTTGTCTTGCCTTCTAGTACACCTTTCTCTTCCCTCCATTTTCGATATACACCTCTAGAGAGAGAGAGAGAGAGAGAGGTTTGTGTTTGTGAGTTATCATACGAGGAAATGAAGCAACCAAAGCTGATTCTGAAATACGTTTTTGTCTCTATCTACCTCACTCTATGATAGGTCCCAATCAAGAGCTTATAAGAACAATAAAATTTAAACATTTTTCTCTATATTTCATTATAAGATGTTATGACTATTTATAAGGGCAATCCTAGAATATAGGAGATAGACATGAATCTAAGATTTAACATAATCTACCTAAAACCAATAACAACAATAAGATCACAAATGATATTCTCATTGTTTCATCCTTATCTTAGTTGATACCGGTTTACTTCGGTTATGTTCTCATCAATACTCCACCCTCCAAAAGAACTTTGTCCTCAAAGTTCATAAGAAACCTCATGCATCTTCTTGGATAGCTTCTTCCCATCTTCTTCGCTTGTGTCGTCTTGTCTAACTAGAAGATCAAAGGGCAGCTTCCCGTGGCTACAATTTTTTTTCTTTTTTTTTAATATGAAAGATATAGATTTTGATACCACAAATGTGGTCCGGATCAAAACGGAGAACGATGATAAAAATAGGGTTTGATACCACAAGTTTGGTCCAGATCAAAATCAAGATAGATAGTGGATGAAGGTTGCTATTGATACCACAAAGTGGTCCGAATCAAAAGCGAGATGAAGGCTCTGATACCAATTGATAGGTCCCAATCAAGAGCTTATAAGAACAATAGACTTTAAACATTTTTCTCTATATTTCATTATAAGATGTTATGACTATTTATACATGTTAAGGACAATCCTAGAATATAGGAGATAGACATGAATCTAAGATTTAACATAATCTACCTAAAACCAATAACAACAATAAGATCACAAATGATATTCTCATTGTTTCATCCTTATCTTAGTTGATACCGGTTTACTTCGGTTATGTTCTCATCACTCTACCTCTCATCCTCTTCTTTTTTATACAACTACGTAGACCCGAAAAAGAACTCATCAGAATCCGACCCGGTTACACGTCTTACGATTACTACATCCAACGACAGCTCAACAAGACGCTTAACCCTAGGCTACGTACAATATGGATGACACGAGACTGGGACCGTAAGATCAAAGTGTTCTCAAGATTCTTCCAAGATCTGAAACATCAAGGTCTCTTGTCCAACGCTTCTAAATGTCTCTGCATCGGAGCTCGAGTCGGGCAAGAAGTGGAGGCCCTGAAACGTGTGGGCGTAACCGACTCGGTGGGAATGGATCTGGTGCCCTATCCGCCGTTGGTGATCAAAGGAGACTTTCATCATCAACCGTTCGATGAGGAGACGTTCGACTTTGAATTCTCCAACGTGTTCGATCATGCGCTTTACCCGGACAAGTTCGTTGGAGAGATCGAACGGACATTGAGACCAGGAGGTTTATGTGTTTTATACGTGGCTCTCTCTACACGCTCGGATAAGTATTCGGCGAATGATCTGTACAGTGTGGAGGCATTGGTGAGGCTATTCCGACGATCGGACGTGGTTCATGTCCGAAATGTAGACGGCTTCGGGTTGGACACGGAGGTCGTGTTTAGGAAGAAAAGGGATTCGTCAATCATAGTACGGTCATGATTTTTAGATTTACTTTGTGCTTAAATTTACAATTTATTGTTATGACTTATGTCCCACAGGGGCGGACCTACGTTATAGGTGGTGGTGGCAGCTGCCACCAGTAACCTATAAATTGTTTAAAAATTTACTTTGTACATAATAATTAATGTAGCAAAATGGTTATGTTTACACGTTTAATATATGAGAGATGGTGAGTTCGAATCTTGCAAGTGTTACTTTGCACCCATTTAAATTTTGGGCTGGATCCGCCCCTGATGTCCCATCGATTTTAAATGGGGGAAAGTGTGTGTTTAAAGTTTGTACGTTCGTTAGAATTGCATGATTATATATGAATAGCTCAACGAACCTTATGCCAAAACGTATATCCGATCATAAGGACGATACCATACTGACCAACGTTACTAATAATCGGAGTGAAAATATTTCGGAGTTGGAGTAAAGGTAGTAGGTTTCGTGTTGCATGATAATTTTTAAAAGATTTAATCTTTCTACAAAAATGGCATTTAAGCAAGAAGCAGAGAGAATAGGATCTTTCGAGAAAGAGGCAAACTTCATTGCATATTTCTCTCATCCCATTTGTGTTATTCTACTCAACTAAATTGTGCATCTCCATCTTTCTTAAGTAAATTTCTATAACCAAGCATATAAAACAATTGTAGGCATGTAGCTTTTTTTCTCCCAACCATGGTCCATAGTCCATATAATTAATCATGTATCATGTATGCATCTAGTTGGAGATAACCTACACGGAAAGGAAATTTAATAAACTACAAATCATATATATAAAAGTAAGGTTTCACTCTCTCTTTATTGGTGGAAAAACATTTAAGGCTTTAATTTTTTTTATAAATAAATAAATATTTATGACAATCATTCAATACAAAATTTAATTATACTATAAGTTATAATCAAATGACAAAAAAATGAAAGGACTTAATCATATATCATTTAACAAAATAAATAAATAAATAAATGTTTATGACAATCATTTAATACAAAATTTAATTACACTATAAGTTATAATCAAATGACAAAGAAAATGAAAGGACTTAATCATATATCATACAACAAATTTTATAAGCCTTATTGGTGGAAAATTATTTAAAATCATATATATAAAAGTAAGGTTCCACTCTCTTTATTGTTCCATTTTGTATTTATTTTTTAAAATATAATATTTATTTTTAACCAAAAACACATTTAATCATATACATTAATTCATACTTTAAATTCACACTTTACTACTAAAGTGAAACTGAAAATTATATAAATTTCCAAAGACTATTGGTTTTCTTTATTGAATTCCAATTAAACACACTATAAATTATAATTATAACTCCTTTAATTTAATTATTTTAAAAATGTAAATTACATCACTTCTTATCATATAAATAGTTATTCTCACATCCTTCTCTACCATATCTCATATCTTCATTATTTTCTTTGTTTTTTTTTTAAGATCTTGCATGGGGTGAAAACTCATTTAAAATATCATTGTAAGAGTTTGACTAATTATTTAGTTTAAACTTTTGTTTTCAATTTTATTTATTTTTTGTTTTTATGTATTTTTTTATGTCTTCATTGTTTTTTATATTTTTAAATGTAATACATATGTATAATAATATTTTATGGTTATAAGAAAATCAAGCTAAAGAAACCATCTTCATTCTTTTACTTTGGATGTTTGTTTCTTTCTCACATATTCAATTTATTTTCAAAAGTATGTAATTTTTTAACAAAATAACTTTTTGTTATATAATTATCAAACCAATTTGTAAGACATTCTTTTAAGAATAATGATCATTATATTTAGTTTGTGATTCAACATGTAATAATACAAAGAACATTATAATTTGTTTTAAGTTTGAATTTTATACTTGATTTCCTATCTAAAAAACAATTTGATATTCCATTTTTTATCTATTATATATACTACAAGGATGAAAAATATAATTAAACCTAGAAATATAACTTAAATTAAGAGGAATATAAAAAGAGATTAAAAATAAAATTATTTCTTGGGAATTTTTAAGGTTTCACTCTCTCCTTATTGGTCCATTTAACATTTATTTTTTAATTATAATATTTATTTTTAATTAAACCAAATATCTAACACATTTAGTCATATACTTTAATTCATACTTGAAATCCACACTTTACTATTAAATTGTAACTTAAATTATATAACCTTTCAATTGACTATTTGTTTCCTCCATTTAACTTCAATTAACACACTATAAAATATAATTATAACTCCTCTGATTTAATTATTTTAGAATTGTAACTTACATCATATTTTATCCTATAAATACTCATTTTTACATCCTCCTCCACCATATATGATATTCTCAATATTTTTTTTGTTTAATTTTTAATGTTCTTGCATGGGTTGAAAGCTCAATAAAGATTAATTTAATTAAAAGTGGGTAAATTTAAAAAGTGGAATTTTTAAAGGGGTATTTTTTAAATTCTCCCAATATCATTCCTATTTTTATCATTAACAATATTTTTTTTTTTTAAATACTTAAAAGTACTAAAGAAAATTAATATCAAAATTGATTAATTAAACAATTAATCAACGAATAAATTCAAAAGATATGGATGTATGATTCTATTGTATGATTTAAATAAATAACATGTAAAAATGTCATAAACATTAAAATTTAGTTAATCTATTTTTTATAAGTAATAAATAAATTAAAATAATTAAATAAATATACAGCAACTCGCGCATATGCGCGGGACATTACCTAGTACTATATGCATTTCATGTTTTCTTGTTCAAATTAATATTTATGTTTAGTTGTCTTTTGTTTTTCGTTTTCAGGTCCAATAGGCCTCAACATTATTGCTAGACTATTAAAACCCAAAATGGGTATCTTGCAACAGTGTTTTGTATCTTATATAAGATACAAAACACTGTTGCAAGATACCCATTTTGGGTTTTAAGAGTCTAGCAATAATGTTGGTCTTATATATTATTCTTGCCATATATTATATATATACCCTAGCAAACGTTAGCTTTATTATTTTACGGCAGAAGAACCCAAGAGCAAAAAGTATATGATCGTGAGAAAACTAAGATAAACTTCTTCTACTTAGTCCGATAGAGAGACGCCAATTATCAAGGAGGTTATCCGGCACAACTCCGGCAAGAAACCACTGGAGGGAATGAGCCCAAAACGGCGAGCAACGTGATCCGATTCCGATCTGCTCCACCGCCGCTTTTGCGTAGACTTCCGGCGACGGTACAAAGAAGCTTGGTTTATCTATAGCTGCTACCTTTGACACCATCCTCGTTGCCACGTATAACGGCACCTGCCAAATTGGTTGACACACGAACGTGTATAATAACGTTATTTTCTTTTACGCTGAAGAAAAAGAAAGAAGTACCTGGCATTGGACATGAATACCAAACTGCTTATATTCCACATGTAGGGATCTTGAGAGTGCATCAACATATCTGCATACACGTTCATGCATCATGTGTTTAGAGTTATTAATGTGACAATCTAGTAGCTAGATATAAAATATAATGATAGAGTCTACTTAGATGAATAATTTTGGCTAAAAACTCTATATAGCTGTCTTTGTTTTTTCTTTTTTTTACATACAACATTTAACACTCTAGACTATTAAGGTTCTCTCGTATGATTTATAATCCATTAATTTACTCTGCACCCACCTAACTGGAGTATTAATAGATAAGAAAGTCACACGTACGTGTCTTCATCGGGGAAGATATGCACCACGTGAACTGGAATAGATTAGACATTCTTTAATTTGGATAGTCAAGCTCTCCACACAAGTGCTAATTGCGTATTTATTATACAACAACCACCAAGAAAAAGAAAGATCGGAAGGGAAACCTTAGTCTAACAATTATGCAATTCACTACTATGCACTTTTGTAGGGGGACTTTTATTAAATTGAGAAATCAAAGTAGCCAAGTAGGTGCATGCATATTGCTGAAGTTCAAAACAAAAATGTTTATAGTCATTTTAGCACTTATTCCTTGTCAAACTATAGATGTTCTCTAAGATTCTAACTTAAGGAAATATACAAAAAAAAAAAAAAAACTTAAATTGAATATCTTAGTAATACAATTTGTGATATTTTACTAATGTCCCTAATGAACATTTTTCTTGTGGTCACAAAAAAGTAGTCACGGTTCTGTTGGTTACTGGTTATAGTATACGTATTTATGTATAGAAAACGTACGGTTGAACAGAAAAAGAAAGAAGTAAATGAAAACGTGAAAGTGGTTAGTTGTCCTTACGCTTTGGTGGCGGCGTAAATGGCGTAGAGAGGATGAGAAGGGACAACAACGGCGGCACCGGAGCTAATATTGACGATGGCTCCTCGACGGCGGTGAAGCATTGGTCCGATGAGAGATCGTGTGACCCATGTGGTTCCTTCAAGATTAACCCTCAGGATTTTGGTCCATGTGAGTTGGTCAACCTCGTGGAAGAACATGGCTCGTGGGTAAGTTATCCCAACGTTGTTTATCAGAATACCAACTTCAACGCCTTTGATCCCTTCTTCGATTACTCCATAATCTCCTCCTCCTTCACAATAATCAACAAAAAGAAAAACACTTTAAAGAAATTTAGTTGTTTTATATTTTTAACTTTCATTGTAATAAAATCCCACAGAAAAAAATAAAACTTTTCATTGTAACAAAATTTCTCTTATCGATGAGAAATATTTGAAAAGTTATTTTAAAACTGTTGAATTATGTACTATTTATTTGCAAATCTCTAACAACAGAATATATATAATAAGTGTAACAAGAATAATTATTCTTAATTACTATCATCATGTAATGTACTTAATATACACACAATAAAAGTATAAAACACAATAGTATATATATAGATTAGTTTTACAGGATTGACCAAAACTAAGGAGTGCATTAACTATATCAGGGATTACCGGAGGAGAAGTCAAATGGAATGTTCTTGATCTTGATGTGGGGGAACTCTTGTCGGAAATCATCAGAGACAGACTCAAGCTTAGAAAGGTTTCTGCTGACTAGGATGAGGTTAAGGCCGTGTTTGGCCAGCTCGTGAGCAAAGGCCCGTCCGATCCCCTCGGTGGCTCCAGTGACCATAGCCCACGAACCGTAACTCTTGAGCCGCTTGGGGTTTGTGAGGAGGAATCTTGTGATGAACCATTTCAGGAGAGGAAAGAATAGTCTAAGGAGAGAGATAAAACCTATGAAGCATACGACATGGAGGTGCCATGGCTGACTCTCGGAGGTGCATGCTCTCTGCATGTTTTGCTTTCTCTTTTTCTTTTTTTTTTTGTTTGTGCTGATTATTTGTTATGAGATTTGGGCTTGGAGCTAACTAACTCTTTATGTAGGAAAATTAGAGTTGAGATAGAGAGAGTTATTTCTAAATGTTTTTCATTATATTAATTTGAACATAATGAATGAATTTACAATGCACTCTAGCTTACAAAGAAATGCCAAATCAACATATACTATTTAGGTTGAGTAAAAATATGAAATACAGAAAGGACGAATATGATTCTCTAGGTTAAGCAAGGTTTTATCCTAATAATTTGTTAATATCCTAGAAAATACCTAATAAAGTTATATGAAATTTGCAGACTCGATGATGTGTAACACCTTTTCCGTCCGATTCCATACAAAACAAATCCATCAATTATTATTATTTTGGTTTAAATAGATAATTTATTTCTCTTTGCTCAAATCTTAATTGATACATACACAAAATAAGTCGAGACCAAGTCATTAGGATAAGTGACATTTATAATCTAACTAGAAAAGGTCAAGTGTACTCAAAATTCAAACATACAACAGGAAGAATATATATGACTCTTTAAGGAAATGGTAGGTTGGGGTTACGGACATCTTTTTTTTTTTTTTTTTCTTTTTAAAGGACTATGCAATCAATTTGGTAGACAGTCTTTTTGGTGTCAAATTTAATGATCTAGTTTCATGGTAGATTTTCGACATTAATCACGTTATTATATCTTTCTGCTAATTTAGCTCATCGTTATTCAACTAGGTCGACCGTTCAAATCAAATTTCAATATTGTATACTTTTGAGGGTTTCCTATTCCTCAATTCAAATTCGATGCTAGTTCTGAATTCTGATCCATCATCATAGATGCAAAACAACAATATGTTACTACTTTTCCCATGGCCTCTTTGGTTAGTGCAAGTTAATTTTATAGTATTTCTTGCTTTTTGGTCATAGAGGCAAAAAAGCTTGAATACGTTAATTCCAAAGCTCAATTCTTGGGAATAGAGAACATAGTTAATGAGTGGTTGGTATGACCGTATGAGTCAATCCAAGTAAGAAAAAAGGCTATTAAAGAGGGGACGAAATGTTTGGTTTCGTTAGATATCTACTTGGATCATACTATCCCACTAGAGAGCTTGTTTATATAAGTAGCCATTCAGAACTTAAAAGTAGTTTCTGACACAAAACTTGTAAGTCATGGAACAGATGTTTCACTTTTCTGAAAAAAACTTTGAGAAACAAACAAACCCAACTGTTATAACGTACTGCTCCATTTCGGAGTCCTAATAGAACATTTCTAGGACTAAGAAACTGAAGAACTAAGATGGAAAAAGCTCGCAGATAATCGAGACATTATTCATTTTATATATACAAGACGACACCTATCATTCTCTGCTTACGCGGGTCGACAAAGAATGGGAAGAATAGAGAAGAGAGAGAGGAGAGACTGAGTAATCTATGTGTTTCTTTTGTGTGTAGTAGGTAGTTTCATGTGAGAGACCTAAGTGTCACCTGTCTTGCTACAAGATGGAGGCTAGGAGCCACAGATGCAATAAGAGACTGTACACCATAACGCCAAGCCTTGCTTGAGGACGGCTCATTAATACTCTTCCACCTGAGACCCTGCATTACAGAAATCAAACCCGGCGCTCAAATAAGATAAAACAATTCTGGGAGCATTTTCAGATCATTTTGATATTGGTCAGTGTTTTACCATATTCCATCCACCCGATCTGCTATCATCTTCCCTTGCGTTGGAATAAGCCCAGACATGTTGAGAGATTTGAAAACATGGCCTGCAAGGAATATATGTGTTCAATATGAGTCAACTGAGAGGCTCATGTCATACTTTAAGCAATTGATAGATATGTAGACGCCTGTGTCCTGACCTTTATCTTCATCTGTTTCGTTGTGGTTCATCAGAGGCTCGGAGTCTGAATCTATGTTGATAGAAAGATGATCTGTCGACCCCTTCCTCACTGTTCTCACTTGCGCTGCTGTAGGCACAGGTGATATTGATTTTTTTCCCAAGGCTCCCTGAGCACAAAATGGGTTCAGTCAAAGCTTGGAGATCAAAGCATCGCAAGAGATCAATGCTAAAATCATTACTTTTAATATACCACTAAACAAAATAACAACTACATTTTACAGTTTAAGATCACAAATTCACTGCGGATAGACTGAACAAGATAAGGGGTCAAGGAATAAGCTGAAATAGCACAAGATGAAATATTACCTTGTCCTCAATCTCGGATATCTCTGAGGTAGAAGGTGCTTCGAAGATGCTTCTTTCATGAACAATATCAGGCTGAATCACTTTGCTTTGAAGTTTTTCTTCAAATTCTTTGACTTTTAATGATAACTTATCGACAAGTTTTTCACTACTGGCCAACTTTAACCCAAGTTCTTGGGCCCTTGATTTTGAACTCTCTGATTCTAGGAGAAGGGAAGTTATCTTTCTCTCTAGTGCTTGTACGAGTGTCCATGACTCAGAGAAGTTTGGGTCTCCCAAAGGATCATTGCCCGCCAATATACCCAGCAGTTTTTCCAAACCAGATATTAGCTTGGACAGTTCAGTCTTTGCCTTCACTAACTCTAGCTCAGTCGTACTCTCTGCTTCAGCCGCCTCCTTCAGACCTTGAATTTCAAGATCCTTTTCTGCCAAGCTGGAATTGAGCTCTTTTTGTTCATATGATAAGACTTTTATCTGATGCTGCATCTCAGTAACACTATCAACAATCGAGAACAACTTCTTTACATCATATGGACTCCGTGGACCTAACTCATTGACTGGATCTACTGAAGGCACCTCAATACCATTTATTTTTTCAAAAAGGGCACGCATATCAGATGCTGGAACTAAATTTTCCTTTGCTTCTGCAACTCGAAGCAACAGCAGATGACATTTCAGTAAAGTGGTACGCATGCTAAAAAGATTTAAAGAAATGAGAGACAACAGAAGAAAATATTACCTTGCTCTTGACCCAATAGTTTATCTTGTAATGTAGACAGTTCCACTTCTTTTTCATGCCATATCTCTTCCTTTGCTCTGAGATTTTCCAACTGAAGTTTAAGATCTTGGCAAATCTCTTCCATAGATTCCACCTTGGCCTCAGAACTTGAAATCTTCGTTTGGTTTAGATCTCTTTCTGACACAACCTTTTCTAAAGCGACAGATGCTTCTTTTAGTTTGTTTTCCATATCTCGGATTACAACGGTAGCTGAGTTATTTGTTTTCTCAAAGAGTTTAAGAGTAGTACATGCCTTCCCTGCGGCAGAAGATAATTCTTTTGCTCTCTGGGCGCATTCATTTACATGAAGATCCTGTATGTCTTCAGTTGATTCTATCTCACCACCGTTCTCATTTTCTTGGAACTGAACCAAATCCAAGAGGTCATTTTTCACTTCCAACTGCAGTTCTCTGGCAGCCGCACTACATGCAGACATCAAAGATGACAAATCTTTTTGTAATGCAGATATAGTGGCCTCCTGTTCGTGGACAATATCTTCTGCACTCTTCACCTGTTCTTTCAGGGACTCATTATGACCCAATGCATTTATCACATCAGCCCTAGCTGCTGTTATGTTTTGCATCAATACCGTAATGAGCGTATCAATGGAAGTTGAGAAACCCTCAAAGTTAGTCTCGAGGATTTTGTTTCTAAGCCTAACCCCCTCTGCCATCTTCCTAAGAGATGAAGAAATTTCATCTTCAGCCGCTGCATTCCCTTGACTATTCTCAACCTCTATGTTCACTGTATCATCAAGGCCATTCAATAACGATTGTGCCACAGTTGAATCGTCCTGAAAATATAAACAGCGTTATCAAGAGAGCAGCCTAATAAAAAATTCAGTCTGGCCCACCTATATTGTGAAAAATGCGCACATGCACGACAGTTAATTACTATTGATAAATCTTTCACAGAATAATAATATATCATGATCTTCTCCATTAATCAACTTCTACCCAGAACAGATTCTAACTAACGCGTGCATCATTGGTGGCAAATAACAAATTGGAGATCCATCCGTGGGTAAGACATTTTTGGAACCATCAAAAAGTAAAAACAAGAATGATTAAGGGCAACTGTAAATTTTGATACCAAGAAAGTTAAAACACAGAAGAAATCTTAATCTGGTAAGGTTAGAGACTACTATTACCTCAGCGATGTCCATTTCCCCTTCCAATAAACCCTTCTCACCAAATTTTCTTACGATATCTCTAGCAATGACATCCACGTCTCTAAGGCTCTTGAATTTCCTTTCAAGGAAGTCATTCACCTTGGAAACTAGACCTCCATCCTTCAGTAGCATCTGGAGATTATCAAGATGAGAAATAATCTCTAAAGATTTGATCTGTGAGTTTCCACTTGATCCAGCTAACTCTTCCATGCACACATTAAGTTTACTACTAAGAGTTGATATCTCGACTTCAGCTTTCACCATTTCTCCTTGTAAAGCAGAAAGACTATTCTCTGCCTTCATCAGTGCCTCTTCAAGGGATCCTATTGTCAAGGAAGCGTCAGCCATCTTGCTACGCTCAAACTCTGCCTCATTTTTAAGCTTTTCTAACTCATTCTTCAAATTTGTAGTCAGAACTTTGTCATCTTCGATTTGTTTGGACAGCGAATCCATGTTGCTTTCTGTCTGAGCAAGTGTTTCTTCAAGTGAATTTATGGTGCTATGTGCTTCCGTTAATTTGTTATTCTGAACTGAAATTTCATTTTGCGCCATCTCTAGCTCCATCTCTGCAGTGGCAGTTCTGCTTTGAGCCTCTTCCTTTTCACTAATAATATCAGATATATTTCGTTCAGCCTGCATGAGTGCAGCTTCAAGTGTATTTTTGGTTGCAAAAGCTTCATCCAGTTCGCTAGCTACAGAGGACGCATGTGCAACAGTTTTTTGCAGCTCAAGTTCTATAATTTCCTTGGCAGCTTGGACTTCTCTATTCTCCTCAGCAAGCTGATTGACGTTACCCTCTGCAGTAGACAAAGCATCCTCAACCAACTTCAGAGCTGTTTGGGTTTCTGCTAATTTACTGGCTAACGCATCAACTTCTGCTTTTACCTTTTCTAGCTCTTCTTGCTCCTCTACTCTGGCCAGCTGCAGTTCTTTGAAGTACCCAGCAAGTTGGCCAATCTTTTCTGACGGATCCTCAGATGCTAAATCAACAGGGAGAGCTATAATATCAACTGATTTCATCACTTTCTGCAACAACGCATCATTTAAAGATAAGGATTGCTTGAGTTGATCCCTTTCGTCTTTAATAGCAATAAGCTCAGTCTCTAGCTCTTTTGTGCGCTCTAGGTCTCTCGATAACATATCTATCTGATTCTTGTAGCCATCAACTGTACCACCTTGCTGCTGCAACTCGAGCATCAGCTTCTCGATTTCAGATTTTTTCTCATCCAACTGAGTTTTAAACTTTTCCCTATCTTGGACTAGTCCCTTGCCTTTCTTGATAGCCATAGAAAGTTTGTCTCTGAGTAAAGCAGATTTTTCCTCTGATCGCTCAAGATCTTTCTCCAAAGCAATTTTTTCTTCTTTCACAAAAGCAAGTTCTTGAGATGCCGTTTTTAGCTCATTTGACAGATTGCTTACCTGCAAACTAACCAGCACATCCTCTCCTAGAATTTCCTTACAAAGCGACAACTCTTGATCTCTCACATAAAGGAGACTTTGAAAGCTTTCAAATTCTTCGTTGCCATAAGAACTGTCACTAGAATCCCTGATTTTCCTTTCTATCTTGTCGAAGGATCTATCAACAAGTAAATTGATAGATGAAGAAGTATGATCTTCGGCACCTTCTGTCATCAAGCCAGAGATTTCCACGAGTCTCCTCACAATTTCATCTCTCTCAAAAGAACCTCGCTCTGCACTTTCCTCATTTTTTTTCAAATTGAAAGTTAAATCATCCAGTTCTTTTCTAATGTTATTTTTCTCCTCCATTTCTGCTGAAAGAGACATGCTTACATTTTCCATCTGGTTTTGCAAGGCACTAACTTCATCTTTCCCCTGGAGAAAAGAATCTCTAAGCCAGGCTAGGCGACTTTCTAAGCTGGATTGGGAAATCTCCTCTGGTAAGTCAATGGAGAAGATGATATCTTCCAGTTCTTTTTTAATGTTATTTTTCTCCTCCATTTCTGCTGAAAGAGACATGCTTACAATTTCCATCTGGTTTTGCAAGGTGCTAACTTCATCTTTCCCCTGGAGAAAAGAATCTCTAAGCCAGGCTAGGCGACTTTCTAAGCTGGATTGGGAAATCTCCTCTGGTAAGTCAATGGAGAAGATGAAATCTTTTAGTCTGTTGCATTCCTGGGAAACATTTGTGAGCTCTTTCCTCTCTTCTGCAAGTGACCTAACTTTTTCAATGATATCAAAAGACTGACCTTCTTCTGGTGTATCTATGTTTGACAGGATAGTTTCAATATTCTCAATGATAGAGTTCCTCACCGATATCATTTCCTGATATGATGCAACCATAGCATCGGATTTTGCTAACTCGCCTTTGTCGAGTTCAGATTGATCCAATGCTGTTGACATCTCTTGTAGTTTAATCAAACACTCTTCAAGTTCTTTTGCTTTCTCGGCCAGAGACTGTTCCAACTCTTTCTTTGTAAGCTCATATGTTTCTAGGGATACGGACTTATCATTCAATTCAGCATAACATTTCTCAAGTTCATCAGTCTTTTCGGCTAACGATTGTTCCAGCTGGCCCTTCACAGATTCAGAAATTTCAAGGGCAGTCTCCTTCTCTTGTAATTCAATCAACCTATTTGCAAGCTCTGTGGTTTTTTCAGACAATTGATGCTTCAGACCATCCCGGTTCTGAACTAACGCCTTCCCCTTTGTTACAGCCATGCTGAGCTTTTCTTTTGTGTTAGCACACTTTGTCTTTTCTTGCTCAAGCTCTGCCTTCATTTTATCAAAGTCTGCTCTCATTGACTCAATCATTTCTTTATCTGTGTTCACTTGTTCAACAAACTTCCTATTTTCCTCTTCTAGATGAGTAAGTCTTTCAAACAGGGCTGCTTCCTTCTGTTTGAGCTCAAATAACTCAGAACAAGCAGCACCGAGAGCTGAACCAAAATCCTCTTGGAAAGTAAGATCCAACGCATCACTAGACAAACACTTCCTTAACTGATCAGCACCGTAGTAAAATTCAGTATACTTTGCACCTAAAAAGGAAACTCGGTTCTCCAGATGAGCAAGCTTTTCAGAGATAGAAGAACCGTACTGCAGCTCCTCCTGCCCAAATACATGACTCAGAGCAACCATGATCCTATCTGTTGCAGCCTCCAGCTGCTCCTCGTTCTGTGCCTGAAGACCCAGCTCAGAAACCGAATGTGAGGAAGAAAGCTCTGAAATCTTGGTGGTGAGATCAGTAATCTCAGCGTCCTTGCCGCTGATAACCTCGTGAAGCCCCCTGAGTGCATCCTCATGCTGAATACGTTCTTCCTCGGCAGTTTTTAGAAACTTTGAGAAGCGGCTGACAATATCCACATTACTAGTGTTCCCATCTTCACTTTTCGAATCATTCTCACCAGTCAAAAGCTTAAACTGCTCCTGAAGCCCTGCAAGTTCCTTCTCCCAGTCACCATCCTTTTCATTCTGTATGTAGAAAGAAAACAAACAATAAAAATGAACAAAAGAAAGAGAATTAAAACTCAAAACTAAGAAGAAGTATCATAAAAAATCACAAACATTGAATTGATTTCGACGCTCTCCATTATCATCATCGTCATCTGTCGTGGGAGCTTCCTTGCTGCTAGGTGTATCAAAATTCAACTCTTCAGGGGCATCAACAAACATATCTTCCTTACTATCAACGAAAGCTGTTCCCTGTAAACACTACCCCAATTTCAGCACAGGAAACAAAACCAATGATTCAGAGAAGTATGAGCAATGGTATATGATAAGAAAAACTCACCTGGTCAGGATCAGCCTCTTCTTTCCCATTAGACTCGTCCTCATTCTCAACCCCATCAGCTACAGAATCAACCGAATCCTGGGGAATATCATCATTCTCGTGCATTATCTAAAATACGATCCCAAAACAGATCTACCACGAATTCGGAGAACGGAGAAGGATTAAAGGATAGAGATTAGCAATATATTATTCGTAATCAAACTCGGGAGAGAGAGAGAGAACAAAGAGACTCGAACGAAGTGTGTGAAACGGCTCTTGAGTCAGAGAGATCCGTGACTAATAAATTCGCGAGGGAGGACAAGGAGAAGAAGGAGGCTACAGGTAAGAAGCGTTGCAGCTGCACGACCGACGCGGTGCGTTTTGTTCTTCTCCCAAACTCATTTTTTCTTTTATTTTTGTGTATGATTGTGTCGTGCCATTGAAGTGGGTGATGTGTTTCATCCAATGAGAAACGTTTCCTTCTGTCCACGTGACTTTTATTTGGTTATGTAATTTAAGGATCACTCTACATTTTCTTTTAGTCAAATTGTGTATATATTGAATTGAATGTAAGACAAAATTAGAATATAATCACAGATTCTCTAATCAAATCTTCCAAACTATACTAAAATTTGATATACAAACAGTACGTTTTTAAAGAAAGTATTGATCTCATTTTTTCCATAGTAACAAGTAAAATCAAAACTAAATTAGTACACACAATGAAATGGTGATTGGGATTCTCAATTTCCTATGACTTGCTTTAGTTCAGCACATGTAACACTTGGAATTACAAGGTGTCGCTTTTGCATCATTTGTACATTATGATCTCTTACAACTGTTGATCCATAAGTTCTGCATGCACATCTATCACGTTTTGGCCTCTCGTATATCTCTTTCTTATTACAACCTTAACTTAAGCTTCCAAACTAAAACCATATCCAGATCGGTTAAGTTAATCCCTTAACATCCTCATACGATCATACCATTAGCTACTAGTTAGCAACATAAACAAAGCGGTTACCATATAATTCTAAGCAAATGGAGAAGCGTCTCTTAGAACATGGTATCCGAAACAAACCATACTCTAATTTACAACATAGACACTAATCTTCCAGCTCGATCTCCATGTACCTTCCAGAAAACCTTTGTAGCATCATCAACAATTCCAGCATCAATAGCAATAGCTCCGAAGATTGCCCTGAAGCCAGCACAAAGAATGGCCGAGTTCGATGCATCTGTCTTAGGGGAAACCCTGATTATCTTCCCCAAACCCAACCGGCCTCCGTCAAGAGCACATGAGGAATCCACATTTGAAACCTCTGCTATCAAACGGCCCAGCGCTTTCGAGGAGATATCGATATCTTTAGTGAGATTCTGAAGAGAGACAGAGGTTTCAATGATATGGGTTCCCAAGATACTCAAAGCTTTGTTGTTCTCTTGAGAGAAAGAAGCATGAGTCATAGCACGGCGAAGAAGGTTGATGTTGTTAAACTTGTAGCTACACCAAAAAAGAAGAAAGGAGAAAACTTTAAAACTATAGATAGATTCATGTGCCTATGAAGTTTAACCAAATCAGCTAATTCAACTATGATCACTACATCAAAAGAGTATACAATCTTATACAAATGACCTTAATTTCCTTAATTATGATCCTCCATTTCACATTTAGGAACATATCAGGAACAATATACAGAGAAAAGGTGGTTTTAGTTACTGTACCCAATTTGAGTTTGCAGCGTTGCAAGATCCGTCGAGAATGATTCGATCCTCAGATTGGTTTCAGTTGAAGCACGAACCTGATAGAGTAAGAAGAAACGGTTGGTTTCTCCGATTTGGACACCCAAAAAAAGAATACATAGGGTTTTAGACAAGTACAGAGATGGAGAGATACCTGAGACAAGGAGGAGAAGATCCCGATAACGACGAGGAGAAGAAGTAGAGTGAAACGATGAGTCACCATGGTTTGATCAACCTTTGTGTTCTTCACTTGATTTCACCACCTATGCTCTCTGATTTCTTCGCTAGTGACAAGTGAAACAGTTCTACACAATTGCCCTTACCGTAATATGACGCTCGATTCAGTTTGGTTTGGTTCCGTTAATTGGATTTGGTTTGCTTCGGTTTATCCGGATTGAACTAGGATTTGACTGTTGTAATAGAACATAGCATACAGTTGCTGAACAACTGACATGTTTCAGTCGTTCTTTGTATTATAACGAAGTTTTAAATCTCATCTTGAAACATGTTTATGTTGGCAAGAATATATCAGACATGGAAAGGGTAATGAATATATATATATATATAGCCGAGAGATCATCTTTCTCTTTTTATCTTTCATAACAGAAGGGTACAGATTAAGGGAATGACAATCTTTCTTATACCATAAATCTAAAATGAAGGAATATGCACCTTGGACCACCAGATTCTTATGTACACTTAATTTAAGTTCTGGGGATCTCTCTCCCTCTGTACACCCGTGTTTTATGTTTCGGGGTGAAATCATATCAAGTACTCGTTGTAGACTAAGAAGGCGGCTTCCGGATAATCCTTTGGGAGGCTGTTAATGTGGAGGTAAAACCGAAGCAGATCCTCTTTCGTGACCGTCTCTGGATCCACAACATCTTCATCGCATGTCAGCACCCACAGGTCCTCTGAGTTCACTCTCTTGATGCTACCCCGGCAAAAGGGGCATGACTCCGACTTCGTGTTCCAGTTACGGTAACATTTTATGCACATGGCATGACAACAGTTGGGCAACACCATTTTGGTGCAAGGCTCTAAGCATATCCCGCATTCGTCTTCTCTTTCCAAGTCAATGCTATTCATGAATCTGCTACCTTCAATGTCATACTGCTTTTTGGTTATGGCTTTTGGATTCAGATACCACATGCTTTCTTCGGGTAAGTCAGCAAAGTTGATATGAAGTCGCTCAAGTGACGGTAATATAACACCTGCATTTATCCAAAGCCCTGTTATAAGTTTAAGCCACTAACCAAAAAGAATCGCATCAGAAGGCCTTCTTATTCTTACCGTAAAATTCTCTAATTGTAGCTTTCCTTCCGTACCTGGATAGATTCCACCGCCCATCAGGCCGTACCTGTACAAGACAAAGAAGACTCCTATAAAACAAACAAGCCAAGAAGAAAGGGGAAAAACTATCAGGGAATCTACCAATCCACACACACGCGCGCTCAAGTCGTGTAAACAGAGAATATGGTAACAACCTTGTATATGAGTATGTGGAAGAAATCAAAATATCTTGGAAGCAGACATGAGAAATCCATCCATTGTAGCAGGAATATGAAGAATGGAGCCAAATTGCTACACACCAATTTCATCTGTAGACGCACACCGCTCTTTCCCATTGGAATCTCAGCCGCCCTGAATCAATTTTGAGATAAATCAGTTCACTTTATTAATCCTTCTAATCTACATAGAGTCATAGACCCATTTATTCAAGACCACACTACACAGATACCAATTCTGAGATTAATCAGTTACTATTCTTCTAATCACAAACCCATTTCTTCTGCCAACATATGCATCAAGACCACGCCACAGAGATACCAATTTTAAGACTAATCATCAGTTCCTATCCTTCTAATCACATAACCCATTACTTCTGCCAACATATGCATCAAGACCACACCACACAGATACCAATTTTGAGACTAATCAGTTCCTATCCTTCTAATCACATACCCATTTCTTCAGACAACATATGCATCAAGACCACATAACACAAATACCAATTCTGAGATTAATCATTCTAATTCACATAACCCATTTCTTCAGACTACGTATACTTCGAGATCACGCCACACAGATACCAAAATTTGGCAAAATTTTCGACCATTTCTGCAAAGTTTCGATTTTTATGTAATAATCTAACTTCGTGAACTAAAGACTGAGAATTTACTTTTGGGGGGAAGTGGGTTACGGCTAATTCAGTTCCATAATCCATCAAATCATCAAAACCAATAATTTTAAAATCCTAAACCCAGAAAAATCAGATAACCCCAGTAAAATAAGAAATGAAAAGAAAACCGAGATAAGACTCACAGTCCATTGGCGTGCTCTATATCAGCCTCGAGAATCTTCAAAGAGTCTCTGTAAGAAGACTTGCTCAACTGATAATACATCTCCCTATCTCGATAAAGAAGAGATTTTTACACAGATGAACAAGGTCAAGAGAAAACGAAGAGAAAGAGAAGAGAATCCAAAGTTTGGGTCTTGAAACAGGACAAACCCTTGTTAATAAGAAGAAGAGAGCGATCAATCAAAAACAAACAACGAAACAGACACACAGAGACGTCTGCTTTTCTCCACGTCTATCTATCTCTCTTCGGTTTTGCTTTTATAAATTTCAGAAAAGAAAAACGAAAAAAAAAAGTGACTTTTCGGTCATAGAGATATTTTGATGCCTCAAGAAACGAGAGAGAGAGAGGAAGAGAGACTTCGTTAAACCCAAAGGAAAATGAAAGAAAAAAAAATAACAATACACACAACAACAGAGAATCTTATCTCTCTCTCTCTCCTTTTAGTTTTGTTTCTTCCACAACTTTTTTTAATTTTGGTGTTCTGTTTCAAAGATGGTAATAATGACGAGAAATTGAAATGTCTAATGGATGATGATGATGATGTATTGATGATGATGAGTGTATGTTATAAAAAGAGATGATGAATGGGGGGAGAAATAGGATTTTGTCCTTATCTATAAAACATTAATATATGCCTTCTTCTTCTGTTGGCAGGTCTCCGTTACCAAATTGATTCTTTTTTAAATCCAAAATATATCTGTGACCTGTCACAGCCAGCATCATTTCCAATTTTATTATGTTCATCATGATAAACAATTAGGGAAGATTCTTTTTCTTCTTTTCATTATCGATTCTATATACTAGTATACTACACTACTATATTTGTTTCATCTCCTTTTTAGAATTTATCTATCATCTTTAGACTAATATTTTTCTTTTTGGTTTCAAAATATGTCACTTTTGGGTTCAAGTACAAACTTTATTCATCATTATCAAAATTAATATAAAGTATACACTTTTTAAAAAAGTATTGATGTTTCATATATATAAAAAAATCTGGGTAGAGTTAGAACATAATTTATTATACGTTACGAATAAACGGCGATGGAAACTAAAACACAGTCGTTTTATTCATGTTAATATTAAATCATATCGATGTATTTTTTTGAAAATGTATATTTAAAAATCATAAATAAAAAGAAAAACGTTAACTATCGCTAATATTGTTTAATCAGATTTTTTTTTGATAAAATTGTTAATCGCAAGTTGAAAGTCCGATGGAAAATAAAACTCAGTCATTTCGTTAAAACGATTTTGACTTTCTTAATGTACACTAAAAAAATGTTAACTATTGCTACAATTATCATATTGTTTTGTTAATCACAAGGTTGCTCTAAGATTATTTGAGTTTGATTTCAATTTTTTATGGTAAAGATGGTTTCTATTTGAAGGTTCTAAAATTTAATATTGGATAAGTCCCAAATGTTAACATTTCATATACTGTATGCAGAGAATATAAAATCTGTCGACAAAAAAAAAAAAAAAAAAATGCAGAGAATATAAAATCATATTGTCCATGGACAAATTTTTCACGAGTCACCAAAAGTCAACAACGTAACAAAGCATTTAAGAAGATTAATCGAATACTTTTAGTTTTAGCAATTGTATATTTTTTTTAAAACATATTTTAAAAGAAGATTGTACGTTTTCAATTGAGTATAGTGGAAGTGGATAATCCCATTAAATAATAATCAAATTTCAGATGTAAAACTTGTGAACGTGACGTTGATCGTGTTGAGAGCATGAGTGAGATACGTAGCTCAACAAGACCCTACGTTTTCGTTAAACTATACTTTTGATTTGAATCATTTCATTTAATTACTCTTCTCGCGTGGACAACAAGCTTACAAAAATAATCTCCTTCCACCAAGAATCTTTCTCTGCATATATCCTTCAAAAAAATTTCAGAAGATAAAACTAATGTTAGTTTAAAATTCATTGGCAACTAATTAGCTAGGAGATGAATTCAACACCCCATTGTTGTCACCAGACATAATTTATGTATGAAGTTAAACGCAACCAAATAACGTTTACTTGTTATAAGTATATTACTGCTACAACGATTTTTTTACTAATAAAAAGTCTTCATTCTTTGTTTAATACTATTTACACTATGAAAAGTATATTATTTACACTATGAAATTTGTGTAACCGTTGTTATATATGTAAACAATGTTTTTTAGGGTCTTAAGTATTTGTCATATAATTTATACAATATTATGGACAATAAAAGGTTTGTTGTAACCATTTTACATAAAAAGAAACCACAATCGGATAAAAGACTAGAATTGTAGAATCAAGTCGAAAGAAGAAAAAAAAAAACTGATTGTTGTTATGAATATATAATAATGTCACTAATAAATAAGATAATTGTTTCTACAGAATACTAGTATTATTGTTGTGGTTAGTTGTTATTGGTGGTAATGATCATATTAATTCAAAGTAGATGAACAGCCCACATTTATTATAAGTTAAAGAATTGGAATATTTGGAACAAATTCATACCCTTATTTTTTAAACTCAAAAAATACTTAGCAATTAACGATTTTAAGTTCTACCTAATAGTTTCCATTGACTTGAAAAGAGGAATCTGTCTGTCGACCAAAAACATACAAAATAATAATGTTATAATTCGCAAATACATAAATATATACAAACTCGTATAGTTATTAAAACTAGCAAAGTTAGATAAATTTAGCTAAAAACGAATAGTCAAACGTTTACGGTAAGGAGATGTTTTGAGAACCATCGACCACCAACCCCAACTAATTTAATTATTAATGATGTTGGGATTTCATTGGTAGCTCTGCTCCTCATCTCCTCTAACTTTGACGTTTTAATTAGAGTTTAATGAAACTTTGAATATCAAAAGTAAGACTTTATAAATTGTTTGGTAGCCATTATGGTCATAATCAACTACAAAATGTTCAAATTCATTTTGTTTATCAAATAATATCTTTTTCTTATGAACAAAATTAAAAAGGACCAGATAAGTTGTTCATTCTCTTGTGCTTATTGCTTCTTTTTTTATATACTCTTTGCCATGAAAAAGGCCTCTAGATGTATGTTTGTTTGGGTTGAATCTAGTCTGGTGTGGGGGTGATTCATATATAATTCGGTTGTTTATGTTTTTTTGGTATGTTTAGATTGATCATCACCTCGAACATGATTAACTCTAATGAACTTGTGAAAGCATTAGTCTACAATTAGAGTTAATTTGTGACTTTCTTGACTCATTTCCTCCATAGACGATCACCTAAGCCTTTAAATGTCTTCTAATGACCTTTTCTTTTTAATTCATCCTATTACAACTAACACGACGATTCTTGTTCCTTCTTGGTGTTTGTTTGATGACATGCACATAATTAATGGTTGCTTGAGAACGATCTATAGTAAGAGAAACTAAACTTCTCTTCTTATTTAAGAAGCAACACAATTTACAATCAAACTCATATAAATAAATATGAAGTTCTTTATCTTATCTAGATCAAAACAGGGGGATTCAGGGAAGCTGATTCAAGAAGCTCTTGATCACATTCGAACAGTGACATGTGTTCTTCAGTAAGAGTGATCCAAGCTTCAATTCCTTCTCCATCTTTGGTATCAATCAACAACATCAAGTTCTTGAAATTGGAAGTGCCTCTTCCGGTCACCCAAACCGGCCCTCCCCATCCGAAATCGGCCTCGTACATGCCGAGCTTACACCAGCTATTACTCATCCACAAGTCCATCTCAGTTCCTCTTCCATGTACTTTCCCAATCTCTTCCAAAAGCTCGAAAATTTTCGACGAGGATTTCGACATCTCCTTGCAATTCAAGCCGAAGATTTCCTTTGCTTGTCGTAGCTCATCAACCACATCTTGAATTCTTTCTATCTTAGCTTCTTCGTTCTTGAGAATCATGAGGGAAAGCATATTCCCAATTGTGTTCTCACTCAAATAATTTACCTTTCCTCGTAGGTTCACTAGAGTCTGTAGCACTGAGGTTCTTGGTGTTGGAGACCTTGATCTTGAAGCCTTAGTAGCACATCTCCAGAAAAGAGCTGTGACTGCTTCAACACGTGTTGGATTCTTGACAAGGTTGCTTGAAGATTTGGCTCTGAGTTTCTTGATGTTTGAAGCATTGAACACAAACCTCTTAGTTACACAATTCATTTCTTCAACCTCGACTTTGCGGTCCATCGGTTTTGATGGAAGTTCATCAAGAGGTAGAGGAAAGAACTCTGAAGCGTTGAAACTAGGAATCAATGTAATCCCCAAACCTCTTGATGACTCAGCCCATCCTCTGATGAACATCGCTAAAGAGGTTGCATCAGTGATCTTATGAGAAGTGCAGATTGTGATAACTAATCCTCCACATCTGAAGAAATTGGCTTGGATTAGTAGCACAGGCCATGTAACAGCTTCTCTTGACATAGCTTCAACAGGAATGAGTGGTTCCAATGATTCAGGAACAGGGCACTTGAGAAACTCTGAGAGAAGATGGTCCACTCGAGCTTCTATAAACACAGCTCCTTCATCATTACATTCAACGAAACTTCCCATGATTCTTCCGGCAAGAGGGTAGAAGATTGGTAAGGTTTCAGACAGAGATTGCTTGAGCTTCAAGGATGCCGAAAAACCTAGAAGGTTCAGAGGATGAGCTGCGTAAAAGAGAAGTGCTCCTGTGTACATGGGTGAGCTGAGGATATCAAGAAGAGAAAGATTGAGAATTCTCTTATCATCTGGAGTTGGAGAAGATGGTTTGATTATTTCTCTTGCTATGATCTCAACTCTCTTCTCCATTGCTGCGTACGAAATATTTTATCAACTTTCCGGTAAAATCTCTTAAAATGACTTCACTGAAGATTCTTGATGTGGGAATAGCTACAGATTCCTGCATCACAAAAGACAAGTCTTCTTATTTATCATTAACTCACTGTCATCAATCATCATCAATATTATTATCATCATTAGATAACATTTTCATATTTAAGGTTCTTAAGGGGGACCAACAGTTCAAGATTCTTACTCTTCAGGAGACGACAATGTTCTTGAAACTCTTGTCTCGACACAGATCGAAACAGAGTCGTCTAGTTAATGAATTCATTGATTTTTAAAAAGCATGTTTTATGAACAAACCTTTATCAAAATGTTGGTGATGATAGCTAATTTCCATTGGCGGCTTTGCGTTCTGTTTTCGTGCTTATATTATCCAAGCATTGGTTTGCGTTTGCACGTTAAAGTATTTGATATAAAAAAGCTATAATTTCTAATATTAAAATCATACTAATACTTATTTTTGTTTGCTTCTCATTTTATTATTCATGCAACGTAAGCATCTCGCGCGTTTGATAAAAGTACCAAAGCGACGGCTCAACACAATCATCCGCAAATTAGTTTCTCTAATTACATTTTAAATATTTTTAACAATTAGACTCAGAAGAATGGGTACAAGAGAAGAGAGAAGCAGAAGTACTTGATGGATTAATCATAATTAAGGAACAAATGAATCAACAAATACAAACCTTTTTGTACGTAATAACTAAAACCCTATATAGATTACTTATCAGATTTCTTGCGAAGTTTCATCCATTTGAAGCCAAGTATGGCCTTGCCGATACCGCTTTTGCTTCCATCTTCCTTCTTCTTTTTCTTCTTATCATCTTCGTTATTTGAATTTGGAGGAGGGTCAGAGTTGTAATCCCATTGATCAGCCCATGATAGTCCCGAATCCATCTTTTTTTTTTGTCTCTAGCTCTCACAAAGATTTTTTGTTGAATGTAAAGGTTTAGAAAGAAATTTGAGGAGAAAAGAAAAATCTTGTTTTACTTATTTTAGACGACAGTATTGGTTTGACACAATGTCTATAAGTTTCTTGGTTGCTTATTTTTGGGGTTTCTCTGTTTTTAGTTGTCCCTTTGGTTGAACAAAGAGTTAATCAATTATTCACCTTCAACTGTATAACCTTCGACAAGAAAGGAAATTACACGTACCCATTCAAATAAAACTTACAATGAGAGAACTTGACTATTTATGTAGTCAAAATATATATATTCTTCTAATCAAAAACATCATTTCACAACTGTAAACTTCAAACGTATATATGATATCAATCTCTCTTTTCACTCTGATAATTTTGTCTTTTAAATTTTATTTTAATTCAGGATACTTAATGGGTTTCTGACTGCCTCTTAATTCTTAGATTACTGAAAAAGAAGTTTATCCAACAAAAAAATGATGAATAGATAATTTATGTCCTCTGAATCTCTGATATAAGAAAATTATAAAGAATTTGTTTTTTTTTTTCACAAATATCACGAGGTGGAAGTGACTTGAAAGCATGACTTGAAAGCATAATAAATAGATACGTATTTCATTGTAGTTTTAAGCCCATGTGACTCTTCTTCGTACTCACAATTTTCATGGGATCTCAGATCTCTATAGCTTAAAGGCTGAGTTAATCGACAATGTAAATATCCTAATTAATTGCGTATAAGATAAAAGATACACATGAGTACATGACATAAGTAGATAATGCATGCATGTAGATTCGTTAATATATGAGTTTATCCTGCTCATAAGATATATGATCTTTGAGATTATTACGGATAACATAACATAAAAATTTTGATTCTCTCGATCAAACCGACATCATCAATATTATCCAGATGCAAACTCTTATGTAATTTTATTGTAGATTCAGTCAACAAAAGAATACGTGCCTTTTTAATCTGATCTTGATTCTTGATATATATGTAAACATATCAAAATTACAGTTGTTTTTTTTTTTTAAGAAGGGCTTCAAAATTACATTTGTTAAATTTTTTTTTTTTTTTTGTCGGTCAACTCAAATAATTATTAAATAGTAAAAAATAAATATTTTATATATTAACTAGCGAATTACTCGTTAGATCAGGTGACCATGACAAAAAAAATAAAGTTAAAATCATGCAGATCCGAAAGAAAACTAACGAAATTACAGAAAAAGCCGTGTCAAAGGTAGACAATCAAGAAGAAGGAGTGGGGGTAAATTAGTCATTAGATAAGAATGAAACAGCTTCGAGCTGATGTTTTGCCTTGTGCTACGGGGTTTAAAGAAAGACCGAACACACAAAAGACGGAACTAAACTGAACAAACAAACTAACAAACATTCCTGTAATTTTGGAATATTTTAGAATCTCATATTCCTATTTATTACACCCCAAAAATACTAATAAATCGTTGCATAATCAGAATCAGATAATATCATAATCACGAATCTTGATCCTCTCTCTAAAATATTTCTATCTAACCCTCTCATTCATCTTCTTTCTGATCCCCTTAAAATCTTCTTCATTGTCTTTCTTCTCTCTCTCTCTCTCTCTCTCTCTCTCTCTCTCTCTCTCTCTCACGAAAACCAAACAAACAGTAGTATCTCTGGAGAATCAAGAAAAAGATGGGTATTAATGAGATGTCGGCGAGTGAGATAGCCGCGGCGAAGCAGAAGAGCGTCGACGATTGGTTACCCATCACATCCTCCAGAAACGCCAAGTGGTGGTACTCTGCTTTTCACAATGTTACAGCCATGGTTGGTGCTGGTGTTCTCAGCTTGCCCTACGCCATGTCTAATCTCGGATGGTACCGTTTTATTCTTATATATTCTCCTTCTATATTTGTTTCAAGTCCTTGAGTTGTGATAAATAATATATATATTACAGGGGACCTGGAGTGACGTTGATGGTTCTGTCATGGCTGATAACTTTGTACACACTGTGGCAAATGGTGGAGATGCATGAGATTGTTCCGGGGAAGAGGCTTGATAGATATCACGAGCTTGGCCAACACGCTTTTGGTGAAAAGCTTGGCCTTTGGATCATTGTGCCTCAACAGCTTATCGTAGAGGTCGGTGTAGACATCGTTTATATGGTCACCGGAGGAGCCTCGCTCAAGAAAGTTCATAATCTACTCTGCTCTGATTGCAAAGATATCAGAACTACTTATTGGATCATGATCTTTGCTTCCATCCATTTCGTTATCTCTCACCTTCCCAATTTCAACTCCATCTCCATCATCTCACTCGCCGCTGCTGTTATGTCCTTAACGTAAATCTCTTCAACACACACATATATCGACCTAAAGTGGTTCAATGCTATTTTTGTGGCTTCTTCTATTGAAAAATGGTTTCTAATATCATTTTGTGATGCATTTACAGTTACTCAACTATAGCTTGGGCTGCATCGGTGCACAAAGGGGTTCATCCAGATGTTGACTACTCACCTAGAGCCTCGACCGATGCTGGAAGAGTATTCAACTTCTTGAATGCGTTGGGAGATGTGGCTTTTGCCTATGCAGGTCACAACGTTGTGTTGGAGATTCAGGCCACGATCCCTTCGACCCCCGAGATGCCATCCAAGGTCCCAATGTGGAGAGGAGTTATTGTAGCCTACATTGTAGTCGCCATCTGCTACTTCCCCGTAGCATTCCTCGGCTATTATATCTTTGGAAACAGCGTTGATGACAACGTTCTCATCACTTTGCAGAAGCCTATATGGCTCATCGCTATGGCTAACATGTTCGTGGTTGTCCATGTCATTGGAAGCTATCAGGTCTTCTTCCACATTCTAGTACTTTATGTTATTGATCGAATCAAGAATGATCTCATGAAATATATTGACACTCACTATGTGCATTCAGATATTTGCAATGCCCGTGTTTGACATGCTCGAAACCTTCTTGGTTAAAAAGATGGATTTCGATCCTTCCTTCAAGCTCCGCTTCATCACCCGAAGCCTTTACGTCGGTAAGAATCCACTTCTCATTTTTATACTGTGAACTTCATTTTCCTGTTTTACCATTTCATATGATTTTCCTCACATTAATTGGTCTATTATATATATATACAGCTTTCACGATGATCGTTGCGATTTGTGTCCCCTTTTTTGGTGGACTACTCGGCTTTTTTGGAGGATTCGCCTTTGCCCCAACAACCTACTACGTACGCCTAACTACTCATTCATTCATTCTTTTGCCCAAAAATTAGAGTTGTGACTTTATTTTAATATGTAATTGCAGCTTCCATGCATTATTTGGCTAACTCTCAAGAAGCCAAAGAAGTTTAGTCTATCTTGGACAATTAACTGGGTACATTCTTTACTAATCAATGATATTCATATGAAGCTCATGTTTACTTGTATACTAATGGATTTTTGTTTTGTTGTTGTGTGACAAATGAATAATGCAGTTCTGCATCGTAGTAGGAGTTCTTTTGACGATCCTAGCCCCAATTGGTGGACTTAGAACCATCATAGTCAACGCCAAGACCTACAAGTTCTTCTCTTAGATCGATCACTCTTTGTAGCACACAAACAAAGAAATAAAATCACGGGCCTGTCTAATTTTATGCGACTGTCCGTGGAAGTAATGTTAAGTTTTCCTCATTGTAGTTAAAGACGCATAAGTTTTGTTATGCTTGGTTTCGTTTGATATTAAACTATGTTATATAAATCTCCATATGTTTTTTTGGTTCATCTAAAAAGTTGTGATTTCGTAATTTCGTAATTTACGCAAGAACGTACACGAGAATTTGATGACACGTCTAGTCTAGATCCAATGTTCCCATGGCCAATACGTCAAGCAACATCTTTTTGGTATATGGATACAAAGTTATATTGGATGGTTAGGATCTGTGTTTAATTAATTTTAAATCACGGTTTTTTTTTTAGTATTCACCTATCAACACTTGACTCTTTATACTTTCTAATGCATATATGAGAATACTTTACTAGCTACACGTATAGAAATATTCGTTTCTTTCCAGCCAAGCATATTCATGGTTCACGAGAATTATACATTTTGGCTTTTCAAAAAAATATCAAAAGGATCCTTTTGAAAACTCAGAGCGATATTACGTGGTAAGATTAAGACCACACTTTTGCCGTGAATTGTTGGTTTTGTTCATAATCAACGAGTTAGCTACTTAGTAGTGATGTTTTGCTTCTTCTTTTTTTTTTTTTTTTTTTTTGCAACACAATATTGACTGGATTCGTCTCTACTTGGAACTTGCAGTTGCCACGACTAATAGGGGCACCATTACGGTTCATGATCTGTCCAACTTGAAGATTGTCAAAGTGGCTAAATATACTACTCTCCAAGATGTGGATCTGGTATTCAACTGCAAAAATGTTGCGATTTTCTACATAAGGTACATGGACTCATGCGAGGCTCGAGTTGGTAACTCGTATCATCGTATCATGGTAAGGATGCTGATCGCGTAGCTATAGTCAGAAGAGCCTTCTATGAGCAGTGGGGATGCTTCGGTCTCTTGGGCAAGACTCTGAGTTTAGGAAATATGCCAAAAAATGGGTTGGAAGCAGAGTTGGCAACTTTTGTTTAGCCTACTTCTCAAACGCAGCTGTTATGTAGTACTAGGCGGCTACAAGAAAGTGACGTTGGAATGTTTTTTTTTTCTTTTACTTTGAGTTGCGTTTGGATTGGCTTTTTGGTGCAATTTGTTGTGTGGGTTTTAGTTCTCTTTTTCATTTCTATCATTAGCACATATGCGCTCCTTACTATTGTTGATTTGTTTTAAGATACATATTTGAGAAAAGTTCAGATAATAAATAATATAACACTCTATGAACAAAAACATTAGAATGCGAGATTGTATCAATCAATTTATAGTTTCTGAAAAGTGGCCAAATACGTAGTTTTAGATATTTCCAAACAGAAACTGCAAAATAGAAATCCGACCAAGTGCTAGAAAGAACTCAACTTTGTCTCCTTACCAAATTGTTTTAACTAAACAAAAGCCGAATCATACCAAATGTCTAGATAGCAATCCCTCCATCAATGGTGAATGCCTGCAAACCAGTGATTTTAACCGTGGTTAGGTCAATAACATAATCAGAAAACCAAGATTAATCACCAAATCTTTATTTGACAGGAGTATTGGGTTATTAACCTGTCCGGTTATGTAACTGGCTGCAGGACTGAGAGCCAAGAATTCTACCAAGCCAGCCACTTCTTCAGGTTTTCCATACCGTCCTGAAAACCAAACAGTTTTGCTTTGTATCACATCCTAATCCACATAAAAAATTACCCTGCAATAAATGTAAAAGATGAAATTTCCATTACCTAATGGGATTGTTCCCATTATTTTCTTTTCCATGTCTTCTCCAAGCTCGGCAGTCATGTCAGATGCAATGAAGCCGGGGCAAACCACGTTGACCTGGAAGAGAGCATATAGTCCAAGTTTCAAAACTATGTCCAAGAATTTTTTTTAAAAGACGAATATGATGAGGGAGATAGGTCACATACATTAATATTCCTGCTTGCACCTTCTCTGGCAGCAGTCTTGGAAAACGAAATAACTCCACCTTTAGCGGCAGCGTAGTTTGCTTGACCAATATTACCAATGAGACCAACAACTGAGGAGATATTGATGACTCTTCCCTGCAAGATCATATGCGAAGTATAACATAAATTATGCTTGTCTTTATAACAGATTTGTCTTTTTATATATTATTTCTCGTTATGCAGAGAAGGAGTAACATGTCAAAACCAACGACAAATGTGCAAGGATAGGATATAGACTGTGACATGGCATATGACATCTGTAGAAGGCAAAGAGAAGTATTACCTTTCTCTTCTTATTCATGATCTTTATTGCTGCCTAAAGAGAGTAAAGGAGTTTTAGTTTATGAGAAGAGTATCAAAATTTAAGACGGATTGCAGGAATACAAACCTGAGTACAGAGAAATACGCCAGTGAGATTCAAAGCAATCACTTCGTCCCATTGTGATTGCTTCATTCGTATTAACAAGGTATCCCGAGTAATTCCTGAAAATATGTGGCCATGTTAGTAAGGTACCATATAAAAATTAATGGGAACCAAGGTTCTCATTTACCTGCATTGTTAACCACGACATCAATGGTTCCCCATTTATCAAGAGCCTGCAGAACAGAACGAAAGAAAAATGATAATTATGTATAAGGATAAAGGAATATAAGGTGGTATACAGTTGATCACTTACGGTTTTCATCATAGCATCCACATCAGCTGATTTCGAGACATCACCCCCAAAAGTGATAGCCTGACCACCATATTCTTCAATCTACAGTTCCAAAAGAATAAAAATCAGAGATAACATGGAATAGTGACACTGCAGAAGGATACACTATTGACTGCATATGTTATTTTTCAGCCAAAGAGATGTGGTTTCCTTTGGCAGCGTTGATTAAGAGTGAAATCACAAATGCATTTGAAAAGCAAATCACAAGAAACAGAATAATGAAAACATTTTCCAGGGACAGAATATTCAATCTCCAGAAACCAAAACTGATTCAAGCATTCGTCATTGTTAAACTCAAGGTGCCACAATTCTTTTTCGTACTAATAGCAACATCCCTCCATACCTAATACCTATGATTTTTAAAAAAGGATATCCAGGAACAGGAAACAAGGAAACTGCTGCAAAACTTAAGCAGCACAGAGTGAAGTGATGAAAATTGCATTCTAAGTCAGGGTGACAATCACTCACCTGTCTAGAAACTTCTTCAGCCTCCTTTGCTGACCTAGCATAATTCACCAAGACCTGCAACAAAAACACAATGTTTGCTTCCATATCAGCATCAACTAAAACACTAGAGCTCAAACCCAACTAGACAGAGAACTAAGACTTATTGGAAAAAATGAAAACCCTAACCTTACAGCCAGCTTTACCCAAGGCTAGAGCAATTGCTTTACCAATCCCTCGAGAAGCACCAGTGACAACGACCACTGGAGATTCAACTTTTTGAACAACTTCGCCTGGTGATTGCTCAGTAGCAGTCGCTTGAGCTTTCACAGCTGCGTTCCGACCACAAAGATGATGAGAATCAGAAGAGATCAAATCTAAGGAAGAGAGAAGAGGAAATCGATGAATATACAACATACCAGAGGTAGTGAATGGATTTCGCGATCCACATCGCAGCATTCCGAAATGAGGCATGGCAGAGTGAAACGGAGCCAATTGGCGAACCTGGGAGATCTCACGGTAACCGAGCTTCCCGGCGGCTTTCAAAGAGAAGAGCCTGGGTCCAGCGACGGTGGTGGCCATGGCACGGATAATTCCGGGGAAAGTAATGGTTAACGGTGGGGGTGGAGAGAAAGAAATCGTCCGCACAAGTAATGAACCTCGTAAAGATCGACGAGTCAGTAGTGGAGATGAGAGAAACGTCTTTAATCTTAGTAAAAGCGATACAAACGAGGGTTGCGTTTGTCTAGTTATGTTTTATAGTTGAGAGGAGCAGGTGGAGACGAGTGTGTGTGTATTACCAAATTTTACCAACCCGTATACAGTATCATCAGTATGTATGACCCGACTATAATTATTACATTATTTAACAAATTATTTAGACCTAACGATTAAGGAAAATTTCCATTTTAATAAGATTTTCATTATCCGATTAAAATAAAATATTGCGAAAAAGGAAAATTTCCATTAAAAAAAAAAGGAAATTCCTACACTTTTCTCTTTTTGTTTTATTTGGGCAAAAAACTCAATAAAAAAAGCATAGATTTTTTTTTTTTTAACACATAAAGCTTATTGAAAATCAAATGTTATCAATGTACAAAGGCTGAATCAAAAAATGAGGAGCATAAGAATAGTAATAAACAGAAAGATCATTAGGTAAGGGAGCTTTAGCTAAAGTATCAGCACATGAATTTCCTCTTCTAGAAATCCAACTATATTTGATATTATCAAAATGACGACTCCAATTCTTCACTTCACGAATCCAGTTTAGCACAGCAAAGTTCTGAGAAAGACCTTGAAGAATAGACACCACCTCTTTATTATCACCCTCCAAATGAATATTCTTGTAACTTTTGATCGAAGCATGTTGCAGAGCCAAACAAACAGCCTGAAGTTCACTCTCAAGAGCCGAGCTAGTACACAAACCAATACCATGGCCAGAGCCATCATAAACACCCGTAGTAGTACGAAAAATCCAACCTGCCTTAGCCTTAACTGTTGGATTGATATAAGATCCATCGTAGTTGCACTTAATCCAACCCTGATCCGGACGATGCCAATTTGAATGAGTATTCAATAACCTGTCATGCTGTCTTGGATGCATATGTAGAGAATCAACTTTAATAATAACATCACACCATTCAATAGCATCACGCTTTGCCTGACGTAAACAATAATTCCAATCAAAGAATTTACATTGGTAGAGAAGCATATTCCTACACTTCCATAACCTCCATAAAATCCAGATTGGAAAATGTCTATGGATCTTATCAAGGTTCTGATCTGCATTCATGGTGAAGAAAATCTGAATTTTATCTTCCACAGATATGGTAGGATCCAAAATACGATTCACAGGAATACCCGATCCCCTCCAAACAGCTTGCGCATACGTACAACCAAAAAACAAGTGCTCAATTGACTCATCTGTAGAACAACAACGACGACAAACAAAATACTGATTTATATGCCTAGCTTTCATTGTAGCACCCGTAGGAAGAGCCCCCGATAAAAAACGCCAAAGAAAATGCTTGAGCTTCGGAGCAGTATGCAGTTTCCAAATTAAAGTTTTTAGATTGACATTACCAGGAGGAGGCTGAATATTCTGATCATTGATATGAGTGGAAAGCCAATAAGCAGATTTAACCGAATGGTTTCCATCCTTGTTGTAATGCCAACCTAAAAAATCACCCTCTGCCCCAGTAGTTATCTTTAACTTCAACACAGTATCAACATCATCTTCATGAATAATCCTCCGAACTATATCATCTTTCCAGCCTGTTTTCTCATCATTCAACAACTCAGAAACTTTTAAAGACTCCACATTATCCATAATAACAACAGGAGCTCTAGGAGGATGATAAGGAAGCCAAGGATCCTTACTAACATTAACCATAGAGCCATCACCAATAATAAAACGAAGTCCCTTAGTCAATAAATCACGCCCATGAAGAATAGATTTCCACAAATAGGAAGATTTAGGTTTATATGTAGCAACCAGAATATTTGAGTCTGCAAAATAGCGACCTTTTAAAACTTTAGCCATAAGACAGTTATGATGCTTCAATATTCTCCAAGCTTGCTTACTCAGTAAAGCTGTATTAAAATGCTCCAGATCACGAAAACCTAAACCACCTTCTTTTTTAGGGAGACTCATACGATTCCAAGCAAACCAATGCATACCCTTCTTATTTTCATCATTACTCCACCAAAACCGAGCAAGAATACTAGAGATCTCCTCACATATCTCCTTTGGAAGTCGAAATAAATTCATAGAATAGATTGGCATAGCAAGAGCAATTGATTTAAGTAAGACCTCTTTTCCTGCTGGAGAAAGAAAAGTCTTCCTCCATCCTTGAGTTCTCTCTTTCACTTTTTCCAAAATGTATTGAAACATTTCAGTTTTTTTTCGACTAAATTGCTCAGGCAAACCAAGATACTTACCACCCCCATCATTGTGGATTCCCATTCTATTTCTGATCCGTCTTTTGACATCATGATGCACCCGACTGCCAAACGTAATAGAAGACTTACTTAAATTGATTGCTTGACCAGAAGCTTGCTCATAACTAGAAAAGATCTTCTTCAATGCGTTACAGGATTTATCATTAGCCAGTGTAAAAAATAAGGAGTCATCAGCAAATAAAAGATGGGTAATGGGAACCCCACCATTACTGACTTTAATCCCCTGTAAAGACCTATTGGCAGCTGCATTGTTAACCAATTGAGAAAGAATCTCAGCACAAAGAATAAAAAGATAGGGGGATAACGGATCTCCCTGCCTTAACCCCCTCCCTGGATGAATCAAACCATGAGGAGTGCCATTGATCAAGACTGAGTAGCTAACAGAAGAGACACAAGTCATTATCCAGCGAATCCATTTCTGATCAAAACCCAAGACTGACATAGTTTTCTCTAAGAAATTCCATTCTAGACGATCATAAGCCTTGGTAATATCCGTCTTGACAGCCATATAAGATTTAGATTGACGCTTCCGAACTTTTAAGGCATGATGAACTTCATGAGCAATGATAATGTTGTCCGTGATCATCCGGCCCGGGATAAAAGCTGCTTGATTCTCAGAAATAACATTACCAAGATGTGATTTCAATCTATTCACCAGGACTTTAGAGATTATCTTGTAGCTAACATTACACAGAGCTATCGGACGATAATCTGACATTGAAATGGGACATTCAATCTTTGGAATTAGACAGATATTAGTATGGTTATGAAGATTCCCCATACTACTATCATTGAAAAAACTTTTAACCTCATTGATAACATCGATCTTGATATCATCCCAAAACTGATGATAAAAAACTCCGGAGAAACCATCAGGACCTGGAGCACGATGAGTGCCAATACTGAAAACAGCTTGATAAATTTCCTCTTCAGAAATATCTCTAGTAAGATCACTATTCATAGAAGAAGAAACCTTGCTCTGAATATTTTGGAAAAGACTAGTAAGATTGGTGTCAGTTGTAGCCTGAGAAGAATACACATCCTGAAAATAATTAGAAGCAGCCACAGCAATCTCATTCTCAGACCGCCGTAACACACCATCTTGATCTTGAATAACATTTATTATGTTTCTGATTTTCTTAGCTTGAGCAGTCTTATGAAAAAACGCAGTATTGCGATCCCCAACAGATAACCAAGTGTTCCTGCTTTTGATTTTCCAGTGAAACTCTTCCTCTAATCTCGCTTGATTCAACTCCTGACGAATTTTATTTCTTTCTGATATCGGAGAACCAAAAGCAACAGCTCTGTCCAAATCTCTCTTAAGGATACCAATTCTCTCATTAGCATTCATACGATTACAACGTTTCCAGAGGGACATTTCTTGTCTACAAAAACTGAGGCGTTGAATCAAACTCCCCTGAGCAGAACCAGAAACTCTTCTCCAACCTCTCAAAGCTGAGTCTTTAAAACCCTCTTTATCATATAATCTTGAGTCATAAGTAAACATCCCACGTCTCAAAACTGTTGATTCTGCAATTGAAGTCACCAACGGGCGATGATCAGACTCATCAAACTCAAGAAAACGAGTTTCAGAGGCTGGAAACAGAGAATGCCAATGGGCATTAGCCATAGTGCGATCTAAACAACTTCTCACATAATGAGCACCTCTCTGATCAGCCCAAGAGAATCTATCTCCAATGATCTTCAAATCTGAAAAATTGCAGTGTCTAACCATATTTCTCATGTCTGCAAAAGAAGTCTCAGGTCTTAATCTTCCCCCTCGTTTCTCATTGTTGCCTAACAGTTCATTGAAGTCTCCCATTATGAACCAAGGATGGCTGTTTCTAGTAATGGCTAGTCTTTCCAATTTCTCCCAAGTCTCTTTACGAAAGAAAGGATGGGGATGACCATAAACAAAAGAGAAGTAGAAACTGATTCCATTACTTGAAACTGTACAATCAATAAGATTAGGGGACTTAGAAAGAACAACTAAATCAACATGACTTTTTCAAAGAACTGCTAGACCCCCACTTAACCCAACTGGAGGAACTGTTACACAATGATGATAACCCAAATCTAAAGCTTGTTGAACCACATAATCATCTTGTTGTTTTGTCTCTGATAGGCAGATGATGTCCAGGAGATTCTTCAGACTGATCTCCTTTCGGCGTCGAACTGTAGGAGCACTACCCAACCCCTGACAGTTCCAACAGGTTGTCCTCATGGCGGGAGAGGTGGTTTAGGGCCCACCGCGCCTCTGACTTGAGCAGTAGCGGATACAGAACCACTACCTTCACCCGACATGTCAAACCTCATCTTCACCATAGCACCACCATCAGATTGTTCGATACAATCCTCTCTTTTGCGCTTGCCTTTGTCCTTAGAATCCAGCATGGATATCAACTCATGAGCAGAATTCTCCAAAACGTCTGGAATAGAATGAATAGCCTTAGACATCATCGGGTACGAAGAGCTTCTAGGGATGTCTCCTGTTGCATTGTCAAAAGGAGGAATAGGGTTAAACAATTCATTAGGATCAAGCTCAGCACTGAAAGTACCAGTGTAGTCATTTGTTTCATAATCATCATCAGATTCCAGAGAATTATGCTCCGGATCGATATCAGAGAACTCTGAAGCAACATCCAAAGCATCACCCTCAGCCTCAACAGCAGCAGCAGGAGGCAGATCTTGCTCGTTCAGATTTCCAGGGCCATCTGCATCCATGTTAGGTCCGTTTGCATCATTAATCTCCTCAATATGAACCCCCGGGTTACCCACATACTCAGGGGCTTCATCATCATCATCGTTATTATCTTCATCAGGACCCTCATGACCACCATTCTGGATGAGACAGCGACCCGTATCATGAGTTAACAGACCACAGACAGAACAAAACCCACGGAGACGCTCGTAGAAGAAACTAAGCACCGTATTCACACCAGGGGTGAATTGAAAGTTACGCTGGAAACAGAGAGGGTGATCAACATTCCAGTTAATCCGGACACGAACAAACTGAACCCGATTTGCAGCTTCTTCATCAAAATCAATCTCCATACGTTCTCCCAAAGCACGAGTGATACTAGTAATCACTCCCAGATTCAAAAATTGGAAAGGGATTCCACGAATTTGAATCCAAAAAGGAATGAAATTGAGAGAATTGGGATCCATATCTGGAGCCCAGCGTTGTAGAACCACCATACGATCAGCAAAAGCCCAAGGACCACGACGTTGAACAGTCGCCAGAGATTCCTCAGAAGGAAAAATGAAGGGACAGCGCCTTTGCTCCACAATACGAACACGAACAAAGCCGACCAAACCCCAAGAACGGGGAAGAGCATTAATTAGATGCCGAATGTCTTGTTTCCGAGGGATAAGAGGTCTCCCCAGAAGGCAAAACCGATTTGCATCCTCCGCCTGTTGAACCACCGCTTGAGGAATAGCAAATGGTTCATCATCGATACCGAGATCAATTTGTTGAAGAGCACGTCGAATGTTATCAGCCATTAGAAAAAGAAGTTTGTAGAATCTCAAAGGAAAAAGAGTAGGATGATTGAAGTGAGAAATGAATCTCAAGGAACTCAAACGATCCCAAATATATACACGAATCCATCGATGAGAAACTGCAACTTCGTGTCTTAGTGGGAAGAGAGCATATGGAACAACTGCTCAATCGTGGCATGGAGGAAACCACCCCACTACGGCATAGAAAACCGTCAAAACCTTCGGAAGAAGATGACACAGAAATAACTGTAAAATCGCCTTTAGAATCGCCATTCGACACACACACTTTATTTAACTTTTTTTTTTTATAAAAAAAGCATAGATTATAATAAATAAATTCCTATGAATTTCGAAACTTAATACCAAAAAGAAAAAGAAAAAGAAATGGTCAACGAGAAAAGGAAGACGAAAGAGGATTGAACGGTAGACGTAGATAGACGCCATAGGAGAGTTTGAAGAGTATAACCTCATTTGTGAAAAGGGAATTTTGCGTCGACGCTTGCTTTATTATGGACTATTGTCGTTGAAGCTGAAGCTGCTGCGATTGAAGGAGAGATCCAATCATCGGGCAGATGGAGGAATCTACGGATACGACCACTTCTTCCTCTCATTATTTCTCCATTTTCACCAATTACCCTCTCATTTCCGCTGTTACGGCTTTCACCATCGCTCAATTCATCAAACTCTTCACCTCCTGGTACCTTTTTTTTGTTTTGTCTCCGATTTCCATTGCTATGAATGTGCCTTTGTATCTGTCCCGATTGATTTTGTTTCGAAATTGTTAGTTTAGGGAGTGATCTCTTGTCAATCTTTGTAATTCTCGTGAACAAACTTGCGTATCGTTGGAAATTTGTAAATAGAGATGTTTAGATAGACAAGAAATGATCTTTTTCCATTGTTTCCTTGATTCTGCAGGTATAGAGAAAGGAGATGGGATCTCAAACAGCTTATTGGGTCCGGAGGAATGCCTTCTTCGCATTCGGCCACAGTCACTGCTCTCGCTGTAGCTATTGGATTACAAGAGGGCTTTGGTGGGTCACATTTTGCCATTGCTTTGATCTTGGCATCTGTTGTAAGTTTGCTCCCCTCCTTCTATCTTCTTGTGGAACACTTTCGTTGCTTTCTTTCTCTAGTTTATCAATTGGTTATCAAGGGTTCAAGTGGCACTTATGTGTGAGTGATTTTGGTTGTAGGTGATGTATGATGCTACTGGTGTTAGATTACATGCGGGTCGTCAAGCTGAGGTTTTGATCATTGCTCCAACTTCTCTTTGTTTTTTCTTTCAACTTGACTGGTTTTTGTTTTGTTCTCTGGTATCTTGATCTCTGGGGTCTGATTCACTTTCCAGGTTCTCAATCAGATTGTATACGAACTTCCTGCAGAACATCCGCTGTCTGAAAGCAGACCATTGCGTGAACTGCTCGGTCATACCCCTCCTCAGGTATGTAATATAATTTATTGAACAACTATAACAGACTACTCACAGTTCTCCCTTATCTTAACATCCTCAAATCCTCATAGATCTCAATATGTACCAATCCCCAATTATAAAACCTACCACATTATATAGGAAAAGCAAGAGATGAGACACTTATAGGTGTTGCATAACAGCCGTTTCACCCTCCCTACCATTCAGTTAGCAAAATTGTTAGATAGCTAGGGGAAAGCATGAGTCAAATTGAGGGAGTGAAGGAATCAGTGAAGGGGGTCAAGTTAATTGGAACCGCTATTTTTTGTTTCCTACTGATTGATATATTAACTACTCTTTCATTTCTCAGTGTGTTGTTATAAATTGATTGCTTGTTCTCATCAGTTTCATTTTTTTATTGCTGAGATATCAGGTTGTTGCTGGTGGGATGCTTGGAAGTGCCACAGCAGTCACTGGATACTTGTTTTTCAGGATAGCTACTAGCTAACGTTAAGACCAAGCAAACAACTCTTCTACTTCATTTCCTATTGAAGCCACTGGACAGAACCAAAACAGGCTTACAATCAAAGCCGAGTTTGATGCACTATTTATTCTTACTGAAAGCCATGCTCCTCTTATCATTCTATATTTGATGTAAAGAAACTAGAGACACCATTACAAAAAATCGTGATTTTATTTGGAAATAAATAGTATACAAGGAATTTGTGGATATAATTGGTGTTATTCATTGTTTACCAAGTATGATGGAGAAGACATCTCTAATGTGCGACGTAGGGTCCAAAGTAACACTAGACTTCGCACGCCAAGCAATGTGCTGGTCGGGACGGACTAAAATAGATCCTCTCTCTGACATTTTACATATACTCCACCATGAAGTTCCTTCATCATCTTGTCTTTTAACTTCCATAACATCGACATAATTTTCCCATGGAGCTAATGCTAATTTGCTGTCCCTTTCAACACCCTCTTCGCTACTAGGCCAGATCACGCATACCTTGACATTAGCCATAAACTCTTTTGCCACTTTAAATGTAGCACAAGCTAGCTCATAGGACTCTTGTAATGGTGATATTATTAGTAGAAACTCCACTTTCTCTGTAGAAACAAGGTCCAGAGTAGAAACAACAACCTCTTTTGTGGAACTTGACAGCAGTCTCACATGCATATGAGGCAGTCTTGAACCTGGTTCAGCACAAGGAACATAGTCTCTTCTACGACCACTTGGTACTTTAGGATCACCAGCTTCAGACCTGTTATCAGGAACAATGGCTCCTTCTAAATACCTAAACAGTAAACACATTAACTTCTGTTACTCCAACTCTAAATTTACATATCTTTTGTTCAAATATAATGTAAGAAGCACAATGGTTCGAAACATTCAAGACCACAATCTCCATGTCGTGAAACCACTGATATTAGTTGACAAAAGCAGCCAGCCCTAGTTGCTTCATTTTTAAAAAAAAATTCTTGGTGTATTACTCAGACTAGAGTGAGAATTTTACAGTTCCAAAATTATGATGCTACCTGAAACCAAGATCCTCGGCAGGAAACTGTAGTTGAAGGCTTTTTCCTCCATCAAAGATACTCTTTAGTCTGCTAAGTCTCTGATTTCCCAGCGGATTGCTCTCATTCAACAGAGATTCTGAAAGCTGTGCACGACCTAGTGCAAAGACATTATCCAAGATTGCCTTTTGCAGTCCAGTTGGAAGGATGGAACCGACTGTTTTGTTTATAAAGCTATGAACTAAAAACAACATAGGAGATATTATTGCTACAACTTAATTATGAAGCTTTAAACAGAGCAAGAGACAAGCTAGTTCTAGTTTACCTGAGTTTGCAACTGTTGGGTCAAGGCCTAGTGCTGAAGGAACCGCCATGGCTGCTCTGAAGTTCTGAACACTGAGTGAAGTATTGAAAAGGGCAATCTAGCAGTCACAATAAGATGCTTGTAATGAATCAACTTAAGAAGAAAGGATGGCAAGTGAAAGTTCATAAAAGACAAATACCATACCGGTCTACGTTCTGTTTCATAGGTATTAAGAATTGAAGATTTTGCAGAACCCTGAACAAGAGCTGCTATTTTCCATGCAAGATTGTGAGCATCCTGAATTCCAGTGTTCATTCCTGTAAACATCATGTAATTTGCTATCAGAATATTATACAAGACTGCTGATTGAAAGTACATCATATCGAACTGATTCCTGAGGCTTGTCATTGTTCGATTCATAAAACTTCGAAAAGGAAACTGACAACAAGGATCCTTTAAGATCAATGTTTAAGTTTGCGGCATTCCTTGGTTTTTATAATATCTCATTCGGCGATATCTCCAATAATAATAGTGGAGGTTATGGATATCTTCCAAATACATAACCATCATACACGACAAAACTGTCAAAGAAGTAGCACATGGTTCACTTTTTAAAAAGAATTTGAACACTTACCAAAACCTCCAGCAGGCGGGAACCGGTGAGCAGCATCACCAGCAAGTATCACTCTATTCTCACAGCACATGAATTTCTCAGCGACTTCAGCATGCATGACCCAAGGCTTAATATCAGCTACATCCAAGTCTGAAAGCTCATGTCCCACCAAATTGAATATCAACATCTTGCACATCTATAAAAAAAAAAAACCGTTCAGGGGAAAATGACAAACAAAATCGCATTCGAAATTGGTCACAGGTCACAGTTGGGATGAAAATAAAACCACAGAAGCGTACAGATAAATGAGTGTTCACAAGTAAAGGTCCATTATTTTTTTGGTGATGGTAAAATCCACTCTTCTCTAAGTGATGATAGTAAGTACCTCGGGACTGAAATCAGATAGACTCTGCTGAGGTGGATAGTATGGAATCTGCAGTAGAAAGAAATTAATACATGCTAGTTCTGGTATATAATTTAAACTGAGATTTTCTGGTCAGGTCTGTAGCTACCTGCAAAACAAATTCTCCTTGTTGAAGATCATGGGCAACGAGAACTCCTATACCTTTAGTGTTGAAGATGAAAAATAACATTCCTGGTCTGCTACTCATAAGATACTCACCGAGCTCTCTGCTCATAAAATGGACACTAACAAGCTTTTGTAGATCTCTTTCCCCTCGCATTTCTATCTTGGTGAGCTTCCTTACTTCACTCCCAGCACCATCAGCACCAACCAGTAGACTACATTGAATGTTTCTTTTCATATGCTTGCCTCCGCTGAGAAAAGAAACAGTTGCTGTAACACTATCCTTATTTACATCAATCCCCACACACTCATGACCCATGAGAATTTGCCTCGCAATAACAGAGCCAAGCTCAAGACCGTCTAACTCTTTGGGAATTCGAACATGAAAGCCGAGGTGTTCCAACCGCTTAAGCATCAAATTCGTCAACTTGTACTGGGAGAAGTGAGCAACAGAAACCGGGCTGACAACTTTCTCGAAATCTATTAATAACAACAAAAGGAATTCTTTGAAAAGTCTGCAAATATTCGCAGCTAAAGTAATTCTATGAGAACTATTTGCACAAGAAAATTGTATGGAAGAACACACCTTGAGGCTGCATGTGGTCCACTGTGCCAAGAGTTGAACCGGAGAGGGAAGTGCAATATATAAATTTCCTCCACAAATCTACAGGAGGCTGTGATCTTTCAATCTCCTCAGCTAATCCATCCAATTCACGGAAGATCTAAGTATATGAAAAGGGAGAAACTAAGGTTCCAAAAATCCAGGAGCACCAAAAACAAAATTAGCCAAAGGGAACACAACAAAAATCCAACCTCCATAGATCGGTTGTTGATAAAATGTGCTTGTGGATGTTTAGAGAAGCTTGTAGCTTTGTCCACAACAGCACATTTCACCCCTAACACAAAGGTGGGAATCCAATTCGATCAAAGACGTGAACTCAAAATGACTAATGTAAGGTAAGCTCAGGTTTAAAAGTTGGAGAAAATTGTACCTAGTTTGGTGAGAAGGATGGATAAAACGAGACCCACGGGTCCAGCGCCGACGATCAGAACAGGAAGCTTAGCATCTTCCCCATGAAATGAATTTGTATTTGAAAGGTCCTTGCTTTGGAAGTACCTCACTGGATACACTCTGACCCTCGAATTGTTTCTGCTTATCCGTGTAACCTTCTTGATCAGCCCTAGCATCGCCATGGTCGATAAGCTAAACCCTAAACCCTGAAAATTGTTTGGAAGGGTAAACTCTAATTTAGTCCCCTGAATTACAAATTGAGAAGAAGTAAGACTCTCAGACTAGAGACTCTTAGATCACAAAAGGAATCTAATTTCTTTCTTACAAGCTCATTCACAGTTACAGCAACGACGGAGACGACGGGACAGAGACGACGGAGACGCCGGGAAGGTGATGGTGGCCGTGGGAGAGATGTTGGTGGGACCGACTCTTTACGATCTATTTTTTTATAATTATTTTGTTTCAGACAAAAATAAATTATTATTTTATAATACTTGATTCATACTACGTGGTGCTAGATTTACCACTGCTTCAAGAATCGTCGTCGGCGTTGCAGCTCTCATTAATCTTGTCAATGGAAAGAGGTTTCATATATAATATCTGATACGCATCAGTAAGTTATCTCTATTCTCTACATGTATCTATATCTCTGGTGAGAGAGGAATAGTGAGCAAAAATGGTATGTTCACAATGTCGCCTGTACATATTTTTCTTCTCTATGAAGACGACTTGTAAAGAAAGAAACAAAAATAAATCAACTTTACAAAGTAGGGTGTAAATGTTACAAGTTACAACCCAATCTATATACTTAATGGTGAATCGAGTAGCTTTTCTTCCAGAGGAAACTGAATGGTCTTGTCAGTGTTTTCCTTCTCGAGATTGATTTAGTCAAAGGTTTCACTTCTGACTCCGGAGTTGAAACTGACGCTGGTATTGACATTGGTGCTGATACGGTTTTCCTGGGAGCTTCATCTCTGTTTGGCAATGGCTGATCTCGTTGCCTTTGTTCCTTGAACAGCATCAGAAGCTTCTGGGACTTGTCTCTTCCTCGTGGACTTCCATTCACTGAGATCGACACCAGAGACGGGATCACTCCTTCTTGTAGTACCATCTGGATACATGATTCGTTTCCCGTGCATAGGATCACTAGGCAAGAAACGGCTTGCTCTTGTTCGACTGCGTCACCAGTGTCTAGTACAGTTGCAAGAGTGCTGACCAGGCCTTGTGTTGATATCATCTCTTCTTTCCCTTCCCGGCTAGAGGCTAGATTTAGTAATACGGCTAATGACTTCTCTATCCACAAGTGGTCACCTGTTGATGCAAGAACTTGGAGGCTTTTGATTAAATTTGATGAAAGGAGAGTGGGTATATTGGGAGGGTAGGTAGAAAGGTTGTAGAGGGCATGAAGAGCGTCCAGCTTGCATTGTGTTTCCGTTTTATCTCCCTGAAGAAGAAGATTAACTAAAAAAGGAACTGCTTGACTTGAGCCAATCACGGGCTTGGCCTGTTCAAGGCAGGATATGTTTAAATATAACGCAGTTGCTGGCCCTTGAGACTGGGAACAAGAGATCATTTTCTCCAGCAGCGGAATGACCCCTGAAGTCAACATCAACTCTTTGTTCCTGCAGTTCAATGAAACAAACAAAACAGAAGAAATTATGAGAAGGTTTGCGCACGAAGAACACTGGTTAACACAGACTTCCCCTACAGAGGAACAATCAATGTCCTTAAATGGTTATATTAGAAGAAGATCAAACAGTGATATTCCTAAAGACTTCGATTGGTAACAGAAAAAACAGGATGAGCTATCAAACCTGTTATTGTTGACTGCTAAGTTAAATAGAGTCATAGCTCCGGTTTCTTGTGCGCCTGAATTGTTTTCAGTAACAGCCGATCCTAGAAACCGCAAAAACGCTTCGACAAACCCATTGGCTCCCATGAGGATCCTGGCCTCTTCATCATCCTTTAACAATAGCCTTGCATTTTCTACTACTTTACACTTTTTAGCCAAGTCCTCCTCTTTGTCCAAGATTGCCAGTATATCCTGATACCTCTCTAGAACATTGATATCAGAAGTCTCCTCATCACCAATTACAGGCACATTGACTTCTTCGTTGTGTTGTTGTTCGGAAATAATCGCACTGCTCTCCTCCAGAGGAACAATTTTAACATCTTTCGGTGTGCACGATCCTATACTATCACCTGACTTTGAATTGGTCAATTCAGAGTCAGACAGGGCTAGTCTCCAGTAGTTAAGGTCAAGAGATTCTGGTGGTCCAGTAGGGACTGTGATCCCGTTCTGCTCACACCAACTCGCAATCAGACCTTTAACACAGTAATTGGGAGTCAGGGAAATATGTGGGAGCTGCTGCTGTGTCTTGGGGCAAGAGTTATGTCCATCACTAAACCATTTCTCGATACAGACCCGTTCATAAGTCTGTCCAGAAGCGATAATGACAGGATCACACATAAGCTGCAGTGATATGGGGCACCTCAGTTCTTCTGGTGGAATGGGCATTTGTCCTGATTTCCTACTGTTCATGGGCTTAAAGTTAATAGAACCAAACTTCGATAGTTGACGTCCAAACGCATGAACACGGTCATCATTAGAACCTTGACCAGTGGGTGAACATGGTGGTGAACCCTGAGAGTCATTCTCATCCATAATCTCACTTCTGAATAGCTTGGAATATTTTCTCATGAGATGCAAGAGGTAAGCCACAATTGACTCCTTCCGCTTGTCTTCTTCCACACGTGCCCTGTCAATGAGTTTCTTTAAAGCACGCCGCTCCGCCAGAGCTGATCTAGAAGAAGTTATACTGAGTCTAGTAGCTGCCTGGAGAAAAATTTCAAGTTCTGTGCTGTCACTGCAGTTGTCAAATTTCTTCCCTTGTTGCAATAGTGCAATTATCCGATCACCAACGTCCTTCTCTGATGGATCAAGCAAGAACTTGGTCTGCTCTAGTTCACTAACAATGTCCAGAATCTGAAGAAATTAAATATCAATATGAGAATTCGCAACTAGGACCTAGCAGAAACCATTGTATCGATCAGAACTTTAAATCCAACAAACATAAGCCATAGACAGTTGGAAAGATTGTGTTGTGCACTGAAATAGAGATCACCTGAGAGCCAATAGAGCTAGGGACAATGTCCTCCACGCGTCTAAGACCATCGATAAGTGCAGATTTTGCTTTCTCAAATTTCAACAGTACAGCATCACCAGTAATGGCCTGTGCAGAAGGACAATGGAGGAATTTAAGAGAGACCAAAGACACAAAGACAAAGAAAATCCATCAAAAGAAAGAGACACATAAAGAGAAACTCACCAAATAAAGTTTGCTACACTCAGAACAGTGTTGTAGAATGTTCTTTGCTTTCTCAAGTGCAATATGTAAAGAACACAAGGCTTGAATCCCCGATTTACTCCGAGGTCTAGCTTCTTCCAACGAAGGGAAGATTGACAATACCTTGCAATAAACAGCAGATAGTTCCATGCACATATCTCTATGTAACTGCATTTTAGCAATGGCCATTACACAAAAATTTTAGCAAACTAAGTATAGAGAAGATTTTCAAATACTCTCTCTCTCTCTACAGGGCAAGGGATCAAAGAACAAGAACAGAAATCCCAAAAGACACCAAGATTCCCAAATACTCTCTTTCTCTCTCTACAGGGCAAGGGATCAAAGGCAAAACTGGATTCTCAGGGAGAATCACATTTCTAAAACACTATAATAGAAAACGCAATCCAAACATAAAAAGCAGAGACAACATAGTAAGCAAAGCCCGTTTTGTGTCCATTTTGATTACAACAAACAACCACCGACAATGAATCATTTAGAAAGATTGATGAATTGAAACGAGCATTAAGATACCTTGGCATCGCTAGCAGCGAACAAATTCTCCTCGAGCTCGCTTACATCCATGATCTAAACCAACCTCACCCTGAAAAACTCAAAGCTATGCCACAGAGAGAGCTTAACACAAACCTGAAGAACATGAAACAAAGATGGAATCAGTGTCGACAGAACAGAACCACGCATTGAAGAATATATTATACACAAAACGCAAAGGCATTGCCTTTTTGGTTCCAAAATCTGAGGAAATAACGAATCATTTCGTCGTCGTGAAAACAACAACAAAACACGATTCTGAAAAGAAGAAAAAAATACCTTTGTTCTAAGAAAGACAAAACAGAAGAATATACGAAAAAATGGAAGCAATCCAACTCCAAGCATAACGGTAGAGAGAAAGAAATGGGAGAAGAACCATGTCAGCTCTCCACAAAACACGCAAAAAAAATCTACGATTACAATTGAAACACGAACCAAACCATCGAATTACACGAATGTTACAAGCGACAAACCAAAAAATATAAAACAAAAAAAAAAAGAGCTGGAAGAAGAAAAAATTAACGCACGTGTGGAAAACTCGCAACAATAATACCAAAAGAGCAAGAAAACAAAACAAACAAAACTGAAAAAAAATTGCAGAGAAGAGAAGTTAAGACCACAAAGGCACATATGGAGAGATTTGCAGGAATTTTAGGGTTTATTCTCTCCTTTGTGATTCGGCAATCAAAGAGAAATGAGTTTTTTTTAGAGTGAAGAAGTCACGAGTGTGTCATTTATTACAACCGCAGTTCCATTTTCAATCCACTTTTTTGTTTTTTTTTTTGTTAATTAGTATAAAAAAGTTGGTTAGCAAGTAAAATTTTCGGTATTATAAAAAGACTTTGCAAAAAGACAAAAGTAGCAGTGCTAAATAAATGAGTAAACAAGACAAAGAATGAAACTTTTTTAAAAAATGGGTTACGATCAGTTCCAATCACGACGATCTGTTGTTGGTCAAAACTCAAAAGTCCACTTGCTCTGCTTTCTTTACTTGTTCTTTCTCAGTTTCACCCATCTTTCACATAGCTCAGCTTTGTTCAAGCTTTACTCCAACGATACTCAGATGATCACCGGATCATTTAGCCCATCTTCCAGCGATCTGGTCAATGATGAATCACAGAGACCTCGTGTTATCACTCCTTTTCCTTCTCCTAAACTCACCGACTTGCCTATGGTACTTACTCTCTCACCACATTATTTTCTTCTTCTTTTTGTTTTCACTGTTTGTAATTTGAATCTTGATCTTCTTGTAACAGTTTCAAGATGACCATAAGGAGAGCTTGTACTGGGGAACTTATCGCCCTCAGGTTTACTTCGGAGTTCGAGCCAGGTTATGATTCTGCACTACTTTCATTAGACCGTACTAGTTTTTTTTTATCTTTTAAGTCTGACATGATCTGTGTATGAATCAGTTATTTACTGTGTCAAAGTTCATTGATGAGCTCTTAAAAGAGCTAGTGGCTCTTCTTAGTTTTGTAAAGGGAAAGCTAATCACTCCCCAATGTAATGTGAAACTGTGTTTTCTACTTGTGCAAGCTGCTAAGTTTGTAGCTGACTATATATGCAGAACTCCTAAGTCCCTCGTTGCTGGCTTGATGTGGCTCGTTACCAAAGATGGGAAACATGTTATGAGGCATTTCTGTGAAAACTCTGGCGATCTTAAGTCTTTTGGCTGGAGAGAACACAATGGAAGAGATTTTGGGCGGCAAGAGCTGTTTGAACAAGATATGGTTTTGGAGACAAGTTTTGTCAAGTCTAAGGAGGGAAGCCTTGGTTATGGAGGGGATTGGTCAACTCGAATCAATGTTCAAAATATGTTGAATGATGAAGTAGAGAGAACCGTACATCTCTTCTTCTATCTAGCTGATGAAGGTGGTAATGGTCTGAATTTAGGCAAAGATGTATTGGGGCTTAAAAGGAGTTCTGTCCTGGCTTCGGGTTCACGCCAAGATGTAGGAAACTGGCAGATGCACTTAAAATCACAGGTAAGTTTTTTATTTAAAGTGCCATTGAAAGATCACACAGGATCATTTTAGTTTACTGTCTTTGCAAGAAAATTGACCATTTCCTCTTCTTTTGCAGAATCAACTTGAAACACATTATTGCGGTTTTAAGACGCCTGACATTGTCAATCTGTCTGATCTTGTTCAGCAAAATCTTGTTGTTCAGGTTATATCTCAGTTTTGCAAGTTTCCAATTTGTATTTGATATTTCTTTGACAAAGACCAAAGTGTATACCTATATTGGTTTTTATATTTTTCAGGAAGGGAAGTCTGAACGACTTCAGCTCTCTGACACATCAGAGGATTCTTCAAACATTTATGTTTTTCAGGTAATCATTCTTGATCAGGATATATGAATACAGATGTGTTTTAAAAACAAAACCATCATCCTCAAATAACTCATATGAATTGTATGATCTAGATGTTTCTTCATCCCCAATCCCCATTTTGTCTTACAGATTTCCACTACGACTCAATCTACTATAGATATTGCCTTTATCTCTGGAATAAGAGAAGAAACGTCCAACACGGAGAACCGTATAATGAGTCTTACAGGTTTAGATTTGCTGAACAATCAAATTTTACGTAATCGTATTCCAGTCATAATGTGAACAGTTTGGATAGTAGACACCATTTTCTCTGTTGTCTGTCTATGACCAGAGGTTCCTTATAAGAACATGTTTTGTCTAATACCATTTCCTTTCAATACATCTATTTTTCATTAGCTGGTCTTTAAGCTAAGTTTCTGTCTTTACTCCGTGTAGGCTCGCCACTCTCTAGTCTACTTGAAGAAAAACATATAGCATTTGATGCAAAGTTCAAGGAATGCTTCAACCTGTCTGAAAAGGTGTGATTCTACTCTTTTTTCTTCTCAACACAAAGATCAACTTATATGAAGGATCTCATTAGCAAATCCATTTTTCACCTCTCAGCTCTACTAGTAGTCTTTTCTTTTCTTATACGCTTTCAAAGTCTCAGAAACTGTTGCCTAAATTCTTTGGTACTGACTTGCTATAGTAAATTATTATATGCATTTGATTTGATGTGTTTAGAAGAGATAACATATATGATTCTCTCTTCCTGTTGCTCCAGCTTGATCTTGAAACTTTTGTGGTTGGTAAAGCTGCAATTGGGAACATGCTTGGTGGCATTGGTTACTTCTATGGTCAATCAAAAATTCATGCTCCTAGAAGTACTCTGGTGAGTTTCAGTCCTATTTCTTTTTTCACTCCAAAACAGTTTTATATATAGAGTTAACAATGTTCAGTTGCAGGCTAAAAGTGAGGATGATTTCTTGCTATACTGGCCAGCTGAGCTGTACACAGCAGTTCCAAGCCGGCCTGTGTTTCCTAGGGGATTTTTGTGGGATGAAGGCTTCCATCAACTGTTGATCTGGTTCGTTTCATTACACATCATGACTGAACATTTTCTTAATAATTTTATAGTGTCTTTAAGATCTGTTTTAACAAAGTTGTATGATACAATCATTCTTTGAAGTGCTTCTATCTGTGTTTGATCAGGCGCTGGGATGTCCAGATAACGTTGGAAATTGTTGGAAACTGGTTAGATCTAATGAATATTGATGGATGGATTCCTCGTGAGCAAATTTTGGGAGATGAAGCTCTGAGGTTGTTATGATACTCTTCCTAACCTCAAAATAGGCATCATTATTGTTTCTTGTTAATACTGATTCCATTCTTTTTTTTTTTTGCTGCAGTAAGATTCCAAAGCAGTACGTTCTTCAGCTCCCAAGTAATGGCAATCCACCTACACTACTTTTGGTGATACGCGGTAAGAAGTATGTCTTTGATTATGCTTCTTGCATTGTTTTAGGGAGAATGGCTCAAATCCAGTTCATTCTTACACCACTCCAATTTACCAATAAGTTTTGCCAGTTTGTACCTTGTGTTGAGTTTACTAATCATTCTATATGACCTTGGTAGATGCTCTTGGATTGGAATAATGAGATAGATTTAAAATAGAGAACAAGATTTCAGAATCATATCATCAATTCCATGTTGACATTCCTTGTATTCTTTTTGCCAGATTTGATCGATGGTATACGAGCAGAGAAATTTAACAAGGCAGAAAGAGACGAAATCTTGTCATTCCTTGACAGGGCTTTTGTACGGCTAGATGCATGGTTTAAATGGTTCAACACTTCCCAAATAGGTAACATTGACAACATTGGAGACAATACTTTATAGTGTTGCAGGATGTTTTCTCTCTTCAACTCCTGTGTTTTGTGTTTATAGCATTTAAGTGACTACTGCATACAAATCACATTGAGTATATTAGTCCTACATTGTATGTTTTCATATATTTATGACTTGATTAAACATCAGGGAAGGAGAACGGAAGTTATTATTGGCATGGCAGAGACAATATAACAAATAGGCAACTAAACCCTCAGGTACCCTTACTAGCTTCCTTTTTCTTTACTTGGTTTACCAGACTTCAGAAATACCTGATGCCTTAGCTTTCACATATTTGGGCAGTCTCTTTCCTCTGGTTTGGATGATTATCCACGGGCTTCACACCCAAATGAAGATGAGAGGCATGTTGACCTTAGATGCTGGATGTATCTTGCAGCAGATTGCATGAACTCCATCCAAGAGTTTATGGGGAAAAAAGAAACACTTGTGACGGTTAGAAGAACATGAAAATTATATCAACTACATTCTCTAATATATACATCACATATCTTTGAAACTGTATCCTGCAGGAGGATTATAGCTCTATTTCCAAGCTGCTTTCAGATTTCACTCTTCTGAATCAGGTTTATACTTTTATTATGCAATGGTTCTCTTTAAGACAAGAATCGCATTATCTCTTTTGGTCTCACTCTCATCTCTTCTTCAACAGATGCACTATGATCATGACCATGGGGCTTACCTTGACTTTGGTAATCATACAGAAGACGTAAGGAAATTTTGATGAATTATGTCAAAGAGAAGCCTAGATATCAACTGTCATGATATATCATAAACCTATATATCTAGGAAATTTTGCTGAATCATATATGCATTGGTCTGATTTCTCAGGTTCGGTTAATCTGGAAAGAGGTAACTGGAGAAGATGGTCGTTTATCTCGAGAGTTTGTAAGGGAGACATTTGGGAAGCCAGAGCCAAGATTGGTTCCTCACATTGGTTACGTCAGCTTCTTTCCCTTCATGTTTAGAATTATCCCAGCTGTGAGTTATATATTGTGCATTAGTATCATCCATATGATTGTTGAACCCCTTGTGGAAAACTAGAACTAAACTTAACACATTTGTTTGTTGTTTGACGAAAGGATTCTACAATCCTTGACAAACAACTCGATCTCATCTCAAACAGGAGCATTGTATGGAGTGACTATGGATTACTTTCACTTGCCAAAACTAGGTGAGCCTGCAAGAACAAATATATCTAAGAATTTTCATTCTTCCGTGATTTCATTACCACTCATTTGTTGTCTTCATGCAGTTCTTTGTACATGAAGTATAACACTGAAGACGAAGCACCATATTGGAGAGGTGCAATATGGATGAATATGAATTACATGATTCTTTCTTCCCTGCACCATTACTCTAAAGGTACATTTATGAGTCCACACCTCTTCCAAAACAAAAACTTTGTATAACCCATCAAAATTTTCTGCAGTGGATGGACCTTACAGCAGTAAGGCAAGAACAATTTATGAGGAACTAAGGATCAATCTAATTAGGTAAGCATGTTTGTATAAGATACAGTTGAAGTTGAAGATGTCTTGAGTATATGTGGCCTTACCTATGCTGCGTTATTGATGCAGGAACGTGGTTAGAAACTATAACCAGACTGGTTATATCTGGGAACATTATGATCAAACAAAAGGAACTGGAGAAGGTGCACGTGTCTTTACCGGTTGGTCTGCACTGATCCTCTTAATCATGTCTGAAGAATACCCTCTATTTTAGAAACCCCGTTTTGATGACCAACATTTGTAACCTCGAACATCAAATCTATCCTCGTGTGTTTGTGAACAAAATAAGGCAGTCTCTTCCAAAGATTTTAATGAAAAAGCAATCACAATACATCAAGATTTATAGCTCAGCTACTACGTACATGTTAAAGCTAGCCTTGTGTGTCTGAGCATAACATTGTGCGCATCCAACCAGGCGATAGTAAAGGAAAGGAGACATTTAAAACTAGAGTAATTGCAGATCACTTTCATGGGTCTTGGGTCATTTCTGTATCTTCAGACACCATGATTTCTACATCCCTCATGTCTCGCTTTAATACGTTCCCAAGTCTTCCTATGGCTTCTGTCTCCTGTTGCAGTACCTATTTAAAATGTTCCAAAACGTCACATAGTTTTCTAATATATTTTACTGAAGAAAAAATCAAATTACCCATATACCAATCCAGAGGTTACTGTCCATAGATGTAGTATATCATACCTCCTGCATATCGATCAGGCTCTGCTCGTCTATTTTAGTTGACCCAGGGAGATAAAGGGAACTACCAGCAGCAATCGAATTTGCTTGAGCACGAGATATTGTCTGCAGACTTTGCACCCTTCTAGAAAGCTCTGCTCCAGGACCTTTCACCTGCAAATCCAGTAATCCACAACCATTTTATTAAAAATCAAAGTCAAACTTTCTGAACCTTGAGAAGAAACTAAATAAAAAATGAACACAGACCTGTCTTGTTATTGCAGTTAACTTCTCGGACAGTTCGCCCTCTCCTTTGGTCAAGGGTAACCGGAAACCCTTCCCTTCTAAACTCTCTATTATCCTCATCACCTTCAAGCACAAAGCATGAACACAAGGGTAAATGTAACTTTGACTGGAATCTGGACTCACATAACAAGGTCAGATATTTTAATGTGACGATTTCTCTTACCCTCAACATACGTCTTTGAAGACTCTGCTCCTTCTGTCTCAACCTTTCAATAGATGGAAAGGTATGTGCTTGCAAATGTCTCTGAAGCTGTAAAACAAAATCAAACAACTTCTTGTTAAATTATCCACTTATAATATGAGGCAGAAAGAGAGTTGTGAAATGATAACTCACCATTTTAACATTGCTCTGAGTCGTTTTTATTCTATCCCTATCTGAGACGAGAACTTCATCTTGAAGCTGCAGGTACCCATTAAAAATACTGTGTGTCAAGATTCATTTTTCAAGTGTGGTAAATGATAGAGTATCACTGGATATCAATATTATAAGAAAACAGTATTTGCTTAAGCACCCCATAAAATAGAATTTTCGCAGGTGAAGAGATCCAACCTTAAGGCGCTGAGAAAGATCTTTGAAACCTTGAACAAGTTGAGGCCACAGGCGTTCTCTTTCGGTAGAATCCATACCTTCAAGTTTGCTCATGGCCTCTGCCCACATTATCTACCACCAAAATACAAGCAATCATTCAGAGAGATCTCAGAGAATACATACATCAATCAAGAAACTAATAATCAAGAATCAGTATACACAAGAAAGCACCACATTGCCATGATATGATAGAAAAGATCAAGAAGATTCTCACATCTGATACAGCTGCAGGCTTCACCCGGAACTGTGGCTCAGTCACACTGAACAAAAGATGCTGCAGCAAGCAAATGGAAACATCAGTTAACATAACCACACAAAATCCAAACACAGCTAAAGGGTTCAAGATTATCCACACCAGACTAACCTGAAAAGCATACTTAGGATTCGTTGGATCTTCCTTATACGCTTCGATGATGGCCTAAATCAAAAGCGAATAAAAGGGAGAAACAATCAATGTAAAGACTAGATAGAGGTTATGGGGTTTTTAAGATCTGGAATTAAAGTAATAGCAAACCTGAATGTCACGATCGGCGAGAGAGTAAGGAATTGGAGCAACGGGAGCCATCTGAGTAGTCAATTGAGCATTTGGGAAAGGGTTTTGCTGTGCCGAGTTGTTGAACGGTGACTGATAACCAGAATTAAAAGAAGGCTGCTGCTGGAACAGTGAACTCGGCTGCTGCTGCTGTTGTTGCTGCTGCTGTGGTTGTTGAGATGAGAAGGGAGTAGAGAAGAGCGAGGAGCCAAATCCGCCGGTGGAGAAGGAAGGAACCGATGGTGTTCCGAACGCCGGCGTGGATGACGGCGTACCGAACGCAGGCGTGGATGACGGTGTACCAAACGCAGGCGTGGATGAAGGTGTACCAAACGCCGAGGTGCCAAAGGCGGGTGTGGATGAGGGAGTGCCGAACGACGGCGAGGAAGACGGAGTGCCGAACATTGAGAAAAGGAGAGGTTTAGATCTCAGTGAAGAGAGAGAGAGAGAGAGAGAAGGCAAAGGTGTTTTATTATTATTGACTAGGCAAAAGGCGCCATTGCGAAAACTTTAAAACGCAGCTCTAGTGTTCGACGATATTCCCGGCCGTGAGTCGTCTAACTAACTGTTAGGGTTTTGTTCACCTTTCCTCTATTGGTCAATAATACTTTGATCAATTCATTTTATCTTTTAGGTTTTCATTTTTCGAAATGTTAAGAGTTCACGTTAACTAAACACAGCTTTAGTGTATTCCAGTTCCACAGTAGTCTAGAAACAAAAGATGGAGCAGCTAGTGAGCATGGGTTTCTCCAGTGATTTGGCCGCCGAAGCGTTAACGGCCACCGGTGGGGATTCCATTCAGAAAGCCACCGACTGGATTCTCTCTCAGCGTTCTTCCCCACAAACCACCACCGCCAAGTCACAGCCCAAACTCGACCGCTTCCTCCGCCCCAACTCCAACCCAACCCCTGCCGTCAATGATGAGTCCGGCAAGCGCCCCAATTCCAAAACCCTAATGCCCTTCATGGGTGATGATTCCAACAAGCGCCACAAGCTCTCAGCATCCAGCCACCGCCAACATCATCAGCCGTTATCGGAGCGTATGCGTCCTCGCACTCTCGACGACGTTGTAGGTCAAGACCATCTCCTCTCTCCCACTTCCCTCATCCGCGCCGCCGTCGAATCCAATCGCCTCCCTTCCATTGTCTTCTGGGGTCCTCCTGGGACTGGGAAGACCTCAATCGCCAAGTCTCTCATCAATTCCTCTAAGGACCCGTCTCTGTATCGCTTCGTCTCCTTGTCTGCTGTTACTAGTGGAGTCAAAGATGTTAGAGACGCCGTTGAGAGTGCCAAAAGGCTTAACCTTGAAGGTAAAAAGAGGACAGTCTTGTTTATGGATGAGGTTCATAGGTTTAATAAATCACAGCAAGATTCATTCTTACCTGTTATTGAAGATGGTAGCATCCTCTTCATCGGAGCTACCACTGAGAACCCATCTTTTCATTTGATCACTCCATTGCTCTCTCGTTGCAGAATTCTGACTCTGAATCCCTTGAAGCCTAATCATGTTGAGACTCTGCTTAGACGAGCTGTAGATGATTGTGAGAGAGGTCTCTCCAATAGCGTTGAGGTTGATGATTCTGTCATTGAGTTCTTGGCTAATAACTGTGATGGTGATGCACGAGTCGCGTTGAATGCTTTGGAAATCTCAGCTACCATGGCTACCGCTCGAGCCGGATCTGGGGCTGTCGTGTCTGTTGATGATGCAAAGGAGGCTCTTCAATGCAAACATTTGGCCTATGACAAGGCAGGGGAACAACATTACAACCTCATAAGCGCACTTCATAAGTCTATGCGAGGAGGAGATGCTAATGCTGCAATCTACTGGCTGGCTAGAATGCTTGAGGCTGGTGAAGAGCCACTTTACATTGCCAGGAGACTTATAAGGTTTGCAAGCGAAGACATTGGCCTTGCCGACCCTTCAGCTCTTACTCAGGCGGTTGCGTGCTATCAAGCTTCACATTTCTTGGGTATGCCTGAATGCAATGTAATTCTTGCCCAATGCACCGCTTACTTGGCACTGGCTCCTAAATCTGTTGCAGTTTACCGAGCAATTGGAGCTGCACAGAAGGTTGTGAAGGACTCGGTTGGACAGAATGAAGGGGTGCCTCTACATCTGAGGAATGCTCCAACCAAGTTAATGAAGGACCTTGGCTATGGAAAAGAATATATATATCCTCCCGATGATCCTTCTTCTGCGGCAGCTCAGACATATCTACCTCCATCTCTTCTGCATTATAAGTTCCTGGAATGGCCTCGAGGTGTATCAGGTGATCTCCAAGATCAAGAACACGGGCTCTAACCACTATTCTTTCGTTCCTTTTTTTGTATGTGATGTATATAGAATCATGTTGCTCAAGTCTTTGCAGAGGCTACTCTTTAATTAGTGGGTTATTTCCTTCATTTAGAATGGTAGAAACAGAAACCCTTGTTATTAATTTATTAGGATACAAAATCGAACAAACCCACTTCTATCTCTGTAAACGAAAGAAAACCCAAGTGAAGAAAATTTCCATGGTACCCCATAAACGAACACAAATTAATGAGAATTCTCAGACGTGGATCTATGAACAAAAAATGTTTTATTGATTCTTCCACTCTTTCACTGATCAAGATTCAAGGCTTAGGTCTCCCCATTGGACCTTGTGTTTTGCGGCTAGATAATGGGCACCAACTGGACCACGACTGCCGTAAGGATAGAATTCTGGAATTGTCTTCTTTTCTTCTATCTCTTTGAGCAATGGAGTGAAAAGCGCCCAGGCAGCGTCAAGTTCATCACTTCTTATGAACAACCTGCGTTCGCCTTCTATTGCATCCAGCAGAAGCCTCTCATATGCGTCTGGGATCTCCTTTGAATACCTTCAACAACAAAAGGGTATATGAAACTATATGGAATATGCAGAAAAGAACACAATTTTTTTCTCGAGTTTGATCATATATGCAAAGTAAACCTAACTTTATATTTCTTAACTCACCTAGCTGAATAGAGAAGATTCAAGTTACTCCGGTCTAATCTCATTCCCAAACCAGGGACCTTGTTGTTGATTTTTAAATAGATAGCTTCATCTGGTTGTACACGAATGACAAGCTCATTTGTGGTCTGGTCAAGATCAGTACCAGAATTCCGGTTATATAAATTTCCAGGCACATGTCTGAACTGCACCCTTATCTCTGCACTGTAATAACAAATACAAATTGATTACTAACGGAAAAGTTCAATCAGAAAAACTTGCACGAAAATTCCCAAGTTTGGTACCTTCGGGTGTGTAGTGCTTTCCCAGCTTTCATTAGAAAAGGTACACCATCCCATCTTGCATTGTCGATGAAAAGTGCAGCAGCAGCAAATGTTGGGGTCAGGCTATCTTTTGGCACAGTTTTATCATCAGTATAGCCTGGATAAGTAACTCCTCCTGTGGTTTGCCCCTTGTACTGTCCTATCACTACGTCTTCAAGTTGTATTGGCCTCATCGAACGAAGTACTTTTACCTGAATTGATGCAAGGATTTCAAAATACTGTCTTGAACTCAACCAAATTATAATTATAAGAAAGGAAACAATATTAGACCTTTTCATTTCTGATATCCTCTGCATCCAAACTAACAGGTGTTTCCATGGCGAAAAGAGCTAATATCTGAAGTAGATGATTCTGCATTATATCTCTTATTATTCCATAATTGTCGAAGTACCTATATAAGAAGAATAGGTGAGTGTTAAAAGGCTTCAACACAGAAGAGAAATTAAAAAGCAAGACAGAAGACAACAACAATTACCCTCCGCGTCCTTCAGTGCCGAAATCCTCAGAAAATATGAATTGCACGTTCCTTATATACTGCCTTGACCATAGCGGTTCAAATATAAGGTTTGAGAATCGAAGAACCGACAAGTTCTCAACTAGCTCCTTTCCTAAGTAATGGTCTATCCTGTAAGGATCAACATTCCATATCAGCTAGGTATCTAAAACCATCATCAATACCAATTATAGAAATAACTTGAGCACAGTATCCCCACCTAAATATTTGGTCTTCCTCCAGGTACTGCTTAAGGGACTTTGTTAGAGCAGCAGAGGTTTTGGAATCTCGGCCAAAAGGTTTCTCGACAATGACTCTAGTCCATCCATTGACAGATGAAGCGGAGGAGCTTGCACATTTCACCGCATCAACAAAGATATTTGGAGGGATTGAAAGATAAAAAAGGCGGTTCGAGCGTCTTGCACCCTGCAATAATTATGTAAAGGATAAGGATATATAGGAAGGAAAAAAAAAATAAGAAGACCAAACTAATCTAGATTTTACTAAAATTTAACAAACACTCATAGTTTGCCCACTACTGTGTCCAGGTACCATAATCTACATCATATCACCTACCAGGGTAACACATGACCTGCCTAACCCTTCAGAAAAATGAGGAAGTGATGCAACCTGGTTGCTAGGTAATCATGAATAAGGTAAAAAAAAAACAATAAGCAGAGGAAAACATCAATACCTCATGCTCCTTGAGCTTCTTGTCCAATGCAACAAAATGTTCTTGAGAATCATACTGACCAGAATGGTAAAAACATCTCTTGAGAAACTCTTCCATCTTCTCGCTGCAGTTTGCCCTGAAACATCACACTTAAGTCTTAAACAAACCATCTCTGAAAAAAAAGAACCAAACTGAAAAAAAAAACCAAAAGGACCCATGTATTGGTGGTTATACAAAGCTACAGTGATTCACCTCTTATCAATTCTACATGTCAGAGTTTTGCTAACCATGTCTCTAAGTTCAGCATCTGTCATCTTACTCCTCGCATAGCCGAATATTGTAAAATGCTGCGACCAAAACACAGCTTACCACACCAGCCAATAATACCCAATCATGAGAAAGAAAGAGAAGAAGGTTTTATACCTCAGGAAGACAGCCTTCATAGTAAAGTGCGAAAAGGGCAGGGAATATTTTCTTCTTGGCAAGATCACCAGAGGCTCCGACCACCGTGATACTAACTGTTGACTGGTGTTCCCCGCCATCAGACTCCGCCACAAACTTGTCTGCTTCTATTGTAGGGATCGTTACCAATCCGTCTTTCAGTTCCTCAGCGGGGCTTGACTTGGTGGCTACTGCGCCTAAAACACACAATTGTAAGCGCACTGCATTTAAGGAAATTACATGTATTGTTGTGTCTAAAGTCGGAGACTTGTATAAGAAAATTAATCAAAATCAAGCATACATTTGATGAAGTAGTGAAATCAATCCTAAATATTCAAGCTTTACCGGCAAAGCAAGGGAAAAAGAAGAAAACCCAATTGAGAATCCAGTTAAAGTTACCATCTTGCACTAGAGCAGAGCTCTGAAAGGACTTCCTCTGCGATCTAACACAGAGCTGATAGAGATTTAAACCCTGAGGAGGAGCGGAGTGGAAGGAGAGTGACGGGCGTGGGTCAGCATTGATCA